TGTCATTTGAAAATGAGTAGTTTCGATAGAATCGAACTTTCGATTGATCCCGGTACTTGGGATCCTATGAACGAAGACATGGTCTCTCTGGATCCCATTGAATTTCATTCGGAGGAGGAACCTTATAAAAATCGTATTGATTCTTATCAAAAAAATACAGGATTAACTGAGGCCGTTCAAACAGGCACAGGCCAACTAAATGGTATTCCCGTAGCAATTGGAGTTATGGATTTTCAGTTTATGGGGGGTAGTATGGGATCTGTAGTGGGCGAAAAAATCACACGTTTGGCCGAGTATGCTACCAATCAATTTTTACCTCTTATTATAGTGTGTGCTTCCGGAGGAGCACGCATGCAAGAAGGAAGTTTGAGCTTGATGCAAATGGCTAAAATATCTTCTGCTTTATATGATTATCAATCAAATAAAAAGTTATTTTATGTATCAATCCTTACATCCCCTACCACAGGTGGGGTGACGGCCAGTTTTGGTATGTTGGGAGATATCATTATTGCCGAACCCAATGCTTACATTGCATTTGCGGGTAAAAGAGTAATTGAACAAACATTGAATAAGACAGTACCTGAGGATTCACAAGTGGCTGAATATTTATTCCATAAGGGCTTATTCGATCCAATCGTACCACGTAATCCTTTAAAGGGCGTTCTGGGTGAGTTATTTCGGCTACATGCTTTCTTTCCTTTGAATCAAAATTAGATCAAGTAGAGCCTTAGAGTCTTAATTTAATAAGAGTATTAATTTATTAAAACTTAATAAAATTTTTTATGTGTGGTGATCAAGTAGTTATTTAATTTATAGGAATCAAAGTAAAAATACGAAGAATGGATTTTTTCTTTGGTAACATAAGATTTAATTGTAGAAAGAATCATCCAGATCATCTTTTTATCGATATTCCTGGTTACTAACCAGGAAATCCCTATTAAACAAAATAAAAGAGTGAATTCTTTCTTCCGTGAAATTGGTTAACAGGGTCTTGCATCTTTCTATATCTCCCCAAAATCACCCCCCCCCCCCCACTAAAAATCCTTTTTGTTGGGTCGTATTATTATAATGAATTCTTTGAGAATTTGTAATAAATCCTTTCTTTAGTAAATTTTATAAAATTATTAAATTTATAAGACAAGAACAAGATAATAACTAATAATACGAATAATATAAAGGGTGGATTATCATACATATATTTCATGTAGAAACATGTAGAAAGATTTATAGGTCCATTTATTTACATATTTATTGGATTTTATTAATTAATATATATTTATTAAAACATATACTTATATACTCCCTATTAAGTATATATACTCACTTAGGTATACTTAGTATAATATAACAATTATATATGAATTATAATATATCTTTATAACAATATAAGGATAAGGTTAAAATATTAATATAAAACAATAAATATAACAATAAATAACAGGTACAAATATTAAATCGAGGTACCCATTCTATGATAACTCTCAACAGCTTCCCCTCAATTTTTGTGCCTTTAGTGGGCTTAGTATTTCCGGCAATTGCAATGGCTTCTTTATCTCTTTATGTTCAAAAAAACAAGATTTTTTAGATACAATAGGGACGAATCTTTTTTTTCAAGACTTACTTGGATCATAACACGGATATCTATTTAGTAGAATATGGTATAACATGTGGGCTTCCTTCGGGCATAAGCTCTTATGTATGTATAAACATGATATTATGGGTAAATGAATTATAACTATTTTCAAATAGATCGGGATCGGGGAGAATTTCTGAAATGTAAAGTCAATATATCTATATGTATTCGGAAATCATGTGAAAGGGATGTTACTATTTTAGTTTGGATCTAAGAAATTCGATGAATTACCCCTAAACGTTCACATCATAATAGTGCTGGTTGATGAGAGTTACTTCGGAAACAAAAAAGTAAATAAAATTTATTTTTGTTATTCTCCCAATTCCAATAAAATGCAACTAGGTCTAGTTATAGTATGAGTTGGCGATCAGAACGTATATGGATAGAACTTATAGCGGGGTCTCGAAAAACAAGTAATTTCTGCTGGGCCTTTATTCTTTTTTTAGGTTCATTAGGGTTTTTATTGGTTGGAACGTCCAGTTATTTTGGTAGGAATTTTATATCTTTATTTCCTTCTCAGCAAATAATTTTTTTCCACAAGGGATCGTGATGTCTTTCTATGGGATCGCAGGTCTTTTATTAGCTCTTATTTGTGGTGCACAATTTCGTGGAATGTAGGTAGTGGTTATGATCGATTCGATATAAAAGAGGGCGTAGTGTGTATTTTTCGTTGGGGATTTCCTGGAAAAAATCGTCGCATATTCCTCCGATTCCTTATGAAAGACATTCAGTCCATCAGAATAGAAATTAAAGAAAGGTATTTATGCTCGTCGTGTCCTTTATAGGGAAATCAAAGGCCAGGGGCCATTCCCTTGACTCGTACTGATGAGATTTGACTCCACGAGAAATTGAGCAAAAAGCTGCTGAATTGGCCTATTTCTTGCGTGTACCAATTGAAGTTTGAAAAAAAGGAACTGAAGAATGAATACTTTGCAAGAGAGAAAAAACTCAAGAATCTCGTTTTTTTATTTTATAGCCTAACTTGACTGAAGTTTCTTCAGAACGCTTATTCGAGCCAAAGCAAACGTTACGAAATAATTCTAAAACAAAAATAGTTTGTGTCCACCATTTTTTTTTTTTATGCGTATGTAAACCCACTTACTCAATTCAGTAACAAATCTAAATACTAGATTCATCATATATTAAAACAAAACATTTCATAATAAATCATAATATAATAAAGTAAGTTTTTTTTTTTTTTTTTTTTTTATTTTAGAAATATTTGATATTTTTTTTGATAGGGAGTTCTTTCGTCTCGCAATCCGACTACTACTTAATTTGAAGTGGGCTTTTTCTTATTCTATTTCTGTATTCTTTCTAAATTCAAGGACTAACCACTGTACTGAATCACAAAAAAAAAATCGGAAATAGATTCATGGGCTCGATAACTTGTAATAGAACTTATGCTTGATAGAAATATTAGTATCGTATAGAGTCGACGAACGAGGTGCGTTCAGTAAAAATTAAAAAATTCACAGACGAAAAAAATGGCAAAAAAGAAAGTATTAATTTCCCTTCTATATCTTGCATCTATAGTATTTTTGCCTTGGTGGATCTCTCTCTCATTTAATAAAAGTCTGGAATCTTGGGTACTCATTGGTGGAATACTAGGCAATCCGAAATCTTTTTGAATGATATTCAAGAAAAGAGATTCTAAAAAATTCATAGACTTAGAGGAACTCCTACGTTTGGACGAACGTTAAAGGAATACCCGGAAGCACATTTACAAAAAGCCTCGCATCGAAATCTACAAAGAAACGATCCGATTGATCAAGATGCACAATGAGGATCGCACGCATACAACAATTTTTACACTTCTCGACAAATATAATATGTTGCTTATTCTAAAGTGGTTATTCTTATTATAGGTAATGAAGAACTTGTTATCTTAACTCTTGGGTTCAAGAATTCCTAGATAACTTAAGCGACCACAAAATAAAAGCTTTTTTATTCTTTTATTAACTGATTTATGTATAGGATTCCATTCGCCCCACGGTTTTGGGAACTAATGATTGGCTCTGTCTCCAAAGAGTTTGGATGTGCTCATAATGATCAAATATATTCCGGTCTTGTTTTCTACTTTCCAGTAATTTTAGATTACAATTTTAAATATTGGATCTTTCGTTATTTAAATCGTGTTCTCCTTCACTGGTAGTGATTTATCATTCAATATGAACGACTGAAAAAAATGATTCGAACGATCCAATTCTATATTCTTGTTACTTTTGTGGATAAAGCAAAACATTCAAAATTGTACTTATTCTTTCTACCCATCCAAGGGGATTCCTCCAATCTTTCCAGTAAAAATTATTTATATTTAAGTTAACTAGCAAAATTTATTAGATAGGGAAACTATACTAGCGGACCTGCTAATTTTATTGTAGAAATTTTCGGGATCAATGATTGGACCATGCAAAACTAAAAATACCTTTTCTTGGATAGAAGAAAGAGAGTACTCGATTACATTCCGTATCGCTCATGATATATATAATAACTCAGGCACCCCTTTCAAATGCATATCCCATTTTGCACAGCAGGGTTAGAAAATCCACGAGAAGCGACTGGCCGTATTGTATGTGCCAATTGCCATTTAGCTAATAAACCCGTGGTATCGAGGTTTCCACCAGCGGTACCTTACTGATTACTGTATTTGAAGCAGTTGTTCGAAAATCCTCTGATCTGCAACTGGGAAACAGTTCTTGTAATGGTATTAAAAAAAAAGGAGGCTTTGAATGGTAAGGGGCGTTTGTGTTTTATTTCATTTACGAGGGGTGTTTGAATTAGCCCTCCGATGTTAGTTTTAGCCCGGCGACGGCCGCGCTCCGGAGGGCCGAGATCGGGAGCCCCTCCCCGAGCCCCGTCCCGGTCGCTCCGGGAGGGCCGCGCTGAGCCGCCGCGAAACCCGCAGAGATGACAAGATGAAGCGGAGAAGACGGAAAAGAGAGTCGCCGTTTTTCCCGTTGACAGTCCGAGCTCGGCGCACTACTTCTTCTACAAGAAGTCTCCGGCGAGATCTCCGGCGAATGTGAGCTCCCAACCGACAGCCAGACGCGGTTGTCAGGCGGCCATCCCGGCCGCCGTCCCGCCGGCGAAGGCACATAGGGCTGGTCTGTGAGGAAGGCATGGGGTCCGTGAACGCCGAATAGGCGGCGTACGGCGGGGGCGGAGGGCTGAGCTCGCGACGGGGGTCGAGTAAAGAGCGCCTTTGGGTTCTCCCGCAAGGCACTGGTGTGGGACAGAGAAAGTCTGACGCTTGGCGAAGAGGTGGGTGACGAAGAGGGCATTTGGGTACACTTGCGAAAGCCTACGTTACGAAGGGGCGAGTCAAGCCGCCAACCCAGGCCGCTGTCAGAGTCGATCCCCAAAGCCCAGGTGCAATTCTCAGTTGGACTGAGGTTACAAATCAGCAATTGACTTTGTGAATTCGTGGGTTTTGCATGGATTGATGAGGATGATCAGTGCCGCCTCTATGCTGATATCTAGGCTCCTAAAGAAACGTTTTCGTTGGCATTGTTTGAATGGATCTGTGGCGGACGCCATGATTATACGGGAAACACACAGAACCGAATTTTGTTTTTGATAATTGTTATCTTTTCAGAAGAGAGAGATGCATATTTTTCTGCAAAACTGGTTTGTTGGCTGGGGCTAAGGTGACATTTATGTCCTGATAATTTCCTGGCGGTCTAAACGATGAAGTGGTGATACGATTTAGTTTGTCTAGTAGATGTGCTAGTTATAGGCTTTAATCTATCTTCTGTGGAGAACAGGTTATGTTTAAGTGAAGTGCGTGCGGACCTGTTACATTTTGTGTTTTGGAACCGTTGGCTTCGTCTAGTACCTTTCTGCGACACTTTGTTTTCTGCTCATTTGTCTGGGTTTTAAAATTCGTGTATTAGTATGGTGGGTGTCTTATTTGGTGATTTTAGTTAGTCGTTTTGACGTTAGATGACTTACTGATGTCCATTGGAGGATGGAGAAGGGGAGGTGAAGATATTGAAAGCTGGGGACGGACATAATCACTCTAGGTACAATTCCATGATGCTTGTAGACCATGATAATGGACTTATGTGTAGCGCACATGGAGTAGTCCTGATAACTGCCCCGATTTTGACGGCCTCAAAGGTGTTAAGTAAAGCGCGTCCTTGGACTGTTCTGCTTCTTGTTCGTCACACATTCAAATTGTGTTGTGACATTTGTCCGATTATGGGAAGGAGGAGAGAGCTCTAGATAGGATACTTTGACAAAGGAATTATCATATGGATGCCTTTTTTGATTTGAATGTAGTCTATCGGTCTTGAAATTTTTTATGTTTTGGTTGTTCTTTGAGTGTGACTGGAAATAAGAAAGTCATGGAAAAAAATAGGGGTTGGTAATTTAACAGCAACAATGGCACGCCCTTCATATTAAGCGCCCCATATCTAAGTTCCTTCTTCAGGGGTGGGAAATACCCTGTGAGGGATGCAAGAGGACCGTTCATGATACAAATCTAGTGAGAATTGTTGTTGGCGTTTTGCCACCTTCAAGGTGTGGTGAAGTCGGCGTATCTTGTAAACTGAGGAGGATATATGTAAGCTCTGGAAGTTGTAACGGGCATGGCAATTCGAACGTAGCCATTTTGTCTTAAAGCAAGTTAGTTGTTGGTTGTAAGAGAACGTGCAGATATCGCATGATTCACATTCATGTATAAGATCGAAGTGGTAATCGTATTGTGTGTGAGGAATTTTTTGTCTGTGTTTTGCGAAGGAAATATCGAGGAATTCCAACAGTTTGAAGCTATAGACTTTGCTTTGTCATGACTTTTGTCAACATCATGGTGGTTGATCAAGTTCTTTCACATTCACTGCACAGCTGATTTTCAGTAGCGACATAAGCATAACTATAGGCAACTGGTGTCTTATGGTTTATAATCGTAGTTTGAGTATTCGAACGTGTGGTATAGTAAGACAATTGTTGAGTAGTGCGATATCTGACGCCTAAGCCCCTGAAGATCTAACAATAGATCTTATGCTACCTGGTGCTGATGTCTGAGTGTAGGGTGTGCGGTGCCTACAGTTTGTGTGGCCGGCGGATCCATTTGGGCCTCGAATGAGTCGGATCATCTTGGCTGTGGTTACTGTAAAGAGGGCTGATTCAAGTCTTTGATGAACCACCTTGGCATCTCATGTCTGCAGAGCAAAGAGAATTTGGTTCAAGCGCTATTAAATAAGGATCCACGGAAACGAAGACTGCTGCGTGAGCCCTAAGTGATGGCTATCCACTCTAAAAAAAGTGGCTTTGGATAATATTTCGAACTGGTACTGCACTACTTAGTATTACGGGTCTCCCGGGCTTGTAGTAAAACCTCTAATGAGGTTAAGAGTCCTCGGGAGTAATTATATGTCAACTCAGAAGGTTTATATGCGTCATAGCTGTCTCCGAAAACGCAGTTGCGCCGTTAAAGGGTGTTGCTATATGTGCCGACTTTGCAATTGATATAAAAAACTATAGTTGTTCTGTTGGACTTTAGAGGTTAAATTCGCTTCAATTTTTCTTGGCGTCTATTCGTCCATCAGTTTTGCTGCTCTTTTTCTCTCCTCTTTTGGTGATTTAGTGGCGTATTTTAGTTCTCTCAACATTGGCATTTTGCAGTCGCTTTGCCAAAGATCTGTTGACTTGGACCGAGCTTTGCTATTGAAGGAGCAGGTTCTATGCACGTATTGGTAACACCCACTGCTTTAATCCACATGGGCACAGCGCTTAGCCATCGTCACCACGGGTGGTTATCCTATCATGTATTTACTATTTAAAAGCACTTGGTCTAGTTATTCATGCTTCGAAACTCCTCCATGTTGTCAGGCGGTGATGAACAAATGCAACAAGTGATGCAAGAAGGAGGCAGACGCGAATTGCGATTTCTTTAAACGTGGTCGTCTTAGGGCTTGACTATTGTAAATGGATGTTGCGTTTCTACATTTTAGATTTCATATTCTTACTAGGCCCATGACGTTCTTCTCTTTATGCGCGGTAAGTGCATTGCATATACAGAAGGATGATTTGAGGAATTTTGTAGCGCTGCCAACATGAAGTGTCACACCCCTGAGGCAGCTTGGTCGATGGAGCACCATGACGTTGTGCTAGAGTGTTGGAGAAGGATGGCAACAGGGCTATTGTTATTGAGGACCACTGGCATCACACCGTTATAGATTGCAGAATTCATAATTAGCGCTTTCATTTTTGCCCTGCCTCGTCGTTGTGTTTTTTTTTTTTTTTTTTTTTTTTTTTTTTTTTTTTTTTTTTTTTTTTTTTTTTTTTTTTTTTTTTTTTTTTTTTTTTTTTTTTTTTTTTTTTTTTTTTTTTTTTTTTTTTTTTTTTTTTTTTTTTTTTTTTTTTTTTTTTTTTTTTTTTTTTTTTTTTTTTTTTTTTTTTTTTTTTTTTTTTTTTTTTTTTTTTTTTTTTTTTTTTTTTTTTTTTTTTTTTTTTTTTTTTTTTTTTTTTTTTTTTTTTTTTTTTTTTTTTTTTTTTTTTTTTTTTTTTTTTTTTTTTTTTTTTTTTTTTTTTTTTTTTTTTTTTTTTTTTTTTTTTTTTTTTTTTTTTTTTTTTTTTTTTTTTTTTTTTTTTTTTTTTTTTTTTTTTTTTTTTTTTTTTTTTACTACTAGAGGGAGCAATAGAGATTTTAGCCTGTAAAAGTAGTATGTAATTGTTAGGAATCTGGTTTGGCCTAAGTTGGATGAGTAGTTGGAAATCCTGACTGAATCAGACTTGGGGAATATACAGACATAGAAACACATAGTCGGGCTTTGCTTGTTGTCATAGACTATGAAGCCGCAATTCACCTCTGGAAGGTTGACAAGTTTGACTTTGTTGTCTGCATGAGTGCCTATATCGACGTCGTTTTTGCAGCGTTGAAATTGGACTAGTCTTAGCGGTACGTATCATTATTGTGTGTGACAGTAACACTATATCTAACAACTTAAAACTACGCATTAGAACTAATATTTCTTTTTACTTCTGTGTAGGTTGCAATTTTGTGATCAGGGTACTTTTGTTTGTGGCAAGGCCAAGGACTTTTGTTCAAGGAAACCTTCCGAATTCCATGGTTTACAGAAATGTTGAGCAGTATCCCAATGCAAAGCAATGTTCCTGGAATTCTGAAATTCTCATACTTGAGATTGATGCTCCCATTTACTTTGCAAATAACAACTACTTAAGAGAAAAGTACTAATTAATTAAACCAGAGTAAGAACTAAAGATTTGGGGCTTAAGAAAGATAATAGCAAGTACAGGGACTAAGGTTTTTTGAGTTGTTCTTGAGGTGGTTGTACTATCTTTTTGTTTTCTGGTCATGTTTGTGTTCTAGTGAGCCAGAACTAAAGATTTGGGGCTTAAGATAGATAAGTGGCTTATCTATGGGACTGGGAAAGAGACATCCCACTTTGTTTGAGAAGGTTTGAATCAGACATTTAATTTTTATGATGATTGCACAAATTTTCATCTACAAATTGATTGAATAACTAGTGTAGTGCTTCAAGTTACCAGTCGCTTCTAACCAAGGTGCTTTCTGATAGTGCCACCATACTCATTAAACATAGAGACCTCTGTGTGTCATCTGTTTGATTCTAATAATTTCCGAGTGTTAAGTTGGTTAGCGTTTGAGCCATAAATTACTGAAACAGTCTCATGATGAAAGAATTGATTGCGTTATCATGATTATTTGTGATCATAGAAACTGCTTTCTAGAAATCCTTTAATCTTCTCTGATGTATTTTGTTTCATTTGTAGGCACACTGGTTGGAGAGGACTTGATGAAGGCATCGTTGTAGTTGGGACTTGCATGATTTAAAAGCCACAATGGCTGGTTGCATGTCAACCCCATCCAAAACAATTAAACCATGGAAAGAACACTGTCAGCGGGTCATCAAACGCCATAGATAGGCAACCTGCTCCGCTTCAGATGGTACCAAGAAAAGAAATGCAAGTTTCAAGAAAATAAATAGTGATGCAGGAACTCGCTTGAGCTGTCAATGAGTTTGTTCACGTGGACTTTAAGAATGGTGCAACAACTACTCACAGAAGATCTAAGGTTTCTAATTCAACATTCCATCTCACCCAGCTGCAATGGCACCATAGTCAATATGATTCGAATGGTGTGTGCTTTCTTTCATCAGATTTCAACTATCTTTCAATTTCAACCAATAGTGCTGACAAGAAAATTCATAGCTCTTGAATCTCATATTTTGAAAGTTATTCATTTGCAGTAATTTTCCAAGAGGAAGCTTGGTTTGACTCGGTGAGTATTCTGGAGTCTGACTCGGATGATGACTTTATCAATATACATGGAGGTATTGGCCATCAGCCTGTAACTACATATTACAGAATGAAGGCCTTGTGGTCTTGTTTGATTGCAAAACGTCATTACTACTGAAGTAATTTTTCTTGAGCTACTTATTGGAAAAGGATTTTGTTTTGTTTTCTTAATTTTCTTCACTTATTCTACAGATGGTTTTCCATTAGCAAGCAATCCAGTTGGGAATATCTCAAGTGGCCAAGTACTTCAGCATGAAAGATTTGCTCGCTTTGTTGATAATGAGTGTAAGTATGAAGAATATGGAGGTAAATCAGATAAAATCACAGGCAAAGATGAGCGCAGGGAATCAAATCGGTTTTCGCTTATTAATACCCAGCGCTATGAGCTTTCTCACTTAGGGAAGGCAGATGAAGTTTGCAGTAAGAGGAAGAATATAGTAGATCACTCTTATGGAAGCTTTAAAGGACTTACAGAAGATGGACGTGATTCTAATGAAAAAATTCAAGACAATGCCCTGAAATCCGGCTTATCTCAATTATAAATCTCACTTATCCATTTAATCCTGCTGCAATGTTTCTTAGTGATAGTGATGGAGAGAGGAGGAGTCTTGTAATGTATTTCAAGGTTTTTGAGAATTTTGATAAAAACATCTCTCCTCAATTCCAGGACAGCATCAAGGTAACTTTATTTTGTATGCAACTTCATCCATTTGGAGAGGCACGTACTTTATTCTGATGTACTCTCCCTGATGGAAATGATCTTATGTTCTATTGGAACACGCAGTTTGTTGGTATATTTGAATGATGCTTTTAGAAAATGGTTGACGATGAGACGGAAAAAGTTAAAAGGATTCGCAAAGGACTCCACTGTACTTTTCAGAGAAAGACTAAAGATCTTGACTGGGGTGGTAAATCCTGAAGATCTTGGTCGGAGTTCTACTGAGAAGAAGCTTGTACATGCATATAATGACAAACCAGTTCTTTCACGCCCCCAGCACAATTTTTACAAGGTAAACATTGAACATTTGTGTTGCTGAGTGTTAAGAAGATGAAACATAAAAACCATGTTGTTTGACTTTATCAAGCTCTCTCACACGCAGGGTCCTAACTACTTTGAGATTGATCTGGACATTCATCGCTTCAGCTACATATCAAGGAAGGGTCTCGAATTGTTGTGAGAACGTCTTTAAAAAAGGAATAGCCGAGCAGCTATTCTCGTAAAATATTCTATTTATGGTGTGTAGTCACTCAAAAATATTCTTTTTATGGAGTATAGTCGCGTGGCCATACTTTTAAAATATTCTTTTTACGGAGTATAGCCGTGCGGCGATACTCTCTTTTAAAATAGAGAATTTATGGCGTATGGCGGACGGTTATACTCTCTTTTAAAATATTCTGTTTATGGCTTATAGAGTATAGCCAAGCGGCTATACTTTTAAAATATTCTATTTTACCAATATAGCCACGTAGCTATACGCTTTAAATATAACAATAAAAATATGGATTTCTATGTAGCAAAGCTGAGCCTTGAGGTAATGAATCAATTAGACATGGTATGTATTTATGTTCTAGCTTTGTTCCTCTGTGTGTGCTTAGGGTCGAGAGAAAATTTATACCTTGTTTGTGTGTTGCATGTGTATGAGAAGTGATATAATGACGTTGCTTATCTTTTTAGGTGCCCTTTGTCATATTTCCTAAATATGTTCGAATATTTAAACAGTATAGCAGAGCATCTATATTCGAATAATAATATAATTTCTAATTGAAGTAATTAAAAAAGGCAAAGATATTACTTAATGACATATATATATATGTATATATATATATATATGAAATTAAAGAAGTTGGGCAAAAAATAAAAGTAAAGAAACTAATTTTGTATTTAAAAAAAAAATAGCAAGAAGACCAAAGGTCTATGCCGACAACTGTTTGCCGGATTAGACCTCTCCTGAGGAAAGTTTCCTATGCTGACGAAATGTCGTCGGGAGAGGTCTAATCCGGCAAAATTGCACCGAGATAGACCTGTGCCAACGAAAGTTCGTCGGGAGAGGTTTTTTTAAATAATAAGTATAAACTTAGTATCTTTAGGTCAGTACATTTTTATTTTAAATTTTCTTTTTAGTAATTCAATAAAATCTTAGCCTTATTTAATTACTTTCATTAGTAATTATGTTTTAATCATTATTTATTTTGTGAATAATTAGTATTAAATATTTTAATTAACTTCATAAATATATTACTCAATAAATAGTAATTGGTTTTTTTAATTTTTTTCTTTAATAAAATACTTAAATACTAATTATTCAATAAGTAAATAATAATTAAAACATAACTACTAAATAAAGTAATTAAAAAAGAGAAATTCAGATTATGATATTTCAAGGGTATAGCCGTGCGGCTATACGTTTAAAATATTATGTTAATGGAGCCTTACCAAAACAAATTTATGTCCGGAGTGCTAAATTGAATCAATAAATTTGTGATCATGAAATACTTTAGTAATTCGCTGACTCACTTGTGAAGTTATTTTATTGCTTGTGTACATATCCACATGACATGTTGATGTGATTTATCAAAATTTTCTCAAATTATTATAATTCGTGCACAATAGTTATAAAATTCAAATTTTACACAAAAAGAAGGAACAATAAGAGAAAAAATCGCAGCCAAACGTGGTTCATATGGTAGATCCAAAGATTCCTATGAAGATGAATCCATTCTTCTTAGAAAGGTTAGAATGGTGGTTCATATTTTTTGAAAAATAGTATAGCCGCTCGGCTATACTCCTTTTTTCAAAATTTATTTTAAAAATGGTACTTCCATGCGGCTATAATAGGTTTTTTCCTAATTATATTTTAAAAAGAGTACAACCACACGGCTATACCAGTTTTTACCGAATTTTTTAAAAACCAGTATTGCCGGGCGGCTTCACTTGGTATTTTCTTAATTTTTTTAAAAATAGTATAGCCGTCCGGCTATACACGGTTTTTTAAAAAAATATTCTGGCGAATCGGACTCGAAGTCATCACTACGAACGTCTAGGGCACAGAGCAAGCCCGTTCCAGGTTTTGAGCACTGTTCGAGATATCGGCCAAGGGGCTAGGCAGGAGGACACCGACACGAGGGAGGATCTAGGCGGCGCTTAGGCGGCCTGGGGGGATCTAGGCGGCGCCTAGGCGGCCTGGGCGGATCTAGGCTGCCTGGGCGGGTCTGGGCGCCAGGGCATGTCCTTCTTTTTCCAAATGAAGACGGACGAAGCTTGCTGGTGCGAAGGAGCAAAGGTGACATGTATATATTGTGTGAGAAGGAGGAAAGGTGACATAAAATAAGGAAAGGCATAAGAAATGAGGGTTTGTTTCGTGTGGAGTGAAAGGAAGAGATAGAAAACTATGTTTCTGTTGTTGATAGAGTGAGAATTGGGAGGCAAATGAAGAGGGAATGAGAGATTTATAATTCCTGGTGGTCTTGGTTGAGAGATTTATAAATTAGTCGTCAACACGCATGCAGGAAGAGGTCGGTTAGTGGAGGGAGGCGCATTGGCATTGCTCACCAATGCCTTTCTGCTTTATTGATTTCTTTCTAGTACTAGAAGCATAATGTTACTGTCTAAGAAAGAAAGGTCTCTTGGAGCTTTATAACTGGCTTCAAGGGCATCTTCCAGCTAATATGACAGTGGACCATGAAATGTATTTTGTAGAATGTGTTGACTTTGCCAAATCCTTCATCCAACTGTATCTCAAAGAGGTATGTCTTCTTTATCTTTGAAACTAGGAGTTTTTTTTTGTCTATGTTTATATGCAACGTGATATAAGCAAAATAGGCAATCTATTCACCGAGACCCAAAAAAAGAAAAATTGAATCATATTTTGTTTTGTCTATCTGAATGCATCATCTTATTCAACAATTTCACGTACTAAAATTGCAGTTCTGTATTCTTCATTTGTCGTATTTTTCTTGCAGTTTTTTAGACTCATGTCCTCATTTCTTGGCTTGTTTTTGAATTGTAGGATGATGTATTATTCAAAGTGCTCTTGCATATGCTTCGTGTACCTTGCTGTGCAGAACAGTAAGGAATTAATATCCTAGTTTTCCATTGTTTTAAAAGTTAACGTCATGGATTCCTTCTAACGAGATTTTTGGGTTTATATAGGGATGAAAGGGAAAAGGTTGCATTGGAGGATTCGAATGGCAGTTTACTTTTCCGTGTCTCAGATCTTTTCAATTGTTGATGTATAACCCTTGAGCTGAAATCTTGGCGCCAGAGTTGCTCTGTTTGCATTTTATTTCATTTTTATATGTTTAAATTCTGTTTGCAACATGAGCCATTGGATCATAGTCCAAGTGGTCTCTTATCTAGCCTAGGATATAATCTGTTAGATTGTGACAAGTGTAATCATCTCATAGGGTGATAGGATCAAAGGCTAGGATTTAATTTCTGTGTAAATCAGTTAGAGAAGCAGCTCACTTCTCTCTGATATACGAATATACATATGAACAGTAAGAGGATATGAATAGATATCCAGCTTTCTTACAGAGCAACGTTCTCTCTTATTTCATTTGATTTCTGTGCTTTCTCCCTTCCTCCCAAACATCCAAAAACATTGAAAACTATGAATTCTAACATCAATCCTGTACTCTTGTTCCATCTTTTACTATTAGAGGCAAGATGCTCACTCTTGGACATTTACGTATCTGCATTTCCACTTCGGCATGCCTCCTAGTTGTTAATTTGAAGTATATGGTATTGCAGAATAAAAAAGAATCACTGACATTGTGCACTTTCTTTTTTCTTCCTATTTTGCAGTTGAGCTATGATCATCAGGTGCTTCTTGATTACCTTATTTCAAAAGATACCGGAATCAGTTGTGCAGAAGATTTTTTAAGGTCTTTTCTCTTTCTACACCTTCTCTTAACTTATGAAATCTAAACCGTGGTGGGCTGCATTTTTCTGGTGCCAACCTCGGTGACTAAACTATAAAACATTAACCCTCTGCTTTTACATGACTTCTTAACTAATTAGCAAAACAAGAATCAATTTGGTTGACCCCAGACAGTTGTTTTTAATTGCAACTCTTTGTATCTTTCATTTGCTTCTTACCGTCCTTAATGCATTCTCTTTTAGGTGCTTGCGTAAAGTGTGTGATTCATGGAGCTTATTTGTGGAATTTCTAGTGGGTGGGCAAGCTACAAATCAATCATTTTGCAAGAAAAGAAAAGTTTCATTGGGTGGCTCGAGTTCCTGGGGAGAGGATTCTCTTGCACCAACCAAAAATCATCTTACATTTCTTGATGATGAACCTGATGAAGAAAATGAAAATGGCTGCAAGCACACCCAAAATGGAGGACAGTATTTCAAAGAAGCCAAAGAGTGCTTACTTTCACTTAAAATTTCTATTGAAGGTCTACACCAAAAGAATCTGTTTCCCTACGATCCTAATGTTCTTCTGAACCGGTACGTCTCTTTGAAATGAGTTTCATTATGCTTCCCAGTAAACTAACGATTGCTCTTACTATTTGATTTTATTTTGAATTTACTACAGTCAACTTCTTTCTTTCACTTTTAGTTTCATTCGTTCCTCGTGATCACGACTTATCCAAACTAAACTGGTTGCTCTTTGCTTGCAGCTTGACAAGATTTCAGGAACTCTGTTTTGAGGAAGAGAAATAAACTTCTAAAAGAATGAACTTACCAGCACAGATTTTTGCAGAGCATCATTTATTCCTTTGGGTTGAAGTGATAAAATGAGATGTTGCCAACCAATGAGGCCAAGTCCCGACGAAAACTCTTTAAGTCAGGCAAGTGGGCCACAGTCAGACAATGCTGGAAAGAGTGCTTTGAGATCCTCATGACTCTTTGAGGCCATATATGGAGATTTTAAAGAAGTGAATGCACTTTGTGGATGAACGTTGTTACATTGAGCAGTGAAGGAATAGAAGAACAAGCTTTGTAGTTAAGGTAATTTAGATTCTATGTATAGAATTTCCAATTTTTTTCCTCAACAAGGATAGGCGAAGAAATCTAATTCGTAGCATAGTTAAATCCCTCACATGAAGTCAAAGTGATAAATGGTTCTGATCACATGTTCATGTTTGTTGTCTAGACCAGTAAAGCTGTTCTCCCACCTCCAGGATATTGCTAAAAAATACTCTCAAACTTGAGCACCTGCTAATGCACTATACATATATTCGATATGAATAAACTATTGTCAAAGAAAATCACCTGATATTGGTGTAAATTAATTCTATCCAAACTATACCAGCTGTCAGAGACAAATAGAAAAGGACTTTACCTGATCTCAAGTCTTCCTAATCTCAATTGTCAAAGAAAACTATACCTGATATTGATGTACCCCAAGTCTTCCTTATTATCTCAAACATGCTTCTCATTTCAAAATATAAATTTCTGGTTTCTATTTCCTTGTTACTTGGCATGATGGCGAATCGGATGAACTCGGTTTAGTATAGCCGCTCGGCTTTAGTCAGTATTTTATAAATTTGTTGTAAAATAGTATAGCCGCTCGGCTATACTCGGGTTTTTCAAAAATATTCTGGCGAATCGGAGTCGAACTCATCACTACGAACGTCTAGGGCACAGAGCAAGCCCGTTCCAGGTTTTGAGCAGTGTTCTAGATATCGGCCTAGGCCCTAGGCGGGAGGACACCGACACCAGGGAGTTAGGGGGGGCCTAGGCGGCTCCTAGGCGGCCTGGGCGGATCTAGGCGGCTCCTAGGCGGCCTGGGAGGATCTAGGCGGCTCCTCGGCGGCCTGGGAGGATCTAGACGGCGCCTAGGCGGCCTGGGCTGTAGTTAATGAAGAGATGAAGCTTGAATTCGCAGTCCAATCTTCAAAATTCAAATACTCGGTCTTGAGCCTCTCTCTCAACTCAAGCTTGGATTTTTTTCCTTTGGTTTCGGCTGCTGCGTTGATTCGATTTTTTTTTTGGGTGCTTTTCTGTTATTGAAGTTGGCAACGTCAGATGAACATCCAAGGCAGTTTCTTAGTATGCCAGAAGAAGCCCAGCAGATGGTTCTTTAACCTGAGGCACACCTTGCAGTTTGGCATTGGATTACACCATGTCGGTCTGAATGACAAAGATAGATCTATGGTTGAGGAGCTTTTTGCAAACAACAAGATTCAGGCATTTCTGTTTTACCTCAGTAAGCATGAGTCTTTCCCGAAAAACACATTAGGAAAAGAGAATATAAAAAGATAATTTTCTTACTCCATATACTGATTAGGCATATGTATTAAATTATAGGTATTGGTTTGTACCAGTACATTGGCATGGGGTGTAAACCTTCCAGGTCATCATCTGTTCATTATTAAGGTAAGGTAAAATTTGTGCGGTATCTTTTTCATTTGGTTCTTATATTTACAAAGGTTTCTAGCAGGAGTATATTGCAGCAGCTGTTCTTCAGGACAAATTTATGTAAGTGTTGATTCTCTTGCAGGGAACAGAATATTATGATGGGAAAACAAAGAGATATGTTGATTTTACAATATCAATCACAGATATATTGCAAATGATGGTTTTGGTCACACATGACTACATAGAATAAAAAATGGAAAGAAAGAAATATGTGAATCAGATTACATGTTTTCATCCCTTTATAATCAACAGTTGCTCAGATTCTACAAGAAAGATGGGAGTAGATGTCCATCACAATCCGCCCGCCTAAAAATCAATAAACACAAATCATATTAGTTTCTGAATATTTGCCTAAAATATTAATACTAGGAATCAGGTTGTTTGGGGTTTTGAATATCAGAAATAAAAGACCAGTGCTAGTGCGAATTGGACATTCTGCCTTGTTTATATTACTACATTCTACAGCTAGCATATCAGTTGATTAGTTAGAGATGTTAATCGGGGATGCTGAGCACCCTCGAATGTTGTTAGTCCATGCTTCTTTCCTGTATTGTTTATCTTGTTTTGTTTTTTTTTCCTTTGTCCTCCAAGAGAAGCTCTTCTTTTGTCTTATTTACGTAGATTTATCTGGCCTGAGGAAGGATTGGATGTGAGTTAACCAGACATTCAGAGACCCCTAAAGCATGAGAAATTATGACTTACTCATTAAAGTGTTGTTAGAAGGGCCACTTTGGAATTTAGCCATATATATTTTTGTCTGTAAGGACAATGTGCAGCACTTGCACTTAAATGGTACACTAATTGTTTCTGAAAATGGTGAAGCTTTGTTTTATCTAATTATTTATTTTTAACAATTACGCTTTCATTCGGATGATTTGTTCCTTAAGAAAGTAGAGTTTTCACCTCCTAGCCTCTTCTCATATCTTTTGGCTTCTTTTCAGGGTTTATGGTTTGATGGAGATTCTTCCCTTGTGGATGATGCCATGAACTTGCTAACTCGCTAAGCAAAAGAGGAATATTCAGCGTACAGCTACTATTCCCCAAGGCAACTTTGCAGACCATGATTGGAAATTTTCCTGCTTAAAAAATGTATCTGGTACAGACTTCTAAGATAGTGGAAACATGGCTGACTAACCCACAGGTCAAGATTTAACATGACTGGACAACTTTTTGAGTGGGCTGGGTATATTGAAATACAAGTCAGTTATTTGCTTTCAGGCGTGTTAACTAATTTCAGTAGCTTTGCATCTAGAATATTTTGTTCTTCTAGGATCTGCAGCCTTTTCCACGCATCGAAGTGAAATTAAAACTTCAGCGAAAAGTCTTGCTCTTTAGACATCACACTGGTGAACACTAATTTCAGGCAAAACAAATCAAGAGCGTTATTACTAGAGGGAGCAATAGAGATTTTAGCCTGTAAAAGTAGTATGTAATTGTTAGGAATCTGGTTTGGCCTAAGTTGGATGAGTAGTTGGAAATCCTGACTGAATCAGACTTGGGGAATATACAGACATAGAAACACATAGTCGGGCTTTGCTTGTTGTCATAGACTATGAAGCCGCAATTCACCTCTGGAAGGTTGACAAGTTTGACTTTGTTGTCTGCATGAGTGCCTATATCGACGTCGTTTTTGCAGCGTTGAAATTGGACTAGTCTTAGCGGTACGTATCATTATTTGTGTGACAGTAACACTATATCTAACAACTTAAAACTACGCATTAGAACTAATATTTCTTTTTACTTCTGTGTAGGTTGCAATTTTGTGATCAGGGTACTTTTGTTTGTGGCAAGGCCAAGGACTTTTGTTCAAGGAAACCTTCCGAATTCCATGGTTTACAGAAATGTTGAGCAGTATCCCAATGCAAAGCAATGTTCCTGGAATTCTGAAATTCTCATACTTGAGATTGATGCTCCCATTTACTTTGCAAATAACAACTACTTAAGAGAAGAGTACTAATTAATTAAACCAGAGTAAGAACTAAAGATTTGGGGCTTAAGAAAGATAATAGCAAGTACAGGGACTAAGGTTTTTTGAGTTGTTCTTGAGGTGGTTGTACTATCTTTTGTTTTCTGGTCATGTTTGTGTTCTAGTGAGCCAGAACTAAAGATTTGGGGCTTAAGATAGATAAGTGGCTTATCTATGGGACTGGGAAAGAGACATCCCACTTTGTTTGAGAAGGTTTGAATCAGACATTTAATTTTTATGATGATTGCACAAATTTTCATCTACAAATTGATTGAATAACTAGTGTAGTGCTTCAAGTTACCAGTCGCTTCTAACCAAGGTGCTTTCTGATAGTGCCACCATACTCATTAAACATAGAGACCTCTGTGTGTCATCTGTTTGATTCTAATAATTTCCGAGTGTTAAGTTGGTTAGCGTTTGAGCCATAAATTACTGAAACAGTCTCATGATGAAAGAATTGATTGCGTTATCATGATTATTTGTGATCATAGAAACTGCTTTCTAGAAATCCTTTAATCTTCTCTGATGTATTTTGTTTCATTTGTAGGCACACTGGTTGGAGAGGACTTGATGAAGGCATCGTTGTAGTTGGGACTTGCATGATTTAAAAGCCACAATGGCTGGTTGCATGTCAACCCCATCCAAAACAATTAAACCATGGAAAGAACACTGTCAGCGGGTCATCAAACGCCATAGATAGGCAACCTGCTCCGCTTCAGATGGTACCAAGAAAAGAAATGCAAGTTTCAAGAAAATAAATAGTGATGCAGGAACTCGCTTGAGCTGTCAATGAGTTTGTTCACGTGGACTTTAAGAATGGTGCAACAACTACTCACAGAAGATCTAAGGTTTCTAATTCAACATTCCATCTCACCCAGCTGCAATGGCACCATAGTCAATATGATTCGAATGGTGTGTGCTTTCTTTCATCAGATTTCAACTATCTTTCAATTTCAACCAATAGTGCTGACAAGAAAATTCATAGCTCTTGAATCTCATATTTTGAAAGTTATTCATTTGCAGTAATTTTCCAAGAGGAAGCTTGGTTTGACTCGGTGAGTATTCTGGAGTCTGACTCGGATGATGACTTTATCAATATACATGGAGGTATTGGCCATCAGCCTGTAACTACATATTACAGAATGAAGGCCTTGTGGTCTTGTTTGATTGCAAAACGTCATTACTACTGAAGTAATTTTTCTTGAGCTACTTATTGGAAAAGGATTTTGTTTTGTTTTCTTAATTTTCTTCACTTATTCTACAGATGGTTTTCCATTAGCAAGCAATCCAGTTGGGAATATCTCAAGTGGCCAAGTACTTCAGCATGAAAGATTTGCTCGCTTTGTTGATAATGAGTGTAAGTATGAAGAATATGGAGGTAAATCAGATAAAATCACAGGCAAAGATGAGCGCAGGGAATCAAATCGGTTTTCGCTTATTAATACCCAGCGCTATGAGCTTTCTCACTTAGGGAAGGCAGATGAAGTTTGCAGTAAGAGGAAGAATATAGTAGATCACTCTTATGGAAGCTTTAAAGGACTTACAGAAGATGGACGTGATTCTAATGAAAAAATTCAAGACAATGCCCTGAAATCCGGCTTATCTCAATTATAAATCTCACTTATCCATTTAATCCTGCTGCAATGTTTCTTAGTGATAGTGATGGAGAGAGGAGGAGTCTTGTAATGTATTTCAAGGTTTTTGAGAATTTTGATAAAAACATCTCTCCTCAATTCCAGGACAGCATCAAGGTAACTTTATTTTGTATGCAACTTCATCCATTTGGAGAGGCACGTACTTTATTCTGATGTACTCTCCCTGATGGAAATGATCTTATGTTCTATTGGAACACGCAGTTTGTTGGTATATTTGAATGATGCTTTTAGAAAATGGTTGACGATGAGACGGAAAAAGTTAAAAGGATTCGCAAAGGACTCCACTGTACTTTTCAGAGAAAGACTAAAGATCTTGACTGGGGTGGTAAATCCTGAAGATCTTGGTCGGAGTTCTACTGAGAAGAAGCTTGTACATGCATATAATGACAAACCAGTTCTTTCACGCCCCCAGCACAATTTTTACAAGGTAAACATTGAACATTTGTGTTGCTGAGTGTTAAGAAGATGAAACATAAAAACCATGTTGTTTGACTTTATCAAGCTCTCTCACACGCAGGGTCCTAACTACTTTGAGATTGATCTGGACATTCATCGCTTCAGCTACATATCAAGGAAGGGTCTCGAATTGTTGTGAGAACGTCTTTAAAAAAGGAATAGCCGAGCAGCTATTCTCGTAAAATATTCTATTTATGGTGTGTAGTCACTCAAAAATATTCTTTTTATGGAGTATAGTCGCGTGGCCATACTTTTAAAATATTCTTTTTACGGAGTATAGCCGTGCTGCGATACTCTCTTTTAAAATAGAGAATTTATGGCGTATGGCCGGACGGTTATACTCTCTTTTAAAACATTCTGTTTATGGCTTATAGAGTATAGCCAAGCGGCTATACTTTTAAAATATTCTATTTTACCAATATAGCCACGTAGCTATACGCTTTAAATATAACAATAAAAATATGGATTTCTATGTAGCAAAGCTGAGCCTTGAGGTAATGAATCAATTAGACATGGTATGTATATGTTCTAGCTTTGTTCCTCTGTGTGTGCTTAGGGTCGAGAGAAAATTTATACCTTGTTTGTGTGTTGCATGTGTATGAGAAGTGATATAATGACGTTGCTTATCTTTTTAGGTGCCCTTTGTCATATTTCCTAAATATGTTCGAATATTTAAACAGTATAGCAGAGCATCTATATTCGAATAATAATATAATTTCTTATTGAAGTAATTAAAAAAGGCAAAGATATTACTTAATGACATATATATATGTCTATATATATATATATGAAATTAAAGAAGTTGGGCAAAAAATAAAAGTAAAGAAACTAATTTTGTATTTAAAAAAAAAATAGCAAGAAGACCAAAGGTCTATGCCGACAACTGTTTGCCGGATTAGACCTCTCCTGAGGAAAGTTTCCTATGCTGACGAAATGTCGTCGGGAGAGGTCTAATCCGGCAAAATTGCACCGAGATAGACCTGTGCCAACGAAAGTTCGTCGGGAGAGGTTTTTTTAAATAATAAGTATAAACTTAGTATCTTTAGGTCAGTACATTTTATTTTAAATTTTCTTTTTAGTAATTCAATAAAATCTTAGCCTTATTTAATTACTTTCATTAGTAATTATGTTTTAATCATTATTTATTTTGTGAATAATTAGTATTAAATATTTTAATTAACTTCATAAATATATTACTCAATAAATAGTAATTGGTTTTTTTAATTTTTTTCTTTAATAAAATACTTAAATACTAATTATTCAATAAGTAAATAATAATTAAAACATAACTACTAAATAAAGTAATTAAAAAAGAGAAATTCAGATTATGATATTTCAAGGGTATAGCCGTGCGGCTATACGTTTAAAATATTATGTTAATGGAGCCTTACCAAAACAAATTTATGTCCGGAGTGCTAAATTGAATCAATAAATTTGTGATCATGAAAATACTTTAGTAATTCGCTGACTCACTTGTGAAGTTATTTTATTGCTTGTGTACATATCCACATGACATGTTGATGTGATTTATCAAAATTTTCTCAAATTATTATAATTCGTGCACAATAGTTATAAAATTCAAATTTTACACAAAAAGAAGGAACAATAAGAGAAAAAATCGCAGCCAAACGTGGTTCATATGGTAGATCCAAAGATTCCTATGAAGATGAATCCATTCTTCTTAGAAAGGTTAGAATGGTGGTTCATATTTTTTGAAAAATAGTATAGCCGCTCGGCTATACTCCTTTTTTCAAAATTTATTTTAAAAATGGTACTTCCATGCGGCTATAATAGGTTTTTTCCTAATTATATTTTAAAAAGAGTACAACCACACGGCTATACCAGTTTTTACCGAATTTTTTAAAAACCAGTATTGCCGGGCGGCTTCACTTGGTATTTTCTTAATTTTTTAAAAAATAGTATAGCCGTTCGGCTATACACGGTTTTTAAAAAAATATTCTGGCGAATCGGACTCGAAGTCATCACTACGAACGTCTAGGGCGCAGAGCAAGCCCGTTCCAGGTTTTGAGCACTGTTCGAGATATTGGCCAAGGGGCTAGGCAGGAGGACACCGACACCAGGGAGGATCTAGGCGGCGCTTAGGCGGCCTGGGGGGATCTAGGCGGCGCCTAGGCGGCCTGGGCGGATCTAGGCTGCCTGGGCGGGTCTGGGCGCCAGGGCATGTCCTTCTTTTTCCAAATGAAGACGGAAGAAGCTTGCTGGTGCGAAGGAGCAAAGGTGACATGTATATATTGTGTGAGAAGGAGGAAAGGTGACATAAAATAAGGAAAGGCATAAGAAATGAGGGTTTGTTTCGTGTGGAGTGAAAGGAAGAGATAGAAAACTATGTTTCTGTTGTTGATAGAGTGAGAATTGGGAGGAAAATGAAGAGGGAATGAGAGATTTATAATTCCTGGTGGTCTTGGTTGAGAGATTTATAAATTAGTCGTCAACACGCATGCAGGAAGAGGTCGGTTAGTGGAGGGAGGCGCATTGGCATTGCTCACCAATGCCTTTCTGCTTTATTGATTTCTTTCTAGTACTAGAAGCCTAATGTTACTGTCTAAGAAAGAAAGGTCTCTTGGAGCTTTATAACTGGCTTCAAGGGCATCTTCCAGCTAATATGACAGTGGACCATGAAATGTATTTTGTAGAATGTGTTGACTTTGCCAAATCCTTCATCCAACTGTATCTCAAAGAGGTATGTCTTCTTTATCTTTGAAACTAGGAGTTTTTTTTGTCTATGTTTATATGCAACGTGTTTAGATTGCAACTGTAGGCAATCTATTCACCGAGACCCAAAAAAAGAAAAATTGAATCATATTTTGTTTTGTCTATCTGAATGCATCATCTTATTCAACAATTTCACGTACTAAAATTGCAGTTCTGTATTCTTCATTTGTCGTATTTTTCTTGCAGTTTTTTAGACTCATGTCCTCATTTCTTGGCTTGTTTTTGAATTGTAGGATGATGTATTATTCAAAGTGCTCTTGCATATGCTTCGTGTACCTTGCTGTGCAGAACAGTAAGGAATTAATATCCTAGTTTTCCATTGTTTTAAAAGTTAACGTCATGGATTCCTTTTAACGAGATTTTTGGGTTTATATAGGGATGAAAGGGAAAAGGTTGCATTGGAGGATTCGAATGGCAATTTACTTTTCCGTGTCTCAGATCTTTTCAATTGTTGATGTATAACCCTTGAGCTGAAATTCTTGGCGCCAGAGTTGCTCTGTTTGCATTTTATTTCATTTTTATATGTTTAAATTCTGTTTGCAACATGAGCCATTGGATCATAGTCCAAGTGGTCTCTTATCTAGCCTAGGATATAATCTGTTAGATTGTGACAAGTGTAATCATCTCATAGGGTGATAGGATCAAAGGCTAGGATTTAATTTCTGTGTAAATCAGTTAGAGAAGCAGCTCACTTCTCTCTGATATACGAATATACATATGAACAGTAAGATGATATGAATAGATATCCAGCTTTCTTACAGAGCAACGTTCTCTCTTATTTCATTTGATTTCTGTGCTTTCTCCCTTCCTCCCAAACATCCAAAAACATTGAAAACTATGAATTCTAACATCAATCCTGTACTCTTGTTCCATCTTTTACTATTAGAGGCAAGATGCTCACTCTTGGACATTTACGTATCTGCATTTCCTAGTTGTTGATTTGAAGTATATGGTATTGCAGAATAAAAAGAATCACTGACATTGTGCACTTTCTTTTTTCTTCCTATTTTGCAGTTGAGCTATGACCATCAGGTGCTCCTTGATTACCTTATTTCAAAAGATACCGGAATCAGTTGTGCAGAAGATTTTTTAAGGTCTTTTCTCTTTCTACACCTTCTCTTAACTTATGAAATCTAAACCGTGGTGGGCTGCATTTTTCTGGTGTCGACCTCGGTGACTAAACTATAAAACATTAACCCTCTGCTTTTACATGACTTCTTAATTAATTAGCAAAACAAGAATCAATTTGGTTGACCCCAGACAGTTGTTTTTAATTGCAACTCTTTGTATCTTTCATTTGCTTCTTACCGTCCTTAATGCATTCTCTTTTAGGTGCTTGCGTAAAGTGTGTGATTCATGGAGCTTATTTGTGGAATTTCTAGTGGGTGGGCAAGCTACAAATCAATCATTTTGCAAGAAAAGAAAAGTTTCATTGGGTGGCTCGAGTTCCTGGGGAGAGGATTCTCTTGCACCAACCAAAAATCATCTTACATTTCTTGATGATGAACCTGATGAAGAAAATGAAAATGGCTGCAAGCACACCCAAAATGGAGGACAGTATTTCAAAGAAGCCAAAGAGTGCTTACTTTCACTTAAAATTTCTATTGAAGGTCTACACCAAAAGAATCTGTTTCCCTACAATCCTAATGTTCTTCTGAACCGGTACGTCTCTTTGAAATGAGTTTCATTATGCTTCCCAGTAAACTAGGGATTGCTCTTACTATAGGGTTTGATTTTATTTTGAATTTACTACAGTCAACTTCTTTCTTTCACTTTTAGTTTCATTCGTTCCTCGTGATCACGACTTATCCAAACTAAACTGGTTGCTCTTTGCTTGCAGCTTTACAAGATTTCAGGAACTCTGTTTTGAGGAAGAGAAATAAACTTCTAAAAGAATGAACTTATCAGCACAGATTTTTGCAGAGCATCATTTATTCCTTTGAGTTGAAGTGATAAAATGAGATGTTGCCAACCAATGAGGCCAAGTCCCGACGAAAACTCTTTGAGTTTCTTTGAGTCAGGCAAGTGGGCCACAGTCAGACAATGCTGTAAAGAGTGCTTTGAGATCCTCATGACTCTTTGAGGCCATATATGGAGATTTTAAAGAAGTGAATGCACTTCGTGGATGAACGTTGTTACATTGAGCAGTGAAGGAATAGAAGAACAAGCTTTGTAGCTAAGGTAATTTAGATTCTATGTATAGAATTTCCAAGTTTTTTCCTCAACAAGGATAGGCGAAGAAATCTAATTCGTAGCATAGTTAAATCCACCACAGATGAAGTCAAAGTGATAAATGGTTCTGATCATATGTTCATGTTTGTTGTCTAGACCAATAAAGCTGTTCTCCCACCTCCAGGATATTGCTTAAAAATACTCTTAAACATGAGCACCCTGCTAATGCACTATACATATATTTGATATGAATAAACTATTGTCAAAGAAAATCACCTGATATTGGTGTAAATTAATTCTATCCAAACTATACCAGCTGCCAGAGACGGATAGAAAAGGACTTTACCTAATCTCAGGTGTCAAAGAAAGGATGCTATGCGGCTATAAACGTTTAAAACAAAGCAGGGACATAGAGTTCCACTCCAAGATGACAAACCAACGACACAGCTGCTCACGGCATTTTGTAGATATCGATGGCTTTTATCTCACTAAACTAGACCAAGTCTTAAAAGTACTTATGATGATGTGATAGATTAAAAATTATATATAACCTTCACTACGTTAAGCATTTTGTGCATTTACTTTTATTCTCTTTGCTCACTAAGAATGTGTTCTCGATCTCCAAACCCAGAAGCCCAAAAGAAGCATTTTGTGCTGGTTCATGGAGCTGGCCATGGAGCATGGTGTTGGTACAAGTTGTCAGCTCTGCTGACCTCTGCAGGTTACAATGTTACAGCTCTAGACCTAGCAGCATCTGGAGACAACCCAAAACAGATAAATCAAGTCCATTGTTTCGCGGACTATGTTGAACCGTTGATTGAATTCATAGAGTCTCTTCCATCAGATGAGAGGGTTATCTTGGTGGGCCATAGCATGGGTGGGGCCGGCATATCTATTGCCATGGAGCGGTTCCCTGAGAAAATTTCTGCGGCTGTATTTGCCACCGCGTTGATGCCTGGCCCTACTATCAGTTACCTGACCATATTTGAAGAGGTATAGTTATGTATAAAACGATATTCTATCGTAATTTAATCTAAATTATTGGGAGGGAGATTTGAACTTGGTGCAAAGTGGGGAGATATTCTATTACGGAGAGGGAGATTCGAACTCGGATACAAAATGGGGAGCATGCAACTTTGTTGATTATTTTTTCTATATACGTATCCTTAAAAATATATGGATTTACTAATTATAATATGTAACAGGTTAGTAGTAGATCGGAATTTATGGACTCTCAATATAGATTTGATAAAGGACTCAACAACCCTCCAACATCGGCAATTTTTGGTCCCCAACGTATGACTTCAGTGTTTTACCAGCTGTCGCCACCAGAGGTAAATCTTGAAGAAAAAATGCGAGAAATTGTTTGAGATATATCTATACTATTATATAAACCGGAAAATGTCAATTATTCACATTTTAAGTAATTAAAATAAATCTAAATCTAAATTTTAAAATGAGTTATTTACTCCAATGGTTCCTAAATTTTTATCCGAATTTCATTTCGGTATTCCAACTCGGTTTTAGTTTTTGTCGTCCTCCCTCTATCCCACGCTTTCCAATAATTTAGTCATTTAGTCAAATTTCATAAATTTTTTCTTCTATTCGAAAATCAAAGTGAAACTCAGGTATAAATTTAGAAATCATTGACAGTTAAAAACAACCCTATTAAAATTAAGGGTGCTATAGTAATTATGCCCATTTTATGCATGTGGAGGAGTCTAGTCTACATCCATCTAGGTTCAATTTTCCAATTGGTTAAGCTTCTACGTAACGTTTCCTATTTTTTCTTTCATTTGTTTATTTATTTTTGATTTGGATGTCAACAGGACTTAGCACTGGCGTTGTCATCGCTGAGATTTTTCCCTCTCTTTGATGAGGAAATAAAACTCACCAAGGAGAAATATGGGTCGGTTCCTAGAGTATATATCGTGTGTGACCAAGACCTTACCATTGGGGAGGATGTGCAACGGTGGATGATCAAGGAAAATCCTCCACATGAAGTCAAAATGATAAACGGCTCTGATCATATGCTCATGTTCTCCAAACCGCAGGAATTCTTCTCCACCCTCCAAGAGATTTCTGATCAATATTCCTAAACATCGTGAGCACCTGATAAATTATAGCTAGGAGCTTGTCATCATTGTAGATGATGCAGTTATGCTAGCTAGTCTTTCTGACCCATTAAAATTGTGAAAAATAAAATCGCCAATTAGTTGGTGTAATAAATTTCAATATATATACATTCTCCAATAAGTATTTAAGTTAAGGATTAGTTACATATTTCTAATTTCGGTCGGATTGTATCTAAGAGACTACCAGCACATTTAATGAATGCAATCCAATGACCAAAATTAGAAGTATGTAATCAATTTTTAACAAAAAATACTTATTGGAGAATCTCCCATATCAATATATATATATATATAGCAGTGTGATATTAATCTCATGTAATCTTTTCTTTTTGGGGAATAATGCTATTTTTTGTTGTTGAGATTGTATGATATCATAGACGAGCCTTTATTTGAGGGAAAAATTAAAAGTGAAATAGTTTGCAGAAATTTCCTCCTAATGATGCACATTTGTAGTTTACCAAACAAATAGAAGTAAAATATTTTGCACAACTCTTTTCCTTGAATCTCTAGCCAACAGCCAACGGGGCTAGCTGAATACTGGTCATCAATGTCTTCTTAATTTTGCTAACTCAACAGCCAATGGGTCTAACCGAATGGAAAAATAACCTTAACTTGAAGAGCATAAGCTATATATCCATCTCCATGCTGTGTTGCCAACCCCACAGTAAGACGGAGAGAGATAGAGACATAGAGAGAGGAGGGGGCGGAGTGCATCCGGCTGGGGCTGGGGCTGGCGCTGGCTGTGTCGGGGAGAAGTAGTTGTTCCGCACTGGATCAGAATCTTGACAATGGAGAATCCGGATATGAACTGAGGCTGCCTCCGCCCCTCTCTCTGTCTATGTCTCACTCCGTCTCTCTATGTGTCTCTCTCTCCCACCCCGACGCGCCTCCATTGCGATATGCCCCAAATTTGGAACTCAATTGAAAAGGTAAATTGAGTTGGATTTTAACTTGAAATCCAAATTTAACAGGTAGGGTACCTAAAGAAATATGGAACTTAACAATGATGAAGGAGATATTCCTCGACTCCAACCATTTTAACGGTATATTTGTTGCATTGCCTTAATGCATAAACAACCTAAGTATATTTGTGTATGTGAGCCTCCGTGCGTTTGTATGTGATTCGCCTCGCTTATCTTTTTGTCATGCGAGCCTCGCCATTTTGTTGCAGTCCATGCTCTTAATTATATATGCATAAATATTAAGTTTAATTAACACACACACACACATATATATAGTCGATTTTTCAAAACTTGCAAACAAGATCGGGAATTTAGACAAGCTGGAGATGTTGAAAGGGCCTATTCCTGTGGCTGTTTTCAACATGTCTTCCTTGACTACTTTGGCTCTACGTGGAAACAACATTAGTGAGTGGTTGTCTTCCAGACATTATATGCCAGCATCTTCCTAATCTTGATGTTAATGTGCATCCACGGTGCAGATCAGTTTCACCAGCTCAAAGGGATATCATTGGCGAACAGTTCAAGATTGCAGTATTATTTGTTTATACCAAAATGAACAGCCAATAAGCATCGGACACGTGGACCAAACTGGAGCTATGGAAGCCTTCGGCACCTAGCTTCGGTACCGTTCCTACCGATCGCACGATTAGGGCAACTTCACCCCCAGGGACACGTGGCAGTCCCACAATTGGAGTCCACAGTCCCACATTGAAATTCTAAACAACTTTCACATCTCCCAAGGCCTATAAAAGAGGACAACTATCCCAACTTGGAGGTAATCAATCATAACTTACGGCATACTGCCTATTGATCTGTAGTTCAATCTTACTAAATTCGTACTTACTTAAGCATCGAAAAGTCTTCGGCCGGTACCACATCGGTGCCCTAGGTTTTACTGAGCGTTTGTTATCTTGCAGATCGAACGCCCTACCGAGGCCCAGAGCATACCGAAGGCCCAACATCACTAAGTTGCGTGGGAAAGTGCCGAACCATTTTTCTGCGTCAACATTATTTTTTGTTTTTGGTTTTTGTTCAACGTTTTCTTTTTCAGCTTTATATATGACTCAAATTTTGCTGGAAATAGCTTGTTTTGTCAAGCTGAAAGAGTACTGGTTAAATCCAACAGCGAAGGATTTTACTGAGACTAGAAAACTTTGGAAAAAACAGTGGAAAGTCCATGGTAAATACTCTGATATGCTTGCTAAAGACTACTTCAATTTACCATTCAAGTTTTATGGAGACGTTAATGTGACAAGGATGTTTGAGGATGCTGGGAGTTTCAGTTGGGATGGATTTTTATCATAGCTTGATCATTCAAGTGATAAGACAAAAGACTAAAAAATTCGCAAGTATAAAGTGTTATAATGGAACGTTGTGGGAAGTTCAAATCTGCTTCGAAAAAGATGGAGTGTTTCGGGACTGTAATGTGACGCCTGAGGATATGTTTTGGGATGTAAACGGACAATAAATGAATATCACAAAATTTCTTCTTGAGATGTCATCTACTATAAAGGCAGAGGTAATAACAAATTGTTCTTTCTGAGTTCTATGCTGTAATCACACATTTATAAATTGCCTATGTGATTGTAGAAATGTTATGGTAGAGATGAGGATGGTGGTGGTAAGACTCCTACTATAGCTGATTAGCCCAAGCAATGAGCACTAAGTCTGGTGGTGGTGAGTAAGTTAATTAAAGTTACAATTAACAATCTTTTTTCTATTCTTTCATTTTTTTCATGATGGTTTTTATGTGTGTATTATGTTGATGTTTGGGCTACAGACCAGTGCCTTTAGTAGTAAACTAGCTCTCATCGTTTAGTCCGTTTGTTCTATATTAAATCTATTTTAGAGGTATTTACAATGTTAATTGAATTGTAGCAACCGAGTTCTTGCTACAATGTTATTATTTGGAGATGCATAGGGGCTTTCCAATGCAGCAACACAAATCTGAGCAACCTCCTCTCTTGATATCTTACCCTGCATATATATAAGGTTTATTATCACAAAACGTCCCTAAGGTTTACGAAACTATCAGATTGCATCCTTAATGTTTTTTTTGTGTCACTCATGGTCCTCAAGGTTAGTATGTGCAATCACAAATGGTCCTTGCCGTTAGGTTATGTCAAAAACTCTGTTAGTTTGTTGACGTGACATACATATATATCACAAAACATCCACGAGGTTTACACACTTATCACAAATGGTCCCTACGATTTTTTTTTATTTTTTTATTTAAAATTCATAAAATTTTGGGTTTCTTTTTAAAATTATTTATAAATGAAAAAACCATTTATAGAAGGATTTTAATCTTGAGGACCATTTATGAATCCTAAACCTTAAGTTTTTTTCATTTTTAAATTTTATGAATTTTAAATTATTTTTTAAAAACTTCATTAGTTTGTTGATGTGGCATGTATATGGAGCCCACATCTACAATAATATAGTGTCACATGTATTTAAAATAATTATAATTCTTAAAATTTTAAAACGAAAACAAAAATTTTATGAATTTTAAATTTAAAAAATTAAAAAATTTTGTAAGGACCATTTGTGATAGGTGTGTGAACCTCAAGGATGTTTTGTGATATACATATATGCCACGTCATCAAACTAATGAAGTTTTTGACGGAACCTAACGGCAGGGACCATTTGTGATCATACATACTAACATTGAGGACCACAAATGACAAAAAAAAACATTAGGGATGCAATATGATAGTTTCGTAAACCTTAGGGACGTTTTGTGATAATAAGCCTTATATTTTTTCAGTTTTACACCTCTGTCTTAATTTTTGCAGGAGACAACTTGTGTTGTCAAGATGAAAGAGTACTGGCCAAATCCAACAACGAAGGATTTGACTGAGAATAAAAAAATTTGGGAAAGACAGTGGAAAGAGCATGGTAAATAAATACACAGATCTGCTTGCTGAAGACTATTTCAACTCAGCATTTAAGTTTTATGAAGACGTTAATGTGACAAAGATGCTTATGGATGCTGGAATTTCAATTGGGATGGATTTTGATCCTATCGTGATCATTCAAGTGATAGGGAAGAAGACGAAAAGCTTCGCAAATATCAAGTGTTATAAGGAAATGTCGCGGGGAGCCCGAATCTGCTTCGGAAAATATGGAATGTTTCGGGACTGTAACATGAGGATTGAGGATATGTTTTTGGGCTGTAAAAGGACACAAAATGTATATCACAAAATTTCTCTTCCTGAGATGCCACCTACAATAAAGGCAGAGGTAATACCAAATTGTGCTTTCCAAGTTCTATGTTGTAATAATACTTTTATAACTTGCCTCTGTGATTGTAGAAATGTGATGGTTGAGATGCGGATGAAGCTGGAAAACTCCTACTGTAGCTGATTAGCCCAAGCAAGCAATGAGCACTAAAGTCTGGTGGTGTGGTGACGAGTACGTTAAAGCTCTAAGAATATGCTTTTCTTTGGTTTTTATATGTGTATTATGTTGCTCCTTGCTAGTCAGAACTTTAGTCACACAAGTAGGCCAAGCAGAGTGCCCATAGTAGGAAGGTTTTTGTTGTTGTAGCGGTTATGGTTTTATATGTTTCAAAAATAAATAAAGGTCGTAATTCCTATCATTCTTAAAAAGAGAAAAATAAATTCCTTGACCACTCCTAGGCGGCTTTAGGCCTTTAAAACAATAATAAGGGGGACGCTAGAGATACACACTCCAACATATGACAATAAAACTAAGACTATACCAAATGCCAAGCAAAGATTGGAGCATGTGTGATCAGCTGAGCATTTTGAGTATTTCGTTTTATTTTTGCTTGAAAAGAATGTGCACCTCATCTCCAACCCTAGATGCCTTTAAGAAGCATTTTGTGCTAGTTCATGGAGCTAGCCATGGAGATGGAGCATGGTGTTGGTGTAAGTTGTCAACTCATCAAATAACTAAACGATTTCCAATATTTGATTGAGTTTTTGCACATATGATCTTTAAATTGTGATTTAAAAAATGAACGGTTTAGATAATGACATGTATATTGTGAAGATTACTTAATCACACCACACTCAAACCTCTCAAGACACCCAAGGCACCCAAAACCTTACAAAAGGTCAGTTCATGATGCAAAGGACTCAAATGATATGGATGAACCTAAGCATATTCCTTTCTTGTATAAACCAAATACAAGAAAAGCCTAGCTGCAATTTAAAGGCTGAAAAGCCAAAGTATTCTTTGTTGCTGCTATCTTGTCCATTTCCTCCGTTATGGAAACTTCAACACACATGCCTGACTCAAAGAAGATTATACACAAAAAGAGTGACACATGCATGCATAGTATGGTTGTGGACACTCTGGCAGCCTCATCACCGCATTTTGTATGGATAGCGTTTATCTTGAGCAAGCTCATTCATAAATTAATGTCTAAACTTTTGTGAAAGATAAAATAATCAAAATCAAAGAATTTGTGCTTTTGTTTTCAGAGAAGATTCCAAATGGACTTGGAGAATTATGACTTTGCCACTCAGGGAGGAATAACTACTGAATATATATAGGCCAAGAAAAGAGGCCAAAAATTAACCTCAGAATTTTAGTCTCTCTTTGCTCACTAAGAATGTGTTCTCGATCTCCAAACCCAGAAGCCCAAAAGAAGCATTTTGTGCTGGTTCATGGAGCTGGCCATGGAGCATGGTGTTGGTACAAATTGTCAGCTCTGCTGACCTCTGCAGGTCACCAGGTTACAGCTCTAGACCTAGCAGCATCTGGAGACAACCCAAAACAGATAAATCAAGTCCATTGCTTCGCGGACTATGTTGAGCCGTTGATTGAATTCATGGAGTCTCTTCCATCAGATGAGAGGGTTTTCTTGGTGGGCCATAGCATGGGCGGGGCCAGCGTATCTATTGCCATGGAGCGGTTCCCTGAGAAAATTTCTGCGGCTGTATTTGCCACCGCTTTGATGCCTGGCCCTACTATCAGTTACTTGACCATATTTGAAGAGGTATAGTTATGTATAAAACAATATTCTATCGTAATTTAATCTAAATTATCAGGAGGGAGATTCGAACTCAGATACAAAATTGGGAGCAACTTTGTTGATTATTTTTTCTATATACGTATCCTTGAAAATATATGGATTTACTAATTATAATATGTAACAGGCTAGTAGTAGATTGGAATTTATGGACTCTCAATATAGATTTGATAAAGGAATCAACAACCCTCCAACATCGGCAATTTTTGGTCCCCAACGTCTGACTTCAGTGTCGTACCATTTGTCGCCACCAGAGGTAAATCTTGAGGAAAAAATGCGAGAAATTGTTTGAGATATATCTATACTATTATATAAACTTGGAAAATGTCAATTATTCACATTTTAAGTAATTAAAATAAATCTAAATCTAAATTTTGAAATGAGTTATTTACTGCAATGGTTCCTAAATTTATATCCGAATTTCATTTTGGTATTCCAACTCAGTTTTTAGTTTTTGTCATCCTCCCTCTATCCCATGCGTTCCAATTTTATCATTTAGTCAAATTTCATAAATTTTTTCGTCTATTAGAGAATCAAAATGAAACTCAGGTATAAATTTAGAAATCATTAAGGATGCTGTAGTAATTATGCCCATTTTTTGCATGTGGAGGAGTCTAGTCTACATCCATCTAGGTTCAATTTTCCAATTGGTTAAGCTTCTACGTTTCCTTTTTTTTCTTTCATTTGTTTATTTATTTTTGATTTGGATGTCAACAGGACTTAGCACTGGCGTTGTCATCGCTGAGATATTTCCCTCTCTTTGACGAGGAAATAAAACTCACCAAGGAGAAATATGGGTTGGTTCGTAGAGTATATATCGTGTGCGACCAAGACCTTGCCATAGGGGAGGATGTGCAACGGTGGATGATCAAGGAAAATCCTCCACATGAAGTCAAAGTGATCAATGGTTCTGATCATATGCCCATGTTCTCCAAACCGCAGGAATTCTTCTCCACCCTCCAAGAGATTTCTGAAAAATATTCCTAAACATCGTAAGCACCCACCTGATAAACTATAGCTAGGAGCTTGTCATCATTGTATAGATCGATGCAGTCCAACCAAAGTCGTCTCCTACAACATATGTTTTCTGCGAAGCTTTTAGTGTACGCAGTGACAGATCTATTAAGGCATAACACCTCCTCTCGTCGGAAAAATCATTGTAAGTGCTTCAAATTGCCTCTTTGCTCAACTGTTATACAGATTACCTTATTTCTATTTTCAACATTTAAGTAAATGTCTTTGTTCTTGTCCTTTTACTTTATATTACTTCATTTACTTAAGTTTACAATGTAAATAAGGAAGTACCCCACATTTGGATTCAAATAAAAATACTAGAAAATCAAATTCCCACCAAATCAAAATATGAAAAAATCGGTTTTAATGCAAAATACGATTTAGGCTAAAAATGATGGCTCATTAAGTCAATATATACTTCATACTAAAATCCCATAAAATCAAGTTTTCTTATTTGATGTGTAAGGAATAAAAGCTGCCAAAAATTATCTCGAGAAAATTATTATTCTGAAAAACTATTTTTCATACTTAGTCAATATTTTTACATAAAACAATTTTTCATGTATGATATGAATGCATGAAGGGACTTAATGTCAATCTATGTAAAAACCTTAGATGCAAAGAGTTTTTAGCCTTTCAAAATTGCACCTCCGCTCAAAAATTCCTAGGTACGCCAGTGAGTGTAAGCAGCAATATTGCTGTTGTTGCCACCCTTACCAAAAGAACAGTGAAGTTCATTATAGGGAAATATGTACATGTATGTAGCAAACATATTTTAAATTTTAAAAACAAAACTTTGGCCTTTAATCGTTAACCAGCTAGCAGTCTGGAATATATGCCTGCAGGGTACTTGGAAGTCAACTTTATAATTCTATTCCAGTAAAATAAAAAAAACCTTCCAAATCCAATGAGACGTATGGATCAGTTCGTAGAGTATTCGTCGGGTGCGATCAAGACCGTACATTAAACAAGGATTTGCGACAATGGATGATCAATCAAAATCCGCCAGATGAAGTCAAAGTGATCAATGGTTGTGATCACATGGTAATGTTCTCTAAATCGCTGGAGCTGTTCTACTACCTGCAGAAGGTTGCTGAATGCTGAGAGTTGTTAAATATTCATAAAATTAAAAACAATAAAAGAAAAAAAATTAAAAATAAAGTGAGCACCTGGCAACTAGCTAGGAGCTTTATCATCATTGTACAATGATTTATGATGCAACCACATATGAATAATGATATATAAGAGGGATTCCTTAACCTCTTTCTCTGATTCCTTAACTTATTTGTAATTTGGAATTTCCAAACCAATCTTTTTATACATCTTCATCTCTAATTCTAAATGTTTGGCACTATTAGCTTGTCACATCTTCAATCTGATCGATCCATGAATCCCTAACCTCGAAAAATATATTGGAAATTAGCTTAACATCAAACAAATATATATTATTAAATGTAACCGAAAGCCACTTAATATCAAAATGAAAATATGTTGAACAACAGAATTAATAGTATATATGAGCACAGTTTGGAAATCAAATTAATGGGTCATCAAAATCTTTACAATGGGTCATCAATATCTTTAGATTTGAAATCAAATTAATGTTTCGTAAAAAAATGAAAATAAATTTTTTAAATAATTGAAACTAGTTTGTCAGCATTTTGTATAGATAGCGTTTATCTTGGGCAAGCTCATAAAGAAATTTTGTTTTTGTTTTTAAAGAAGACTGCTGGCAACATAGACTTGGAGATTATGACTTTGCCTCTGAGGGGGGATTAATTAATTAATTATTTGTACAATAATTCACTGACTTTTCAGTTTGCCAACATCATCTGAATTTTTTATATATCTAGATTAAGCAGATTCATGATATATAAAAGTAACACTAGACCAAATGCATTATAGTACAGGCCAAGAAAAGAGAGCGAGGTTTGTACGAAACATGGAGAATATGAGAGTGAAGCATTTGGTGTCTTTCCTTTTATTTCTTAGCTTCACCAGAATCTGCACCCCATCTCCAAACCCAGATGCAAACCAGAAGCATTTTGTGCTGGTTCATGGAGCTGGTCATGGGGCATGGTGCTGGTACAAGGTCTCAACTCTACTCACCTCAATTGGTCATAATGTTACAGCTCTAGACCTAGCAGCATCTGGGGTCAACCCAAAGCAAGTTCAACAACTTCATTCTCTCTCGGATTACGTTGAGCCATTGATGAGATTCATGAAGTCTCTCCCGCCAAAGGAGAGGGTCATCCTTGTGGGCCACAGCATGGGTGGGGCCGCCCTATCCATTGCCATGGAGAAATTCCCTGAGAAGATTTATATTGCAGTATTTGCCACCGCTGTAATGCCTGGTCCTGCTCTCGACTACTTAAATCTGTCATCTCAGGTAATGAGTTCAACAGACTCACAGATCACAACATCACATACTTTGTCCAAAATATGTTAATTTCAAATGTTTTTTAATGTTAGATTTTAAGTGTCCTCTGTAAATTATTTTACCCACCAAAAAAAATTATCGGAGCCTCACCACTTGTCGGTGGTAAATTTTAACAATACAAACCCATTTTGCTAGTACTGTTCAAAAAATATTACTAGTCTATTAATCCTTAAATAAACATATCGTTACTTTTTATATCTTTAAAAACAATATATATATGAACGATAGTTAAGGGGATTTTGTTATGTGTAATGTATAAAGGCTTGGTTTGATTTTCTAAAGGGAATTTGGTTTTAAATTTCGAGTTCTCATTGTACAATTAATTAAACCCATCAGATTAGGGATGACTAGCTAGTAACCAACAATAACACGAAACATGACATGATGATACAAACACAATATATATAATCCTTTAATATTAAAGTCCAAATGTATCCACCAATTGATATATATAATCTTTTGACTTTGATATAAAAGAATTTCTGTATATATATATATATATATATGATGAATATTAATAACTACGCGTTTAAAAAATTATACAGATTTTGAACAGTCTGGATGTGATGGACAGTCAGTTTAGATATGATCGGGGACCCAACAATCCTCCTACCGCCGCACTTCTTGGGCCAAAGTTATTGTCATCGTCAATGTACCAACTCTCACCACCAGAGGTATGTCTTTACAAAGAAAGCACAGTGAAAATTGATTTTATGCACGTGTCCTTTTAGCTAATATTGTTCATCTTTCCCTTTTCTTTCTTGGTTGGTGATGATCAACGAACAGGATTTAACACTAGCATTGTCCTTGGTGAGATTCACTCCTCTCTTTAGTGATGATATAAAACTCACTAAAGAGAAATATGGATCGGTTCGTAGAGTATTCATCGGGTGCGACCAAGACCATATAATAACTGACAAATGGCGAATGTTGATGATCAATAAGAATCCGCCGAATGAAGTCAAATTGATCAATGGTTCTGATCACATGGTGATGTTCTCTAGACCGCTTGAGCTGTTCTCCTACCTCAAGGAGGTTGCTGAGAGTTAGACTTTCATAAAAAATGCAACCATATATGAATAAACTTTTGGAAAATAAAATGTAATCTATATGACAAATTTAATTTCGTAGATCATAAGGCTCAACGGATCTCTAAGTGTGATGTTTTAAATAAAAAAAATTGATGTCATTAATAACGGATCACCTACTTTTATGATGTAGATTAATTTGGTTATTCGATGTGAGTCCATAATCACTTCCACATCCATACTTGTATCGAGCCACATACAACTCCAACAAAAATTCTTATGACTAGTATAGTAGGACTTCTGGTATATACAAGGGCAGAGCCACTAAGGGACCAATGTGGTTCTGGCCCACACCACCCCCATATTAAAAAAATATTATATATTAATATCTTTTATGATACTTCTAATATTTCTAGGGTTTTCTCTTCAAGTTTACATTTTTTTTCTTCATGTTTTAGATCAATTTTCTCAAAATTTAGTATGCGTATTATTATTTTTTACACAAAGCCTTCAAATCTAAGAGTCATTTTCACCAATTTCTCTAGATTTGTGATTACTTATTCTCTTATTCTCTTATTCTCTTATCAAGTTTCAATTGGGTTGACTCACTTAATTAAGATTGTTAATCTTTCTCCTATTTTTTATTGTTTTCAAACCTTAAGACCGCTGTTGTTTGAAAGTCAGTTCTACTACTAATTAGGTGAATTGTTGGAGCAAACTTATGACATCCGATATAGTCCATGTTACCCACCGTCCAATACCAAAAATACCATACCGTGATTAAATTATATCTCAAATAGTTCTTAAGCTAGTGATATATCTTCTCCAAATTCAAATTCCCTCTAATAAAATATGATTTTTTTTTAATTCGGTTAGTAGACTTTACATTTATATATTAGGAGTACTATATTGGGTTGTCTCAAAATCGTCTCTTACGTCACAAGAAAGGTTGAATGGATTGGCAATCTTATGCATTGAAAAGAATATGTTGGAAAATCTTGATTTTGAAGATGTTATTGAAGATTTTGCTTCTCAAAATGCTAGAAGATCAAGGATTTTTCAAGCAGCTATTTGTGTATTTGATAAAGGGAAAGCATCGGATATTTGCACATTGTAATGGGGTGGATCTCTTATTGGCTGCCTGTTTGGGAGGAAAAAGGCTCCAAGCAGATTTTGGACCCTTCCAAATTTGCTGCAACCATTTCATATGTTGTTTTCAAAGCTGCTTTTGTGATCCAAATTATACATAGAAAATGACTTTGCTATTAAAAGACTTAGACTTTGCTTTATAATTGACCAGGTAGGATTATGCTCTATACGTATGTTGTTACTTATTGTAGTTTCTTTGTCCAATTGCGTTACCATTTGTTACTTTTCTTATGTTGTATGATTCTTTCTGCATACCACAAAGAGGATTTTGCAAAACTCATGTGATGAAGCCTGAAGCCATAAACCAATCTTAAGGGAAAAGGTTTAGTATTTTGAACAAATACTCAGTTTTAATGTATCTTGACATGTTCCCATTATTAGTTGCTGGAATGTTAGTTCGTAAATTTGTAATTTCCTTCATGATATTAAATATCTAATCTGATTTTTTTTTTTAATGGAGATATGTCCTATTATAACATGCTACCTTTTTTATTCACGATCTATGCTCTACATATGTTGAAATTATTGCATATTTGTAGAAAAATATAGAAGCTTGAAGAAAGAGCTATAAGCTTGAAGGGAATAAAAGATTGAAGAATGTTCCAGAAAAACCAAGAAAGCATGCAACAAGGAATTGTGGAGAAGTTTCTAGGCAAAGCCACATACATGTGGCTGGAGCAAATGCCCAAGTCGGTGGACAAGGGCTAAGTCGGCAAAGGTGCCTATAAATAGGCATGCAAACAAGAAAGAAAAGATGGAGTCTAACAAAGAACTCCCAAACTATTAGGGAGCACAAAAGCTACCCAACCCAAATCAAAGTCGAGTCATCCACCAACTCCCAATCTACGTGGAGTCAACTAATAGAACTCCCAATCTATGTGGGAATAAAAAAAGCTACCCAACCCAAGTCATATAAGGAGTCAACTATAGAACTCCCAATCTATGAGGGAGCCAAGAGCTACCCAAACAAAGTTATGATGAGGAGCCAATAAGCTCACCAATCAAAGTGTAATGGTCAAATAGTCCAAACTAATCTAAGTGAAGGGCCAGATAGCCCAAACTAATCTAAACCAAGTGTTGTGGCCAATAAGCCAATATGCTAAGTGAAGAAGGCCAATTAGCCTACACTAAGCCATGTACTATTCACCTCCTCAATTAATAAAATCACTTTGTTGTTTCCCCCTTTCAATTCTAACAACATAAAATCATTTTATTTGTTATTTTTTTGCAATTGTATACCAAAAGAAGAGGGCTCATTTAGTTTATCGCCTAGGGCCACCCAAAAGTCAGGGCCGACCCTGCCATGACAGAAGCACAAAACAACATCAGCACATACCAGTCTGCTCTTCTTGCTCTCAAATCTCATATCACCACTGACCCTCAAAACATCTTGGTCAACTGGTCAACCACCACCTCCGTTTGCAACTGGGTTGGCGTTACTTGTGGCGCTCACCACCTTAGAGTTGCAGTCTTGAACCTTTCTTACATGGGACTCACCAGCACCATTCCTCCGCACCTCGGCAACCTCTCATTTCTTGTTGAGCTGCGCTTGAGAAACAATACCTTTCGTGGCACCTTGCCCCAAGAATTTGTTAGAATAGCAATATTGAACAGAGATTTAACAGAGAGAAGCAGAAAATCTTAGGAGAAGAACTGATGTATTCATTCATTGATTTTTCAACACAGTACAGTGATTGTTTTTATATTAGCTTATCAAAGCTTTGTATATATGTTTCTAACCTCCTAACCTCTCTAACTTCTTTAACAGAACACTAACTCTTTTGCTAAAAACTGTCTAACAGTCTTAACAATATTTCAACAACTCTCTTCTTCAATCTTCTGACATGTGGCAGAGTGAGGACCGTTGATATCTTTACATGCCCCCTCAATCTCATGCTTGGAGGAGCCAAGCATGAGATTGGAACAATGATGCTGGAATAAAGGAATAGACAGCCCCTTAGTGAGAATGTCAGCAAATTGTTTCGCAGATGAGACATGTTGCACAAGTAAATCACCTCGAATGACTCGTTCTCTGACAAAATGATAATCAATTTGGAGATGTTTCATTCGGGAATGAAACACCGGGTTGGAAGAGAGAGCAATAGCAGAGATATTATCACAATGAATTAAAGGAGGAACATGTAATGGGACGTGCAGATCACAGAACAACTGTCTGATCCATGCAAGTTCAGCAGCAGCAATAGCCAAAGCCCTATATTCATCCTTAGTGGACGAACGAGAGACAGTATGTTGCTTCTTAGAAGCCCAAGAAATAGGAGTAGAACCTAAGTAAACAATAAATCCCGAAACAAATCTGCGATAATTAGGATCCCCAGCCCAGTCAGCATCACTATAAGCGTGCAGATGAAGAAGACCAGGCTTAAACCAAATGCCAAAATCAAGAGTTCCTTTCAAATACCGCAGGATTCTCTTAACTGCCACAACATGAGACTCCATGTGATTATGCATAAATTGACAAGCTTGATTCACTGAGAAGGCAATATCTGGCCTTGTGAAAGTGAGGTACTGCAGAGCACCAACAATGCTTCGATACTGCTCTGGATGAGAATAAGGTTTGCCATCATCTTTCAACAGTCTGTGATATGGGAGACAAGGAGTAGGACATGGTTTTGAATCCTGCAAATCAACCCTGTCAAGCAGTTCCTTGATATACTTAGTTTGAGACACAAACAAGCCAGCAGACTGATATGAAATTTGCAGCCCCAGAAAATAAGTCAACTGACCCAAATCCTTCATATCAAACTCCTGAGTTAAAGCACCAATTACAGATGTAATAAGAGAGGAATTACTGCCAGTAAGAATGATATCATCAACATAAAGAAGCAAAACCACAGTACCAAGCGACGAATGTTGAATAAAGAGAGACGGATCTGCATTTGAAGCTTGAAAACCCAAGCTTAGTAAGAAGCTAGTAAACCTTTCGTTCCAGGCACGAGGAGCCTGTTTTAAACCATACAAGGACTTCTTGAGTCTGCAAACAAAGTCAGAAGGATGATGCTTACTCGCAAAGCCTTGAGGTTGTGTCATATAAACCTCCTATTGAAGAACCCCATGCAAGAATGCATTTTTAACATCAAGCTGCCGTAAGGACCACTGAAACTGAAGTTGATTAGCTTCGGATACTACAACTTTATGGGAACCAATCCATCGTGATTTGGCTCCTTCCCCAAACTTGAAACCTTCAACTTGTATGGCAATCAATTTTCAGGTTCCATACCCACTTATATCTTCAACTTATCTTCACTTCAAGTAACCAATCTCAACAATAACCAACTATCAGGTACGTACCTTTTAACATATTACCAATATAAACTTTGTTTTTTTTCGTGCCTTTTTTATATCTTGCCAAATGCACATATTGAACATGTACATGTTACGTATTTGACAGGTAGCATACCGAGAGAAATCGCAAACTTAACCACGTTGAAGGAGATAAACCTTGACTATAACAAATTCGAAGGTGCAGACTGACTTAAGTTCCCAACTTCTGATATTATTTGCTGATGTTTTATGTGCTTTCCATCTAGTAATTTTGCTAGAAATCAAAGCTGACATGCAACTGCAGGGTGTTTTTGTAAACAATGGTATTTGATATATTTTGTATATTCACAACGTTGAATATATACAAGGATTTATCTAGCAGTGCCTAGAACAAGCACCCTACGTTTTGATCCTACAATTTAGTAATTAACCTGGAATCCTAACTTGCAGCCAACGAATATACAAGCGAGGAAAGAATATATTTACAATGATTTCATATCTTAATACTTTTAAGGTTTCGTTATAATAATTTCGAACATTGCACCAAAACATATAAGATAATCCTCCATTTATAGCCAAATAGGTGTGAGATACATTAATTTGTTTTTCCTGTGCATTATGTTGGGCCCGTTTGCTATGAGTATAATACGTATGTGTTGAATTTTCAGAAATTCCAAACGAGATCAGCAGTATAGAGCTGCAGTTCTTGTGGATGCAATTCAATGCCCCAAAAGGTCATGTTACTAATGTTGTCTTCAACATATCTTCTTTGAAAAATCTGGCTCTATCAGGAAACGGCTTGAATGGTAGTCTTCCAGACAACATATGTCAACATCTTTCGGTTATTCGAGGGTTGTATTTGCCTTACAAGTAGAGGTCTCAGGTTTGAACTCCCTATGACATCTTAGTTGTGTGTATGTTAAAAACACCACATTCCATGTATAGTTTAGACAATCGCTTGTACTAAAAAAAATTTGCTACCTCAACAACTTAAATACCCTTAGGGCACTTACTTAGTACTATTAAATTATACAGAATTGCATGGATGTTGTGAAGTCCGGCTTAAATATATATATATATATATTTGGAAATCAAATGTTTTGCTTATAAGTTAAAATTTCGTTTAGATTGATTATATATGTACATGGGTTATAGTTATATATATATATATATATAACAATAATAATCTGACCGCATAGTTAATACTTTCATGACAAATTATCAAGAATAGTACTATTGTAAAAGAATACTTACTTGGTTGATTTAAGTGATGCCACGTACCAAGATATTTACATAAGAAAAACTTACCACTCTAGTTTCTTCACAGGTGTAAACTTAGATGACTAAGCTCTTACCTAGATGACTAAGCTTTTGGTTAAAGCATGAGTTGTTGGCCTTAGGAGAAGTGGGATGATCTAGGAAATCAAGTATATCACCAAACCTACACTCCACCAATCACAAACCATCAAGTTATTGCCTTTTACTACTATAAATAGGAAACCAATTCTCTTAACTTGTTGTAAACAGCATGCATGGTAATGCATGATAGGAAGCAATAGAGTGAGGAAAGAAAAGGAGAAATATTAGAAAGTGTAGAACAAGAAGTTCGTTGAAGGAACTCGAGGTGTTTGAACTTACAACTGGGAATTATACAATAGCTTTGGATTTGAGGTAGGGGTTTTTTCTGGGGAGGTTTTGCATACATTGATTTAATTAAATATTGTAAATGCTATATTATGCTTGGTAATATTATTTGATTATTATTGTAAATACTCTATTATGCTTGGTTATTTCATTTGATTGTTATCCTTGAGCTTGGGTGTATAGGTATTGTCAATTATCATTATAATTTGATGAATACTAACATTTTCATATGTTGTCGGTGGTGGTTGGAATTTTTGGGTTGACAAAGAAATTATGGAAAAGAAGATAATATGAAGAATCTTTTTGTGTAGTTGAGTCTAAATATTGTAGGACCAAGTTCAGGCGAGCCCGTGGGCACAGTAGATTAGGAAATCGGCAGTATAATTGTCGATTGGGTGATTTGGGCTTGGAGATCAATGGTGTAGATAAGATGACTAGCAAAAGGGGAATTATGGGATAACTGAGACGGGTGTTAGTTTATATAATGGGGCATTCGGAATCACAGTGGTAAAATGCATGGTATGGGACATGCAGATTTGCTTGCCCTATTATATAAATTAACGGGTTGGGTAGAAATGAAGTTAATTCATGCATTGCATAAATTGTACATTATAAATCTCACTAATCACATAAGACATAGGACCCCTACTGAGCATGTAATGCTCACCCCTTATTGAATCTATTGCAGGCTTTGAATCTGAAGTTTAGTTTTTGCTGAGGAAACAAGAAGAATGGATTATGGATAGTTTTGAGTGTTTTGTTGAAAGTTTGTTACTTTCTTGTTAGTTTGCTTGTAATAGTACAATGTAAATTACTTTGACTTAAATAAAAGTTTATGTTCAATTTTCATGTTTCTTGATATTTAAATTTTTAGTTTTAATTTTTCTTTTACCTCACATTCCCAAAAAAAAAATTGGGGTGTGACAGATGTTCTTGAATTTTCAAAATAAATAAAGGTCGTAATTCCTATCATTCTTAAAAGAGAAAAATAAATTCCTTGACGTGGGATTAAGACAAAGTCAAGACCGGCTTGCCACTCCTAGGCGGATTTAGGCGTTTAAAACAATAACAAAAGGGAACGCTAGAGATACACACTCCAACATATGACAATAAAACTAAGACTATACCAAATGCCAAGCAAAGATTGGAGCATATGTGATCAGCTGAGCATTTTGAGTATTTCGTTTTATTTGTTTGCTTGAAAAGAATGTGCACCTCATCTCCAAACCTAGATGCCTTTATGAAGCATTTTGTGCTAGTTCATGGAGCTAGCCATGGAGATGGAGCATGGTGTTGGTATAAGTTGTCAACTCATCAAATAACTAAACAATCTCCAATTTGATTGAGTTTTTGCACATATGATCTTTAAATTGCGATTTAAAAAATGAACGGTTTAGATGATGACACGTATATTGTGAAGAGTACTTAATCACACCACACTCAAACCTCTCAAGACACCCAAGGCACCCAAAACCTTACAAAATGTCAGTTTATGATGCAAAGGACTCAAATGATATGGATGAACCTAAGCATATTCCTTTCTTGTATTCTTTGATACAATTGTAGACACGTCTTGTATAGAACTTTATATCCTCTCAAATGTATAAACCTAATGCAAGAAAAGCCTAGCTGCAATTTACATGCCGAAAAGTCACAGTATTCTTCGTTGCTGCTATCTTGTCCATTTCCTCTGTTATGGAAACTTCAACACACATGCCTGACTAAAAATAGATTATACACAAAAAGAGTGACACATGCATGCATAGTATGGGTGTGGACAATCTGGCAGCCTCATCACCTCATTTTGTATGGATAGCGTTTATCTTGAGCAAGCTCATTCATAAATTAATGTCTAAACTTTTGTGAAAGATAAAATCAATCAAAATCAAAGACTTTGTCCTTTTGTTTTCAGAGAAGATTCAAAATGGACTTGGAGACTTATGACTTTGCCTCTGAGGGAGGAATAACTACGGCACACGAACGCGCATATATTTTGACAATTATTCACTGACTTTTCAGATTGCCAACATCGTCTGAATTTTTTTGCATTATAGTACAGGCCAAGAAAAGAGAGCAGGGTTTGTGCGAAACATGGAGAATATGAGAGTGAAGCACTTGGTGTCTTTCCTTTTATTTCTTTGCATGACCAGAATCTGCAGCCCATCTGCAAACCCAGATGCAAACCAGAAGCATTTTGTGCTGGTTCATGGAGCTGGTCATGGGGCATGGTGCTGGTACAAGATCTCAACTCTACTCACCTCAATTGGTCATAATGTTACAGCTCTAGACCTAGCCGCATCTGGGGTCAACCCAAAGCAAGTTCAACAACTTAATTGTGGATGCAATTCAATGCCACCGCTTTTATGCCTGGTCCTGCAGTTCTTGTGGATGCAATTCAATGCCCCAAAAGGTCATGTTACTAATGTTGTCTTCAACATGTCTTCTTTGAAAAATCTGGCTCTATCAGGAAACAGCTTGAATGGTAGTCTTCCAGACAACATATGTCAACATCTTTCTGTTATTCGAGGGTTGTATTTGCCTTACAAGTAGAGGTCTCAGGTTTGAACTCCCTATTATGACATCTTAGTTGTGTACATGTGTATGTTAAAAACACCACACATTCCATGTATAGTTTAGACAATCGATTGTACTAAAAAAATTTGCTACCTCAACAACTTAAATACCCTTAGGGCACTTACTTAGTACTATTAAATTATACAGAATACATGGATGTTGTGAAGTCCGGTTTAAATATATATATATATATATATATATATTGGAAATCAAATGTTTTGCTTATAAGTTAAAATTTCGTTTAGATTGATTATATATGTACATGGGTTATAGTTATATATATATATATATATAATAATCTGACCACATAGTTATTACTTTCATGACAAATTATCAAGAATAGTACTATTGTAAAAGAATACTTACTTGGTTGATTTAAGTGATGCCACGTACCAAGATATTTACATAAGAAAAACTTACCACTCTAGTTTCTTCACAAGTGTAAACTTAGATGACTAAGCTCTTACCTAGATGACTAAGCTTTTGGTTAAAGCATGAGCTGTTGGCCTTAGGAGAAGTGGGATAATCTAGAAAATCAAGTATATCACCAAACCTAATACTCCACCAATCACAAACCATCAAGTTACCGCCTTTTACTACTATAAATAGGAAACCAATTCTCTTAACATGTTCTAAATAGCATGCATGGTAATGCGTGATAGGAAGCAATAGAGTGAGGAAAGAAAAGGAGAAATATTAGAAAGTGTAGAACAAGAAGTTCGTTGAAGGAACTCGAGGTGTTTGAACTTACAACTGGGAATTATACAATAGCTTTGGATTTGAGGTAGGGGTTTTTCTTGGGGAGGTTTTGCATACATTGATTTAATTAAATATTGTAAATGCTATATTATGCTTGGTAATATTATTTGATTATTATTGTAAATACTATATTATGCTTGGTTATTTCATTTGATTGTTTTCCTTGAGATTGGGTGTATAGGTATTGTCAATTATCATTATAATTTGATGAATACTAACATTTTCATATGTTGTCGGTGGTGGTTGGAATTTTTGGTTTGATAAGAAATTATGGAAAAGAAGATAATGGGGAGAATCTTTTTGTGTAGTTGAGTCTAAACATTGTAAGGACCAAGTGCAAGCGAGGCCGTGTGCACAGTAGATTAGGAAATCGGCAGTATAATTGTCGATTGGGTGATTTGAGCTTGGAGATCAATGGTGTAAACAATATGACTAGCAAAAGGGGAATTATGGGATAACTGAGACGGGTGTTAGTTTATATAATGGGGCATTTGGAATCACAGTGGTAAAATGCATGGTATGGGACATGCAGATTTGCTTGCCCTATTATATAAATTAACGGGTTGGGTAGAAATGAAGTTCATTCATACATTGCATAAATTGTACATTATAAATCTCACTAATCACATAAGACATAGGACCCCTACTGAGCATGCAATGCTCACCCCTTATTGAATCTATTGCAGCCTTTGAATATGAATTTTAGTTTTTGCTGAAGAAACAAGAAGAATGGATTATGGATAGTTTTTTAGTGTTTTGTTGAAAGTTTGTTACTTTCTTGTTAGTTTGCTTGTAATAGTACAATGTAAATTACTTTGACTTAAATAAAAGTTTATGTTCAATTTTCAGGTTTCTTGATATTTTAATTTTTAGTTTTAATTTTTCTTTTACCTCACAAAAAAAAAAAAAAAAAAAAAAAAAAAGAAATGTGGGAGATGTGTCTTGAATTTTTCAAAATAAATAAAGGTCGTAATTCCTATCATTCTTAAAAAGAGAAAAATAAATTCCTTTGACGTGGGATTAAGACAAACTCAAGGCCGGCTTGCCACTCCTAGGCGGCTTTAGGCGTTTAAAACAATAACAAAAGGGGACGCTAGAGATACACACTCCAATATATGACAATAAAACTAAGACTATACCAAATGCCAAGCAAAGATTGGAGCATATGTGATCAGCTGAGCATTTTGAGTATTTCGTTTTATTTGTTTGCTTGAAAAGAATGTGCACCTCATCTCCAACCCTAGATGCCTTTATGAAGCATTTTGTGCTAGTTCATGGAGCTAGCCATGGAGATGGAGCATGGTGTTGGTATAAGTTGTCAACTCATCAAATAACTAAACGATCTCCAATTTGATTGAGTTTTTGCACATATGATCTTTAAATTGTGATTTAAAAAATGAACGGTTTAGATGATGACACGTGTATTGTGAAGAGTACTTAATCACACCACACTCAAACCTCTCAAGACACCCAAGGCACCCAAAACCTTACAAAATGTCAGTTTATGATGCAAAGGACTCAAATGATATGGATGAACCTAAGCATATTCCTTTCTTGTATTCTTTGATACAATTGTAGACACGTCTTGTATAGAACTTTATATCCTCTCAAATGTATAAACCAAATGCAAGAAAAGCCTAGCTGCAATTTACATGACGAAAAGTAAAAGTATTCTTCGTTGCTGCTATCTTGTCCATTTCCTCTGTTATGGAAACTTCAACACACATGCCTGACTAAAAATAGATTATACACAAAAAGAATGACACATGCAAGCATAGTATGGGTGTGGACAATCTGGCAGCCTCATCACCTCATTTTGTATGGATAGCGTTTATCTTGAGCAAGTTCATTCATAAATTAATGTCTAAACTTTTGTGAAAGATAAAATCAATCAAAATCAAAGAATTTGTCCTTTTGTTTTCAGAGAAGATTCAAAATGGACTTGGAGACTTATGACTTTGACTCTGAGGGAGGAATAACTACGGCACACGCACGCGCATATATTTTGACAATTATTCACTGACTTTTCAGGTTGCCAACATCGTCTGAATTTTTTTGTCTAGATTAAGCAGATGCATGATATATAAAAGTAACACTAGACCAAATGCATTATAGTACAGGCCAAGAAAAGAGAGCGGGGTTTGTACGAAACATGGAGAATATGAGAGTGAAGCACTTGGTGTCTTTCCTTTTATTTCTTTGCATGACCAGAATCTGCAGCCCATCTGCAAACCCAGATGCAAACCAGAAGCATTTTGTGCTGGTTCATGGAGCTGGTCATGGGGCATGGTGCTGGTACAAGGTCTCAACTCTACTCACCTCAATTGGTCATAATGTTACAGCTCTAGACCTAGCAGCATCTGGGGTCAACCCAAAGCAAGTTCAACAACTTAATTCTCTCTCGGATTACGTTGAGCCATTGATGAGATTCATGATGTCTCTCCCGCCAAAGAAGAGGGTCATCCTTGTGGGCCACAGCCTGGGTGGGGCCGCCCTATCCATTGCCATGGAGAAATTCCCTGAAAAGATTTATATTGCAGTATTTGCCACCGCTTTAATGCCTGGTCTTGCTCTCGACTATTTTAATCTGATATCTCAGGTAATGAGTTCGACAGACTCACAGATCACAACATCACATACTTTGTCCAAAATATGTTAATTTTAAATCTTTTTTAATGTTAGATTTTAAGTGTCCTCTGCAAATTATTTTACTCCCAAAAAAAATATATATCGGAGCCTCACCATTTGTCGGTGGTAAATTTTGACACTACAAACCCATTTTGCTAGTACTGTTCGAAAAAGATTACTAGTCTACCAATCCTTAAATAAACATATCATTACATTTTATGTTTTTAAAAACAATATATATATATATATATATATATGAATGAGAGTTACAACTATAATTTGGGTTCCCATATTGGGGGTATTTAGTTATATTGAGATATTTAGTCATATACCCATTCTTAGCACGAAAATTATAAACAAACAAAAAAAAACTCAAAAAGTGACAGCTGGCCCTATTGAATTCAATTTTGATTATTAAATTACTTTAATGTCTTATTGAGTGCTTTGGGCTTTTTTTTAATGAGGTTTTGGGATTGAGTTTGTTTTAAGAAATCAATGGCAATTTTGTAATTTAAAAGAAGTTAAAAGTTTTTTTGTTATGTTGTAAATGAACTTTGAATGTGTTTCTAAAGTCCATTTCATGTATGTTTTTTTTATAATTTGGGCTTCTATATTTGGTATAATAGTGAAGCTCCCTTCTGAAGAGAATTTAGTTATCCATCAGATTAATTAAACCCATCAGATTAGGGATGACTAGCTAATAACATGAAATGACATGACATGATGACACAAACACGATATAATCCTTTAATATTAAAGTCCAAATGTATAGACTAATTGATATATATATATATATATAATCTTCCGACTTTGACATAAAAGAATTTGTGTGTATATATGATGAATATTAATAACTACGTTTTTAAAAAATTATACAGATTTTGAACAGTACGGATTGGATGGACAGTCAGTTTAGATATGATCGGGGACCCAACAATCCTCCTACGGCCGCACTTATTGGGCCAAAGTTATTGTCGTCGTCATTGTACCAACTCTCACCACCGGAGGTATGTCTTTACGAAAGAAGGAAAAGTAAAATTTGATTTTATGCACTTGGTACTTTTAACTAATATTGTTCATCTTTCTCTTTTCTTTCTTGGTTGGTGATGTATCAACGAACAGGATTTAACACTAGCATTGTCCTTGGTGAGATTCTCTCCTCGCTTTAGTGATGATATAAAACTCACTAAAGAGAAATATGGATCGGTTCGTAGAGTATTCATCGGGTGCGGCCAAGACCGTATAATAACTGTGAAATCGCAAATGTTGATGATCAATAAGAATCCGCCGAATGAAGTCATCTGGATCAATGGTTCTGATCACATGGTGATGTTCTCTAGACCGCTTGAGCTGTTCTCCTACCTCAAGGAGGTTGCTGAGAGTTAGACTTTCATAAAAAAATGCAGCCATATATGATATATGAATAAACTTTTAGAAAATAAAATGTAATCTATATGACAAATTTAATTCCGTAGATCAACGGATCTCTAAGTGTGATGTTTTAAATAAAAAAATTTGATGTCATTAATAACGGATCACCTACTTTTAAGATGTAGATTAATTTGGTACTTATTCGGTGTGAGTACATAGTCACTTCCACATCCATACTTGTATCGAGCCACATACAACTCCAACAAAAATTCTTATGACTAGTGTCGTAGGACTTTTGGTATATACAGGGGCGGAGCTACTAAGGGACCATCCCGGCACCCCCTCATTTTTATATTAAAAAATATTATGTATTAATATCTTTTATGATACTTCTAATATTTCTGGGGTTTTCTCTTCAAGTTTACTTTTTTTTTCCGTGTTTTAGATCAATTTTCTCAAAATTTAGTATAAATTTAAGAGTCATTTTCACCAATTTTTCTAGATTTGTGACTACTTATTCTCTTATTCTCCATATAATATATTATCAGTTTCACTTAGGTTGACTCACTTTATTAAGATTGTTAATCTTTCTCTTATTCTTTATTGTTTTCAAACCTTGAGACCGCTGTTGTTTGAAAGTCAGCTCTACTACTAATTAGGTGAATTGTTGGAGCAAACTTATGACATCCGATATAGTCCATGTTACCCACCGTCCAATACCAAAAATACCATACCGTGATTAAATTATATCTCAAATAGTTCTTAAGCTAGTGATATATCGTCTCCAAATTCAAATTCCCTCTAATAAAATATGAATTTTTTTTTTTAATTCGGTTAGTAGACTTTACAGTTATATATTATGAGTACTATATTGGGTTGTCTCAAAATCGTCTCTTACGTCACAAGAGAGGTTGAATGGATTGGCAATCTTATGCATTGAAAAGAATATGTTGGAAAAGCTTGATTTTGAAGATGTTATTGAAGATTTTGCTTCTCAAAATGCTAGAAGATCAAGGATTTTTCAGTGATTGATTGTACTTTTAATGTTACTGTTTTTATTTTTTGGACTGTAGATGGTGCAGAGGAAATCAAGCAGCTATTTGTGTATTTGATAAAGGGAAAGCATCGGATATTTGCACATTCTAATCGGGTGGACCTCTTATTGGCTACCTGTTTGGGAGGAAGAAGGCTCCATTGCAGATTTTGGACCCTTCCAAATTTGCTGCAACCATTTCATATGTTGTTTTCAAAGCTGCTTTTGTGATATAGATTATACATAGACAATGACTTTGCTGTTAAAAGACTTAGACTTTGCTTTATAATTGACCAGGTAGGATTATGCTCTATATGTGTGTTGTTATTTACTGTAGTTTCTTTGTCCAATTGTGCTACCATTTGTTACTTTTCTTATGTTGTATGATTCTTTCTGCAGACCACAAAGAGGATTTTGCTAAACTCATGAGATGAAGCCTGAAGCCAGAAACCAATCTTAAGGGAAAGGGTTTAGTACTTTGAACAAATACTTAGTTTTAATGTATCTTGACATGTTCCCATTATTGGTTGCTGGAATGTTGGTTTGTAAATTTGTAATTTCTTTCATGATATTAAATATCTAATCTGAATTTTTTTTTTATGGAGATATGTCCTATTATAATGCATGCTACCTTTTCATTCACGCGCTATACTCTACATAAAATCATTTTATTTGTTTGTTTTTTTGCAATTGTATACTAAGGGAAGGGGCCTTATTTAGTTTATCGCCTAGGGCCACCCAAAAGTCAGGGCCGGCCTGCCATGACAGAAGCACAAAACAACATCAGCACAGACCAGTCTGCTCTTCTTGCTCTCAAATCTCATATCACCACTGACCCTCAAAACATCTTGGTCAACTGGTTAACCACTACCTCCGTTTTCAACTGGGTTGGCGTTACTTGTGGTGCTCGCCACCTAGAGTTGCAGTCTTGAACCTTTCTTACATGGGACTCACCAGCACCATTCCTCCACACCTCGGCAACCTCTCATTTCTGTTGAGCTGCGCTTGAGAAACAATACCTTTCATGGCACCTTGCCCCAAGAATTGTCTTATTTACACCGGCTGAATTTGATTAGCTTCGGATACAACAACTTTAAGTGAACCAATCCATCGTGATTTGGCTCCTTCCCCAAACTTGAAACCTTCAACTTGTATGGCAATCAATTTTCAGGTTCCATACCCACTTATATCTTCAACTTATCTTCACTTCAAGTAACCAATCTCAACAATAACCAACTATCAGGTACGTACCTTTTAACATATTACCAATATAAACTTTGTTTTTTTTTCGTGCCTTTTTTATATCTTGCCAAATGCACATATTGAACATGTACATGTTACGTATTTGACAGGTAGCATACCGAGAGAAATCGCAAACTTAACCATGTTGAAGGAGATAAACCTTGACTATAACAAATTCGAAGGTGCAGACTGACGTAAGTTCCCAACTTCTGATATTATTTGCTGATGTTTTATGTGCTTTCCATCTAGTAATTTTGCTAGAAATCAAAGCTGACATGCAACTGCATGGTGTTTTTGTAAACAATGGTATTTGATATATTTTGTATATTCACAACGTTGAATATATACAAGGATTTATATAGCAGTGCTTAGTACAAGCACCCTACGTTTTTGATCCTACAATTTAGTAATTAACCTGGAATCCTAACTTGCAGCCAACGAATATACAAGCGAGGAAAGAATATATTTACAATGATTTCATATCTTAATACTTTTAAGGTTTCGTTATAATAATTTCGAACATTGCACCAAAACATATAAGATAATCCTCCATTTATAGCCAAATAGGTGTGAGATACATTAATTTGTTTTACCTGTGCATTATGTTGGGGCCCGTTTGCTATGAGTATAATACGTATGTGTTGAATTTTCAGAAATTCCAAACGAGATCAGCAGTATAGAGCTGCAGTTCTGGTGGATGCAATTCAATGCCCCAAAAGGTCATGTTACTAATGTTGTCTTCAACATGTCTTCTTTGAAAAATCTGGCTCTATCAGGAAACAGCTTGAATGGTAGTCTTCCAGACAACATATGTCAACATCTTTCTGTTATTCGAGGGTTGTATTTGCCTTACAAGTAGAGGTCTCAGGTTTGAACTCCCAATGACATCTTAGTTGTGTACATGTGTATGTTAAAAACACCACACATTCCATGTATAGTTTAGACAATCGATTGTACTAAAAAAAATTTGCTACCTCAACAACTTAAATACCCTTAGGGCACTTACTTAGTACTATTAAATTATACAGAATTACATGGATGTTGTGAAGTCCGGTTTAAATATATATATATATATTTGGAAATCAAATGTTTTGCTTATAAGTTAAAATTTCGTTTAGATTGATTATATATGTACATGGGTTATAGTTATATATATATATATATATAAAATATCTGACCACATAATTATTACTTTCATGACAAATTATCAAGAATAGTACTATTGTAAAAGAATACTTACTTGGTTGATTTAAGTGATGCCACGTACCAAGATATTTACATAAGAAAAACTTACCATTCTAGTTTCTTCACAGGTGTAAACTTAGATGACTAAGCTTTTGGTTAAAGCATGAGCTGTTGGCCTTAGGAGAAGTGGGATAATTTAGGAAATCAAGTATATCACCAAACCTAACACTCCACCAATCACAAACCATCAAGTTACCGCCTTTTACTACTATAAATAGGAAACCAATTCTCTTAACTTGTTGTAAATAGCATGCATGGTAATGCATGATAGGAAGCAATAGAGTGAGGAAAGAAAAGGAGAAATATTAGAAAGTGTAGAACAAGAAGTTCGTTGAAGGAACTCGAGGTGTTTGAACTTACAACTGGGAATTATACAATAGCTTTGGATTTGAGGTAGGGGTTTTTTTTGGGGAGGTTTTGCATACATTGATTTAATTAAATATTGTAAATGCTATATTATGCTTGGTAATATTATTTGATTATTATTGTAAATACTATAATATACTTGGTTATTTCATTTGATTGTTATCCTTGAGATTGGGTGTATAGGTATTGTCAATTATCATTATAATTTGATGAATACTAACATTTTCATATGTTGTCGGTGGTGGTTGGAATTTTTGGGTTGATAAAGAAATTATGGAAAAGAAGATAATCGGAAGAATCTTTTTGTGTAGTTGAGTCTAAACATTGTAGGGATCAAGTTCAGGCGAGGCCGTGTGCACAGTAGATTAGGAAATCGGCAGTATAATTGTCGATTGGGTGATTTGAGCTTGGAGATCAATGGTGTAAACAATATGACTAGCAAAAGGGGAATTATGGGATAACTGAGACGGGTGTTAGTTTATATAATGGGGCATTTGGAATCACAGTGGTAAAATGCATGGTATGGGACATGCAGATTTGCTTGCCCTATTATATAAATTAACGGGTTGGGTAGAAATGAAGTTCATTCATACATTGCATAAATTGTACATTATAAATCTCACTAATCACATAAGACATAGGACCCCTACTGAGCATGCAATGCTCATCCCTTATTGAATCTATTGCAGGCTTTGAATCTGAAGTTTAGTTTTTGCTGAGGAAACAAGAAGAACGGATTATGGATAGTTTTGAGTGTTTTGTTGAAAGTTTGTTACTTTCTTGTTAGTTTGCTTGTAATAGTACAATGTAAATTACTTTGACTTAAATAAAAGTTTATGTTCAATTTTCAGGTTTCTTGATATTTTAATTTTTAGTTTTAATTTTTCTTTTACCTCACATTCAAACAAAAAAAAAAAAAAAAGGGGTGTGACAGATGTTCTTGAATTTTTCAAAATAAATAAAGGTCGTAATTCCTATCATTCTTAAAAAGAGAAAAATAAATTCCTTGACGTGGGATTAAGACAAACTCAAGGCCGGCTTGCCACTCCTAGGCGGCTTTAGTCGTTTAAAACAATAACAAAAGGGGACGCTAGAGATACACACTCCAATATATGACAATAAAACTAAGACTATACCAAATGCCAAGCAAAGATTGGAGCATATGTGATCAGCTGAGCATTTTGAGTATTTCGTTTTATTTGTTTGCTTGAAAAGAATGTGCACCTCATCTCCAACCCTAGATGCCTTTATGAAGCATTTTGTGCTAGTTCATGGAGCTAGCCATAGAGATGGAGCATGGTGTTGGTATAAGTTGTCAACTCATCAAATAACTAAACGATCTCCAATTTGATTGAGTTTTTGCACATATGATCTTTAAATTGTGATTTAAAAAATGAACGGTTTAGATTATGACACGTGTATTGTGAAGAGTACTTAATCACACCACACTCAAACCTCTCAAGACACCCAAGGCACCCAAAACCTTACAAAATGTCAGTTTATGATGCAAAGGACTCAAATGATATGGATGAACCTAAGCATATTCCTTTCTTGTATTCTTTGATACAATTGTAGACACGTCTTGTATAGAACTTTATATCCTCTCAAATGTATAAACCAAATGCAAGAAAAGCCTAGCTGCAATTTACTTGCCGAAAAGTCACAGTATTCTTCGTTGCTGCTATCTTGTCCATTTCCTCTGTTATGGAAACTTCAACACACATGCCTGACTAAAAATAGATTATACACAAAAAGAGTGACACAAGCATGCATAGTATGGGTGTGGACAATCTGGCAGCCTCATCACCTCATTTTGTATGGATAGCGTTTATCTTGAGCAAGCTCATTCATAAATTAATGTCTAAACTTTTGTGAAAGATAAAATCAATCAAAATCAAAGAATTTGTCCTTTTGTTTTCAAAGAAGATTCAAAATGGACTTGGAGACTTATGACTTTGCCTCTGAGGGAGGAATAACTACGGCACACGCACGCGCATATATTTTGACAATTATTCACTGACTTTTCAGATTGCCAACATCGTCTGAATTTTTTTGTCTAGATTAAGCAGATTCATGATATATAAAAGTAACACTGGACCAAATGCATTATAGTACAGGCCAAGAAAAGAGAGCGGGGTTTGTACGAAACATGGAGAATATGAGAGTGAAGCACTTGGTGTCTTTCCTTTTATTTCTTTGCATGACCAGAATCTGCAGCCCATCTGCAAACCCAGATGCAAACCAGAAGCATTTTGTGCTGGTTCATGGAGCTGGTCATGGGGCATGGTGCTGGTACAAGGTCTCAACTCTACTCACCTCAATTGGTCATAATGTTACAGCTCTAGACCTAGCAGCATCTGGGGTCAACCCAAAGCAAGTTCAACAACTTAATTCTCTCTCGGATTACGTTGAGCCATTGATGAGATTCATGAAGTCTCTCCCGCCGAAGAAGAGGGTCATCCTTGTGGGCCACAGCCTGGGTGGGGCCGCCCTATCCATTGCCATGGAGAAATTCCCTGAGAAGATTTATATTGCAGTATTTGCCACCGCTTTAATGCCTGGTCCTGCTCTTGACTACTTAAATCTAATATCTCAGGTAATGAGTTCGACCGACTCACAGATCACAACATCACATACTTTGTCCAAAATATGTTAATTTTAAATCTTTTTTAATGTTAGATTTTAAGTGTCCTCTGCAAATTATTTTACTCCAAAAAAAAAATATCGGAGCCTCACCATTTGTCGGTGGTAAATTTTGACACTACAAACCCATTTTGCTAGTACTGTTCGAAAAAGATTAGTAGTCTACTAATCCTTAAATAAACATATCATAACATTTTATGTTTTTAAAAACATATATATATATATATGAATGAGAGTTACAACTATAATTTGGGTTCCCATATTGGCGGTATTTAGTTATATTTGAAATATTTAGTCATATTCCTATTCTTAGCACGAAAATTATAAATAAACCATACACCATTGAATTTCTATAAACAAAAAAAAAACTCAGAAAATGACAGCTGGCCCTATTGAATTCAATTTTGATTATTAAATTACTTTAATGCCCTATTGAGTGCTTTGGGCTTTTTTTTATGAGGTTTTGGGATTGAGTTTGTTTTAAGAAATCAATGACAATTTTGAAATTTAAAAGAAGTTAAAAGTTTTTTTGTTATGTTGTAAATGAACTTTGAATGTGTTCTAAAGTCCATTTCATGTATGTTTTTTTATTATTTGGGTTTCTATATTTGGTATAATAGTGAAGCTCCCTTCTGAAGGGAATTTAGTTATCCATCAGATTAATTAAACCCATCAGATTAGGGATGACTAGCTAATAACATGAAATGACATGACATGATGACACAAACACGATATAATCCTTTAATATTAAAGTCCAAATGTATAGACTAATTGATATATATATATATATAATCTTCCGACTTTGACATAAAAGAATTTGTGTGTATATATGATGAATATTAATAACTACGTTTTTAAAAAATTATACAGATTTTGAACAGTACGGATTGGATGGACAGTCAGTTTAGATATGATCGGGGACCCAACAATCCTCCTACGGCCGCACTTATTGGGCCAAAGTTATTGTCGTCGTCATTGTACCAACTCTCACCACCGGAGGTATGTCTTTACGAAAGAAGGAAAAGTAAAATTTGATTTTATGCACTTGGTACTTTTAACTAATATTGTTCATCTTTCTCTTTTCTTTCTTGGTTGGTGATGTATCAACGAACAGGATTTAACACTAGCATTGTCCTTGGTGAGATTCTCTCCTCGCTTTAGTGATGATATAAAACTCACTAAAGAGAAATATGGATCGGTTCGTAGAGTATTCATCGGGTGCGGCCAAGACCGTATAATAACTGTGAAATCGCAAATGTTGATGATCAATAAGAATCCGCCGAATGAAGTCATATGGATCAATGGTTCTGATCACATGGTGATGTTCTCTAGACCGCTTGAGCTGTTCTCCTACCTCAAGGAGGTTGCTGAGAGTTAGACTTTCATAAAAAATGCAGCCATATATGAATAAACTTTTAGAAAATAAAATGTAATCTATATGACAAATTTAATTCCGTAGATCATAAGGCTGAACGGATCTCTAAGTGTGATGTTTTAAATAAAAAAATTTGATGTCATTTGAAATTGGTACTTAGGTGACGAGGGGTAAATTTAACGACACAAACGAGACACAACAATCTTCACCACTACAACAAAAGTGTCTTTTTATGACGCATATTTAATGACACATCGAAAATACACATCATTAAATGTCATTATCTATGACATGTTTTTAAAATGCATCATCGAAGTGATTTTATGACACCGTTATCATGACACTTGCTGGACGCGTCATTAAAATCTTTTTCAATGACGCGGGATGTGTGTCATTGATTCTAGTACATTTAGACGACGCGTATCATGCGTCGTTAAGATTTTTTTTAATCTACTGCTTGTTGTGAATTTAACGACGTCCTTAACACGTCATGAAACCGTTATACAACGACACAGGATTTGCGTCATAGATGTACCCCAATTTTTTCCTTAATTTAACGACGTCCTCAACACGTCATGAATACGACGTACGACGCAGGATCTGCGTCATAGATGTACCCCAAATTTGTTCTTAATTTAACGACGTCCTCAACACGTCATGAAACAGTTATACGACGACGCAAAATCTGCGTAATAGATGTACCCCAAATTTTTTCTTGATTTAACGACGTCCTCAACACGTCATGAAACAATTATACAACGACATAGGATCTGCGTCATAGATGTACCCCAAAATTTTTCTTAATTTAACAACGTCCTCAACATGTCATGAAACAGTTAGTGAAATAGTTATACGATAACTCAGGATTTGCATCATAGATGTACCCCAAAATTTTTCTTAATTTAACGACGTCATCTACACGTCATGGGCAGAAATATTTTCAATAACCTTAACATGACGTGTCTTTTGCGCCATAAAATCTTTCGCACCTAAACGACGTAGCATATGCGTCATAGATTTGTAATTTTTTCCCCCAAATTTTTTCGCATGCCGCCCTTTTTTCACCAATTTTAAGTTTGGTGCGTCTTTTTTTGGAGGTCAAATTCTCTCTCCCTTACAGAAGCCTCATATTCTATCTCCAGTCTAATTCATTCTTTAATCCCAAATGCTCTCTCAGATCTCTTCCTTCTCAGACTTTGCAAATTTCTCTCTCTCTCTCTCTCTCTCTCTCTCTCTCCTCTCTCTCTCTCTCTCTCTCTCTCTCTCTCTCTCTCATCAAATCCCATCGAAACCCTCCCTCTCTTTCTCTGGCTTCTTCTCTGTGTCCCTTTCTCACAATCTATGGCTTCTATCCAGAGTCGGTCCATTGATTTTGGAAGCCCTGTGCAAATATGGATGTCGAGGCCCTATATATACAAGTAGGAAAAAAAAATCCATATAGAAACAAAACTTTTTGACACGGGAAGAACACATTCGGAAAGAGCTTCCCAGAAAAATTTCTTTAGTCACCCTTCCAAATCACAGAGCTGATAAATTGATTTTCCAATTTAAATGCTTGGTGAATTCTCATATGAATAAGGGAGGGAGAAAAGAACTGTGATTTTGGGGAAAGGGCTAAAGCTTGGGTTTTTACAATCCAAAATTTGATGGAAGAGGGTGGTACACTGGTAATGAAGAGAAATGGCTTTATTTTGATGGAGAAGAGTGAGAAAGAGTTGCTGAAAGAGAAAATAATATTAGAATGGTTTTGCAGCTTGAGAGTCGGGAAGATGAAAACACAGGTTTCAAACCATAATAAATAAATAAAAAGAAGAGTTCCAGTGTGAGAGTTGGGAAGAGGAAAATGAATGAAATTAGGGTCTTTACTCTCTAAGTCGTAGAATTTGTTGATAATTAATATTCAATTTTGATTTTGGTGTCTTGCATGTGGTGTTGTGGGGTGATATTTAATATTTCATTTTTATTTTCATGTTATAGTTAATTTAATACAAATTTATAAATAAACCCAATCCTAGAAATGTATTTATAAAAAAACCCAAACACTATTTACACATAGAAACACACCCAAAATCAACCCCAAAGTCAACAATTGTATATTTTTTGGGTGTGTTTATAAATGGGTTTTGAGTGTGTGTAATGATGAGTTTTGGGTGTGTTTATAAAGTGTTTTGGGTGTTGGGTTTTTTTATAATTTCAGCTCCCATTTTGGGTGTTTTAGTGAAACTCCCTTAATTTAATGAGTTGACTTGGAAAAATTTGGAGGCCCCTAAATTTTGGGGGCCCTGTGCGGTTGCACACCTCGCACACCCCATGGGCCGCCTCTACTTCTATCTCACTGGAACATTCAAGAGCTTCAACTCCTCATCAGCTAGAAGACAATTGCTCGAGGCCAATTGCTTCGAAGGTGAAGGCTGAGTGACAGTTCCCAAGGTGCGATTTTGTAAAGCCCTAACCTCCATGCTTGAAACAAAGTTTTGGTATCAGTTTAGGATTGATTTGAATTCTAGATGTCTATAGCTTGCTTTAATTGTGGATTCTATGTGAATGTTTGTTTTTATTTGGATTCTATATGTATGTGATTTTATTTGAGTGAATCCAAGATCCTACTTGCATTTCTGATTTTATTTGATTGAATTTGGGTTCTAGTTGTACGTTAGTATTTAGAATTTTTATTTTTGTTTTATTTTCAGAGAGTAATTACGATTTTGTGAAAATTTCTCCTCCTGGTTATTATTTGGGTATTATCAGTAGCTTCAGAATACAACACTTCAAATTTAATTTTCTTTGGTGGGCACTTCAATCATCGTTTTGTACTGGGTGGGCATGTGTGCTGGAATTTTAGTTGTTGCTTGAAATTTTAATTTGATATCTTATTCCCTGACATTTTATTCTTTGAAATGGTGAGGTTTGGTGCTAAAATGGTGTTGCTCGTATGCTTGCACAATTGTCTAAGGCCTTTGAGATAAATGTTATGGCTTAATATCTATGTTTGCACCAAAGCAGGTGGAACTTTCAAGATAGTGTTTTTGATTGATTATATCTTTTAGTAGCTTTGATTACATCTCTTTTTGCACCATGTAGAGTTTAATTAGCTTTGGTTACGTTTCAGAAATGTATCAAATATCCCTTTTCAGTTTCTGTTTTCACATCATCATCATCCCTGTTTTTCAATTAGCCTCAAGTCATTCAACTGCATCTCTCCTAACACAGACATATTGCTTTTGTTATCTCTCTGTTTGGATAGTCAGATGCCTATGAATGTTTTGTGGATCTGACATATATATTACTGATGCAGCTATGGTTCGAAGACATCTCCAATTGAGTTATAATCTACTTTATTTTACTTTCACAATTACTTTCTATTTCTTTTTGTTTCCATTTTATATTGACACATTATACACTTTAACCCTTGACTCTTATGCCCTGCTTACTTGCACCTCTAACTTTCTGATTAAGTCAATTGCTACTTTTATCCATCTAATAATCTTATATTGGCTTGATATATACTCTATCTTAACAAGTTGTTCACTTTAGCAATGGACAAAGAATGGGCTGAATTTGAAATATTGTTGCTTTGGAAATGTTAGGAAGTTCAAAAGTTGGCAAGGGAGGCTGATGAAATTGTGATCTTAGAGTCATAGATGAGGAAGATGTCGAATCTCTTATATCTGAGGTTGTTATAGCTGTCAATGGTAGTCAAGTATTTCATGTTCTATTATTGACTTCAAGCGTATAATATTGTATTTCATGTTCTGTTATTTCATGTTTTGTTCACCAAAAGCACTTAAGCCATTGCTTCCACTATTTCTATCAGAGCTGCCGAACTTGGTATTAATCTTGCTATTGCAGATATTGTCATTCTTTATCATAGTGATAGGTATTAATTGTGCACTGAGATGATACATTTCCAGCTATGCATTGATGGCATTATGTAGTTCTTTATCAAACCATGATTTTCATTTTCAAACAGTATATATACTACTGAGGAGAAAGCGATTGAGAGGGCTTATAACTACTTATCGATTTTTTTTTCTAGACCATTGAAAGCACTCTTGGAGAATTCAGGGTCTGTGAAGTCTTTTGAAGCCAACTTGCTGGAAGTGAACGTGTCTCCCAAACTAATGCAGATGGTAGAAGATTGAAGGAGGGTAGTCTACTATCACCCCGTACCTGTTATTCTTCAATGTCTGAATCATTTCCTCGTTGACGAGAAGAGAGACAAATGAAGTTATGTACTTCTTCGTTAATTTAAATGTACTAATGACAATTTATTTTCATTAAACTTCTCATGATGTACTAGAATCATTTTGAGTAATAGAAATATAATTTAAAGTACTTTGCCTTTGTGTCTTTATTTTTTCTTTTATATATTAATTTCTTTTTGCATAATTAAAATGATGGAATATATATATATATATAATAAGAATTTTATTTTAAAAAAAATTTAAAGAATTTCAACGACGTCTAAACTGTGTCATTGAAACTACATTCCATGAAGCAGAATAGACGTCATGTTTTGGAAATGTTTCCGCGACACGATATCCGCGTCATTGAAACCCCATTCCATGACGCTGAGCAGATGTCGTGTTTTGAAAAAGTTTCCACGACACGTCATTCGTGTCATTGAAATCTCATTCCATGACGCTGTACAAACGTCGTGTTTTAAAAAGTTTTCATGACGCGTTGTTCGCATCATTGAAATTCTATTCCATGACGCAGAATAGACTTCGTGTTTTGAAAAAATTTCCATGACCCCCCTTTTCTACGACGCTGGTAACGACGCCTAATCCGCGTTATTAAATGTCTTCTATGACGCAAATCAGACGTCATAGAAGGGTTTTTGTGTTGTAGTGTACACACTTTAGACCTTGACCAAATACACATATGACTAGTCAACTGCTAGTCATGAACAACCACAATCAAGAGTATACACAGAGCATGCCACAAGGTACATGCAACCCTAGAAGATTACTAGTGACAACCTAGGCACTCAGAAGGACCCGTCAATTTAGGCATCCCCTGTTCTAGAAACAACTATGGTGAAAGTGTGTGAAATCATCATAATCAGGTAAACACCAAACATCATATAAAGATGACTAGTCAACCACCAAGAACACAAACCCAGAAAAATTATAGATATGCAAAACAGAAATTGTTCACCCAGAAACCCACCATTGGGAAAAACTGGGGTTCATCAATTGACCAGGCAATCCACTAAGTAGAAAAAGATTCTTACAAAGGAAACACAACCAAGCTCAAGAAACACCTAAATTTATTTAGGAAGATGAGTTATACCTCCTTTGTGCAATCTTCTTCTCCAACTTAGCAAAACTTAAAGTTCAGTTCTTCATGGCAATGGCAGCTCGTTCTCCAGCTCGTTCATCCCATGGCACTAGCTTGCAAGCTTCAACTCAGACAGAAACCAAAATTTGGATTCAAAGGAGAAAGACAAATTTCCTCAAGAAACCATACTCTTGAAGAAATCAGTCTTGAATCCGACCTATATATAAATGAGAGAGTGTTTCAAGTAGCTAGATGCAGATTCGTATTTTCAAATTCAGTTTTTCAAAAAGAAATCAATTGGGAAAAACTCATAGATGAAATATATGGTTCTCTCTTGAGGAAGAAGAAGAGAAAGATAGCAAGCTAATATTTCCAAAACTTCCACACAAAAGAGACGGCCGCCAAAAGCGGAATTTCTTAGCCTTTACAGACAAAAATTCCCTTAGGTCAGAATCACACATGGCAGCAGAGAGAGAAAGGAGAATAGGACAAAAAAGTTGATTATCTAGCTGGAAATCCTACAGAGTAAGGATGACTGACTATATGAGAAACACATGATTAGTCATCATTTTATAAAAACAGTTTAATGCAATGATATGCAATGCACACTTTACCTTTGTCAAATTGCTTGAACCTCCATTAGGATAGTTGATAGTTAAGAATACCTAGAGAAGTTATTCTTAATCTAAGCTTGATCTTGATAAACACAATAAAAATCCTATTACAAAATTGTCAAGGGAAGCGAAAAGAAAAAACTCAAAATGCATACATTAACTAATAATAGATCACCTACTTTTAAGATGTAGATTAATTTGGTACTTATTCGATGTGAGTCCATAGTCACTTCCACATCCATACTTGTATCGAACCACGTACAACTCCAACAAAAATTCTTATGACTACTCTCTTCAAGTTTACATTTTTTTTTTTCTATGTTTTAGATCAATTTTCTCAAAATTTAGTATACATATTATTATTTTTTACACAAGGCCTTCAAATTTAAGAGTCATTTTCACCAATTTCTCTAGATTTGTGACTACTTATTCTCTTATTCTCCATATAATATATTATCAAGTTTCACTTAGGTTGACTCAATTAAGATTGTTAATCTTTCTCTTATTCTTTATTGTTTTCAAACCTTGAGACCGCTGTTGTTTGAAAGTCAGCTCTACTACTAATTAGGTGAATTGTTGGAGCAAACTTATGGCATCCGATATAGTCCATGTTACCCACCGTCCAATACCAAAAATACCATACCGTGATTAAATTATATCTCAAATAGTTCTTAAGCTAGTGATATATCGTCTCCAAATTCAAATTCCCTCCAATAAAATATGAATTTTCTTTAATTCAATTAGTAGACTTTACATTTATATATTAGGAGTACTATATTGGGTTGTCTCAAAATCGTCTCTTACGTGAATCAAATCTAGTCTCATACGTGAATCAAATCAAGGTGTACTTAGGAAAGAGGGAGAATTTGGCCTACTTTTTCACTGTAGTGTGCATATTAAAAAATTTACTTCGAACTTTACACGGTCACGCAAACCAACCACTAGAAAGAAAGAATTTTCCAAGATATATATGTTGTGTACGAAACAAATTCTGTACAAAAAGTCCAGGCCATGAGCACGTTGAATAATTTTATTATTATTATGCAGATTGGAAATTTATAAGATAAAGGTACCCAAAAGATTTTGCAGATTTGACATATAAGTTAAAGAAACCAATTAATGAATGCCTAGTGTTACAAACCATTGGTGAATACATATGCCACGTCCTCGGCATTTGCATGAGTGGTTCTGTTTACTCCTTGACCAATAATGTAGATAGAAATAAAGACTTCGCTTGCAACGTGGAAGTAGATGTCGGTTTATTAGTCCATACCTCAAATCTTCAAATGCCGAATTGGGTGAAGGATAGTTCCTATAAATCCAAACCCAAGGAAGTAGATGTTAATGGGAAGGAAAATGGAGCACATGAAAAACAAGTCTTTTCTCTTTTGTCTCTTACTTATTTGCTTGACAAAAATTTGTACCTCATCGCCATCTAATTACCCTCAAAACCAAACCCAAACTAGCCCGAGTGGGAAGAAGCATTTTGTGTTGATTCATGGAGCTGGTCTTGGAGCATGGTCTTGGTATAAGGTGGCAACTTTACTCAAAGATTCAGGCCACAATGTCACAGCTCTAGACTTGGGAGCATCTGGGATCAACCCAATTCAGATACAGCAACTTCGTTCGATCTCGCAATATGTCGAGCCATTGACAAAGCTCATGGTGTCTCTTCCACCAAAGGAGAGGATCATCCTCGTTGGTCACAGCATGAATGGGGCAGTCATATCTATTTTCATGGAGAGATTTCCTGAGAAAATTGCTGCTGCAGTATACGTCACGGCTTTCATGTCTGGTCCTACTCTCAATTACTCGACTATATTGACAGAGGTAATGAGTTCACAAGCACACACCAAAGTTGCAGCACCAAAATCCGTTGTGTATATTTATTAACAAATTATATTTTCGTAAAACGTACAGGTTAATAAAAGATTGGACTATTTGGACACTCAATATAGATACGATAATGGGACCAACAACCCTCCAACCTCCTTTCTTCTTGGGCCTAAGGCCCTGGCATTGAAGTTTTTCCAGCTCTCCCCAGCACAGGTTACTTATCTCAAAAATAATTCAAAAATACTATTTCATTTTTAATACAAGCAATAGTCTAACTTACAATTACTAAGGTATTATGAGGATTCAAACCTGCGATCACGTTGCTGCTACTTTAATTTATTTTCCCCTTTTTTTTTTCTCTTGTTGTTTTTGACATTTTGTTTGGTGACATATTAATGGACAGGACAAAACGCTAGGGTCCTCTTTGATAAGATTTTCTCCTCTCTTCAATTATGATGTAATAAAGCTCACCAAGGAGAAATATGGATCGGTTCGTAGAGTATTCATTGTGTCTGGGCAAGACCAGGCAATAGTGTTGGATGTGCAGAATTACATTATCAGGAACAATCCACCAGATGAAGTGAAAGTGATTAGCGATTCTGATCACGCGGTCATGATCTCTAGACCATTGAAGCTCTTCGTCCACCTCCAAAACATTGCCGAGAAATATTCATAGAAATGATTTAGGACATGTTACTACTATTACACACCGTCATTAATAAAGGTATTACAAATAAACATTTGCCATCAATTTATCATGAATTTAAATAGTTTGGTTGAAGTTATAAATTGCAATAAAAAAAGAAGAGCCGGAAGGTCCACCATGCAGTGGCGGGGTTTATCCCTTCTCTATTATATTATATATAATATGTAGAATTTGTAATAAACAACTTATTAATTAAGTTAAAATTTTCTCTAAAACAAATTAGACATGACTCAATTAGAAATATTTAGTTCTAAATATGTAATTATTGAATACTTAGGTGTGTTATATACTTGTATTATGTCTTGTTAACTTGACATAAAGTACTATATGTAAATCATCCTGTTTCCATTTTCTAATGAAAAAAGTATTATGGACATTTTGGAAAAGGCCAAAGAAGAGAGAAATAATTTTAAAAGAAGTTAAAATGGACAAAAATAACCTTATAATTGTTAAAGCTATATGACTGTTAAATTCCTCAATTGTGAGAAATTATTTTATATGGTACTGAAACATTGTTACGTGGTGCAATTAATGTAGATAGCATAACATGAGTGGAGTGTAACACCACGTGATCGTGTTATGCTGTACTGCAAAAATTATTTAGGGTTATTTACTCAAATGGTCCTCAAATTTATACCCGATTTATATTTTGGTCCTTCAATTAAATTATTTGTTCAAATGATCTATCAACTTTATATTATTCGGTCCATTGGTTCAACAGTTACATTCTATCAATATTTCCTTTAAATATGAGAGCAAATTGATCATTTCGTAAGTTAAATAAATAAGAGATATTTAGTAATATACCCATTCTTAGCACTAAAACTATAAATAAACCCTACATCATTTTATTTTTATAAACATACCCAAAAAAAACCCAAAAAATGACAAATGGTACTATTAAATTTAATTTTAATTATTAAATTACTTTGATACCCTATTGAGTGTTTTGGGATTTTTTATGAAATTTTGGGTTGGGTTTGTTTTAAGAAATCAATGGCAATTTTGTAATTTAAAAGAAGTTAAAAGCCTTTTTGTTATATTATAAATGGACTTTGGGTATGTTTATAAATTCCATTTCATATAGGGTTGTTTTATAATTTAGGCTCCTATATTGGATATATTAGTGAATCTCTCAATAAATAAATACTGAAAAATGAAATAAAAAGCTCGCTCTCCTTTCTCTCTCTCCTTCAAATCTCCGGCGACCCATCGTCGGGACAATAGTGCAATGAACGGCTCATACCTGAACCCGTTCTTGGAGGAGACAGAGTTTTACAACCGCGTTGTACTCGGTAGCCTCGTGCCCAATGGACTGTGGGCCCCACTCCCCCACTTCTTCCAGACATGGCTGCGCAACTACCTCGGCGGAACCTTGCTCTACTTCGTCTCCCGCGTCTTGTGGTGCTTCTACATTTACTACTTGAAACGCAGCGTTTATATCCCAAAAGGTACAAACAGAAACACATCTATAAGCATATATGTTTTCTGATTTTTTTTTTCTCTCTTCATTCTTCGTGGCATTGACTTTTAAAAAGATAATAAATAAAAAAATTGTTTTTGTGGTGATTTGGTTGTTGGGATGGGATATATGAGTCTGGAATTTGGTGGGTTGTGTTTGGGTTATTGATTCTGAGTCTCTCTCTCTCTTGGGTTTAAGGGAAATTTTATGAACACCAGAAAACAGAGTTGCAGACCAACACATTGTTTTGTCTTCCATTATTTATTTATTTTGGTGAATTAGCTTAGTCTGGACTGATGGGAGTGATCTATGTCATATGTTAAAGCTTTATTTTGTCCTTCTTGTTGTGCTCTATTTTATTTTCAGTTTTTCATTTTCATTTCTGACTTTGGAAGTTCATATTTTGTGAGAGTTGGGTTATGTTTTGTTTATATTTAGTGAATGGTTTTGCTTGGTCAGAACTTTTGAATCTGCTCGGGGTTTCTACGAATTAGGTGGAATACAGTTGATCTAGTCTACACATCAAATCTTTCGAATGCCAAATTTGGTAGTGGACCAATTAATTATTGATGGTGCTCTACTTATCCTCTCGTCATTTTCAAATGGCAAATTGGGTGAGGGGACCAATCATAGTGAACAAGGAGAGCAAATGCAAACCAAAGGATGGAAAATGGAGCACTTCAAAGCCAAGTCTTTTCTGTTCTTTCTATCTTTTACCTTTTTGCTTGGCAAATATTTGTACCTCATCGCAAATTAGCCAAACTGAGAAGAAGCATTTTGTGTTCATCCATGGAGCATGTTAGGGAGCACGGTCTTGGTATAAGGTGACAACTCTGCTCAAATATTCAAGTCACAATGCACAGCCCTAGACTTGGGAGCATCTGGCATATTTTAAATTGGTTACATATACTAATTTTATCATCTACATTATTAAAGACTTAAAAATTAAAAATTAATATTTCAACAAAGAAAATAAATAGAAAAATAAAGAGTTCATAAAGCACAATATTAAGGTACCCAACTCATACATAAAATATAAAATATAAAATTCACAAAGCTTAAAACAAAAGAGGAAGAGGAAGAAATGTTAAAACTTTAGGAGTTTTTAGTGCAAATGTTTTAAACTAACCTGGAAGATTTAAAGGAGACGAGTAGAAGAGAGATCAAGAAAATTTATGGTTAATTTGTAGACTTAAAGAACCTAATATATTATTTTATTTTAAGATAAATATCCTAAAACTAATCTAATATATTATAATATTATATATCATATATAATATACAAATAGAATACGTAAAAATAGAGTGGAGACCTGAGACCACCACACTGGTCCCATGCTAGCTCCATCCCTCTCTGCCGCCAAAGGAGAAGAGCTCACAGCTTGCGTGGGGTTGTCCTATCTATTTTCCTGGAGAAGTTTCCTGAGAATGGGACCGAAAATGCTTCAACGTCCTTTCTTTTTGGGCCCAAGGCCTTGGCAATAAAGTCATACCAGCTCTATGATTGTGAGATTCCTTAATTTTGAGAAATTATTATATGATATTGTAATATAGTTATATGGTGTAATTAATTTAAATGTTATAATATAAGTGGATTGTAATACTAAGTGATCATGTTACGGTGTAAAAATCAATCCTTAATTTCTTGTGTTTGACCAGGAAACTTTTTGAATAGAGGACGAACATCCATGGTTTATCAAATTAATGAAATCTTTGTTCAGAAAAGAAAAAAAAATGTTAGTGTTGGAGAAAAATATTAGTGCAATTAGAACACTCTAATCACGAGAAATAAATAAATAAAATTATATAAAAGATATGACACATAATTATATAGAATTGAAAATTAAAAAAAGCCCACTAGAAAAAGAAAGGGAGATGGCATGCATTACCTAACTACCAGCATCCTGCCCCGATTTTCAGTGGGTTAATTAGCTAATACTTTTCCTCTCCTCTTTTTCTTTTATGCTTTCAAATATAAAATAAAGGGAGTTTCACTAAAACACCCAAAATGGGGGCTGAAATTATAAAAAAACCCAACACCCAAAACACTTTATAAACACACCCAAAACCCATCATTACACACACTCAAAACCCATTTATAAACACACCCAAAAAATATACAATTGTTGATTTTGGGGTTGATTTTGGGTGTGTTTCTATGTTTAAATAGTGCTTGGGTTTTTTTATAAATACATGTCTAGGATTGGGCTTATTTATAAATTTGTATAAAATAAAAGTGTTGTCATGGGTCACATATCACCCTCTCTTTCGTGATGAAATAAAACTCACCAACTATAAATAATATGTATCAATCAACCAAAATCCGCTAGGATTTGAAAAGATACATGATCAATATTCAACCAGGATTTGCAAACACTAGCGGACCCATAAATTTTTTAGCAGAGGTGCAATATTGACTAAGTATGAAAATGGTTTTTCGGAATAATCATTTTCTCGAGATAATTTTTGGCGGCTTTTATTCCTTATACATCAAATAAGAAAACTTGATTTTATGGGATTTTAGTATGAAGTATATATTGACTTAATGAGCCATCATTTTTAGCCTAAATCGTATTTTGCACTAAAACCGAATTTTCATATTTTGATTTGGTGAGAATTTGATTTTCTAGTATTTTTATTTGAATCCAAATGGGGGGTACTTCCTTATTTACATTGTAAACTTAAGTAAATGGAGTAATATAAAAATAAATAAAAGTAAAAAGACAAAGACATTTACTTAAATGTTGAAAATGGAAATAAGGTAATCTGTACACCAATTGAGCAAAGGGGCAATTTGAAGCACCTACAATGGTTTTTCTGGCGAAAGGAGCTGCACCTCCTTGCGCCTTAATAGATCCGCCCATGTTTGCAAAGATACATGATCAATCAAATCCGCCAGATGAAGTGAAAGTGATCAATGATTGTGATCACCTGGTAATGTTCTCCAAACCGCTGGAGCTGTTTTACTACCTCTAGATAGAAGGCTGCTAATTGCTGAGAGTTGTTAAATATTCGTAAAATAAAATAAAAATGAGCACCTCGCAACCACATATGAGTAAATTCCTAGGTTTTTTTTAGGAAATAAATTTACCACTTTACATAGCTTGATTGAGTTTGATTGCACTGAGCTATGATAAGGTTGATCTTAATTCTTTAAAGTTGTTTGATTACATATAAAATTACAAATTTGTCAACAACAAAAAACTAAAAAATAATTAACTAAGTACAACCTAACATTTACCAAATCTAATATTCAATTAAGTTAAAAGCTCATAAAAGTCATTGACTTCCGTAGAATTTATTAGATGATGGAATTTTGTGGATTTGAGAGGACTTTTGAGCGTAAACCAAAGTCATGATTACTCTGGCGCTGGCCTACCCTCCGTATTTGGAAGGATTTCATACAAAGGTTTAAAATATAGGGGCTAGCCTCTCAATGACATTTTGAAAGAAATAATTTTCCAAGATATATATGTTGTGTACGAAACAAATTCTGCACAAAAAGTCTAGCCTCTCAATGGCAATGAGCACGTTGAATAATTTTTTTATTATTATTATGCAGATTGGAAATTAATGGAGAAAGATTTTGCAGATTTGGCATAATGTTTACTCCCTGACCAAAAATGTAGATAGAAATAAAGACCTTGCTTGGAACGTGGAAGTTTATTAGTCTACACCTCAAATCTTCTGATCCCTAATTATTACTCAGTCGTTTTCAAATGCCGAATTGGGTGAAGGGACCAATTGTATAGTGAAGAAGGATATTTCCTATAAATGCAAACCCAAGGAAGTAGATGTTAATGGGAAGGAAAATGGAGCACATGAAAAACAAGTCTTTTCTCTTTTGTCTCTTGCTTATTTTCTTGGCAAAAATTTGTACCTCATCGCCATCTATATACCCTCAAAACCAAACCCAAACTAGCCCAAGTGCGAAGAAGCATTTTGTGTTGATTCATGGAGCTGGTCTTGGAGCTTGGTCTTGGTATAAGGTGGCAACTTTACTCAAAGATTCAGGCCACAATGTCACAGCCCTAGACTTGGGAGCATCTGGGATCAACCCAATTCAGATACAACAACTTCGTTCGATCTCACAATATGTCGAGCCATTGACAAAGCTCATGGTGTCTCTTCCACCAAACGAGAGGATCATCCTCGTAGGTCACAGCATGGGTGGGGCAGTCATATCTACTTTCATGGAGAGATTTCCTGAGAAAATTGCTGCCGCAGTATACGTCACGGCTTTCATGTCTGGTCCTACTCTCAATTACTCGACTATATTGACAGAGGTAATGAGTTCACAAGCACACACCAAAGTTGCAGCACCAAAATCCATTGTGTATATTTATTAACAAATTATATTTTCGAAAAATGTACAGGTTAATAAAAGATTGGACTATTTGGACACTCAATATAGATACGATAATGGGACCAACAACCCTCCAACCTCCTTTCTTCTTGGGCCTAAGGCCTTGGCATTGAAGTTTTACCAGCTCTCCCCAGCACAGGTGAGTTGTCTCAAAAATAATTCAAAAATACTATTTCTTTTTAATACAAGCAATAGTCTAACCTACAATTACTAAGATATCATTATGGAGATTCGAACCTGCGATCACGTTGCTGCTACTTTAATTTATTTTCCCCTTTTTTTTTCTCTTGTTGTTTTTGACATTTTGTTTGGTGACATTTTAATGGACAGGATAAAACACTAGTGTCCTCTTTGATAAGATTTTCTCCTCTCTTCAATTATGATGTAATAAAGCTCACCAAGGAGAAATATGGATCGGTTCGTAGAGTATTCATTGTGTCTGGGCAAGACCAGGCAATAGTGTTGGATGTGCAGAATTACATGATCAGGAACAATCCACCAGATGAAGTGAAAGTGATTAGCGATTCTGATCACATGGTCATGATCTCTAGACCATTGAATCTCTTCTACCACCTCCAAAACATTGCTGAGAAATATTCTTAGAAATGATTTAGGACATGTTACTACTATTATGTGTCACTAGACACCGTCATTAAAGAAGGTATTACAAATAAACATTTGCCATCACTTTTTTCTAGCGTCAGCTTTGACTCTGAGCAACTTGATGTCAAATTTATCATGAATTTAAATAGTTTGGTAGAAGTTATAAATTGCAATAAATAAATAAAAGAAGCGCTGGAAGGTCCACCATGGATTTAACTTCTTGAATTATAATTTAACTTTATCATGAATTACGTGTAACATTCCGTCCTAAAATGTCGTTTCATTTAATTTACTTTTTCTAAAATTATAATTTTGCCCATGGACATAGGGGGATTTAGAGCACTTTTTGTGTAGAAATAGTTTTGGGAACTCCCACACAAATTATTCCCACATCTTCCCAAAGAATTCTCTCCTAACTAATCACAGTATTCCAAACCCGTCAGATCTTTTAATATGTCTTAAACTTTATTCTTCATGGCTCCAGTCGAAATATTTGCTTCTTCATTGTTGTTCATCTGGTTGTCTACTAGAACATATCCGAAAAATAGCCCAATCGAAGAAAAATAAACACCTAAAAACTCAGTTTGAGTACAAACAACTTATCTTTACCTGGTACTCTGTGTTATGCACGGATTTGGTTTTGCATGCGAGTTTCCTTTTCACATGTGTTCCTTCACACAAGTTGTTCTTAAGGTCAAGTGCTACAACTTATCCAAAAGTTAGGACCATTGGGTTTCTCTAACCATCTGAAATCGTGTTTAAAGTGAGATTAGTCTTCTCTTTCTTTCCATCTGCTAGTTTCACACTAGTGTGAACTTATTCACTCTTTCATGTAGCCGTCTCCTGATCTAATGGCTCCGTTTCTTGCATGAACATTGTTTAGCTATGTCTTGGTCATGATCTATCAAAATTTTAGCTTCATCCAAGAAGTATAACCATCCCAAAATTCTGTGGGAGTGTAACAAGTTCATCATTGTCTAATGTGTTGATGTAGGCTCAGATTCTATCTCCATATCGATTTCCCTTGCTCAGACGAGAAAGATCCTTTGATGAAAGTTGTTGAGACTTCTGTTCTCTAAAGCATATCCAAAATTTATGATCGTCCAACAAGTTTAGCCCTCTAGGAAGTGGTACAAACTGAAACAAGCTTCTTGTTTCCAAGTGTTGTTTTGGTGATTGTTCTTCTTGGGAGGTGAATTGCAGATCTCAGACCAATTCAGAGAATTGAGGAAAATATTTAAGATATTTGATTTCTGGAAATCTGTTTTAGAGGTTATACTCTTAAGGTTTTGTGGATTGTTGAGTTTGATACAAAGTCAAGTGGAATTTGTGAACTTAATTAAGGAATACATGAGTTGCGTTTTTTAAATTGATTTTGAGATTGACTTTGGAAGATGAAATTCAGTATTTTTGGGACAGATTTAGTTGTTGGATATTAGAGGACATTTATGTTGTGAATTAATCCCTTTAAGGATTGATATTGTTTGCCTTTGAGGAATCTAAGTTCTAACTAGGCTTATATTGTCTTTGAGGTAATTCTTGAAGATATAAATGTGATGTGGACTATGGTAAATCCAAGTAAGTATTGAATCGAGGTAGGGGGTCAAATTGATGCTTTTATTATTATTTACTACTTGAGAATTTCGTTTCAATGACAAATCAATTGCTTGTTTCTTGTTTGTGATTTTAAAAAATTACATTTAAATTTCTTTTCTTTTTTTTAGAAATGGATAGAAATACTCATGATGCTGTGAAAGAAATTGATGGAATTCGTGACTTGTCCTTGAATTGTTACAATTATGAAACTATAGGGGCACAATTGACTAAATTAAAACTACAATGACAAAAAGTGAAAAAGAGGTAAACTACAAGGACCAAAAGTGAATTCTTGACTTAAGACCAGATGTCTCAAGTTAGAACCCTCATGACATCTTAGTTGTGTGTGTAAATGGTACTTAGGTGACGATGAGTAAAATTACACGATACTCAAACAAAAACACAACAATCTTCACACACACTACAAAACAGAAGCCCTTTTGCGAGGGCATTTTGTCGTTGCAAAAGGCCTTTTGCCGTCGCAAATATCTTTTTTCGACGGCAAAAGTCCGTCGGCAGTCGTCGCTAAAAGCTCGGTTGCAAATACTTCATTTCCGACCATTCCGTCGGAAATAATGTATTTCCGACGTCCATGCTTCGTAGCTATTGCATAAATTTCTATCGGAAATGGATTTTTAAAACGACCCTACATATTTATTTCCGACCGTACATGTGGTCGTAATTACTTATTTGATTGTCGGAAATAGTTCTTTTATCTTGATTTCTTGTTTTTGTGAATTCATATTTTCAACCAATGAGTGTCGTCAGAAATACTTTTTCCGACAATGATATTATTTGTGAGGGCTAGATGTCGTCGCAATTATCATTACCGACCAAAAGAGTTTGTGGAAAATATATAATAGCTCGTCGGAAAAGAGTATAAAAATATATTTTCGATGGGCAAGTTATGTCGGAATATATATTTCCAACCATATTTATTCGTCGCAAAGTTTGTCGCAAATAGATTAATCCTGTCAGAAAATATTTTCGACGAACAAGTGGTCGGAAATATAATTGTTTCGACCCGATTATGTCGTGGGGAATTTTGTCGGAAATAGGCAATTATTGTCGGAAACTATTTCCGATGATAAAGTGTTCGTTGGAAATATGCATTACCGAGAGGGAAATGCGGTCGAAAAATGTAATTATTTTATAAAAAAAATTAATAAAAAGAAATTTGAATTATAATATTTGCTAGAAATAGTTTTCTAATCATCCGTATTTAATTGGTAATAATAATAAAAAATCATACGACACCATACTGTACTAAAATTTTATGCATTCAATTAAAATTATTCTAAATAGTTAAAACATAAACAATCCCCATCATCCTTAAAACATATATGCAATCCGCAAATATATCAAAACTTTGAAATTCAAAATACATATTGTAGCAAAATACAATTGATGTTGCACTACTCGTCTTCGAGGTGAGCATCTGAACAACTTTCTACATTGTCCTGTCGAATAAAAGATAATAATTAATAAGACATAAATCATTTGAGAATAAAATAACAAATACAATATTTAACAGTGAGCAAATATTGAAATGAGAAAGAAAAGAGTTCACCATTAAAGCAGATTGTCTTGAGCGTGCATAAGTATTTGAGTTGTTTTCCCTCATACTTTGAACTAGATCTTTCAATTCATACAGCACACTTTTCAAGTCCTTCACTTCCTCCTTTAATTTCTCATGCTCTTCTTCACGTTCTAAGCATATACGTTTATTACAACCTTGGTCATCCGAGGGATACACATCTTTTATACTATAGCCACCACCTAAGCCAAGGATACGACCGTGACTTGGCCCACCAATAACCTCCTTGTATATATCCCAATCATCTACTTCATTCTCGTCTTCCGTTGCAGCAACCTTTTTATTCTCCATTTTTTCCTTCAATGAAATAGTTGAAATATAAACATGGATATAAAAAAATTTCATGTGAATAAAAAATTTTAAAAAGAAAAATAAAAAGAGAAACAAAGTAGGGACAACGTACAAAAAGTTCTTTAGCCTTTTCACTTGGCCAACTTTCTTCTCCTCCATTCTTAGGCTTACTTACATGGAACTTTTTGAAACAATCAATTGGACTCGGTTCAATTCCAGTTCGATCAAGCTATTAAGATTTAAACAATGAAGTTTGTTAGGACCAAATTTGGAAATAACCACAAAAGGAACAGTCAACAAAAAGCAACAACCAAATGGATATTTTTACCTCATCTTTTCTGTACTTTTCCATTGGAACAGAACCCGTGGTATGCACAACTGTGGATTTCGCCCTATTAGACTTGTTTCTTTTACTTTTATCCTACATGAAAAAAGTAAATCATAACCTAATATCAACTTAGTGAACCCATATAAGGCATCTATAAATAAAACAAAGCATACACTAGCCAGTCATAACAATATTATTTTAAATTGAGTTTTTACCTGCCATGTAGGCTGCAACCAATGATCAACCAGTTTAGACCAAACATCTTGAGATATCCCTAATGGGCAATGAGTGTATCTATCACCAGTAGTCTTGTATTTCTTAAAAACGCTATTTCTCAATGCGGACATCCAATCGGAATATCTCAATTTAATATGTTGTTCGAATGCCTCCCTCATCTCTTCTTCTGAGCACGTGTGTGTATATCCTGTTGTGTTAAAGCGATCATACAGTAAATCCATTTGAGTTGATGGAAATGTTTTAAATGTTGGCCATGCTCCATCGATAGCCTGATAAAAAAGCACTCCTATAGTTCGCACAGCTCCAGTGGTTATAATCCTGAAAAATTTAAAACCAAATTTAAATAAATAAATAAAAATAAATCTACACGAGAAATGGCTAACTTTGTAGGCCTTATACATTACCTTCCTCTACGTATTACAATTGGAGTGCCATTTCCATCTTTACCTTTAGCCTTCCCTCTACCTCTTTTTATTCCAACAATTGAACCTAATAAGAAAAAAAATATATATATATTTGAAGTACAAGGTACAAAAAAAAACTAGCTATAGGATCATATATATAAAATAATAAAAAAATTATCATGTGAAGGTTCAGTTTAAACCTCATATATATATAAATAAAAAATTACCTTCTTCATTTGATGGTTCGGTTTCAAGGGGCATGTCTTCCATTTCATTATCATGTGATGGCTCAATGGGGTCATCATGTTGGTCTAAGGAAGGTCTAGATGACTGAGGATGTGTAATGTTGGATGCTTTATTCTGATTCTTTCTCTTTCTTGCCCTGGCTACAATTATATAGAGCAAAAAATTGGAAATTAATTGAGAACTAATCATATAATTGAAATATATATATATATATACACAAAGAAAATTCAAAATTCAAAATTCAAAATAAATCATACATGTTTCTTGCATTTCGTTATCATGTGATGACTCATTGGAAATATGGCGATCTAAGGAGAGTCTAGATGACTGAGGATGTGCAGTGCCTGATGCTCTATCTTGACTCTTTCCATTTCTTGCCACGGCTAACATTTGTAAGAGAAATACAAACACAAAACATAATTGAAAAATTAAAAACTCATATAATAGAAATACAACTATAAAAAATAATAGAAACAAGAATTTAATCGATAATACGACACAAATAACTCATACATGTTTGATTTGTCTCTTGCATTTCACGATCATGTGATGCTCTATTATTGCTCTTTTTCTTTTTTGCCATGGCTGCCATTTATAATCACAAAAGAACCCATGTCATAATTTAAAAAAAACATAAATCAGAAATAATACTTAAAAAAATTCATCCAAAAAGGAAAAACTAGGTAGAGAAAACAATTTGCTGAGAGAGAGAGAGAGAGAGGAGAGAGAGAGAGAGAGAGAGGTCTTGCTTCAATTCGCATGAAAATATTATTGGCTTAATCTACATGTATCATGTTGACTGTCAACCAACCCAGCATGGGATTGAAGACATGCATGCAATTTTACAGTAGATATAGATAGATACATGGATATTTCCAATTCGAAGTCCTAATTGGCCTTTGCTTCTTGCCGTTCTATTATTGCTTGCTTGTGTTCTCCAAAAACTGCAAGTTGCAGTTCAAACTAGATGGGTACTGATTTCCATGAGAACCCATGTCAGTATCACCATACATGGGTATTGATTTCTATCTTTCTGGAAGACAATTTGCTAAAGGTATGCTAAAGGCTGCCATAGATAATTTCCTCTTTCCAAAGAGGAAATTGCTGTCCGTTCAAACAATTTAAGAGGAAATTGCATGCTGTCCGTTCAAACAATTTGCTAAAGGTATGCTAATACTCAGTACCCATTTTTCTATATCAATACCCATTTTTCTATATCTATAATAATCTTTAAAGATGCTAAAGATCTATAACAACCTCTACATGAGCCGGTACAACGTGAAGCATGAGTTGAAGTTTTCTATATCTATAACAATACATGGATATTAGCAAAAATGTAGTAGGTTACCTGTATGGCTCAATAGCTTCCTTGATATTGCTGAGGAGAAGAGGGTTTAGGGAGAAAGACGTTGAAGAAGACGTATGGAAGATTTTTTTTTCTCTTTTGTGGCTGCTGTTGAAAACTGATAACTGTTAGGGTTAGCAAAAAACCTAAATTAAAAAAGAGGCTTGAGCGGCAAACAAATAATTAATTTGGGCTTTCCCCCACTTTTTTTGGGCCAACGGGAGTTAATTGCTGATTTGTTTATATTTTGTTTAATTAATTAATTAATTAATTAAATAAAATAAAACAAAAGGCTTTGAAACTTGATCACATTTGATATTAGTATTTGTCAAATATACGGTTTCTGTAACAAATCCATATAATATTTGTACTTAAATAATTGAATTCCTTAAATTATTTGAGATTGATAAAGACATTTGTATTTTTTAGTGTTGATCATGTTATCTATACCCGGCTATACGTTTCAACTCCATTATGTTACATATTTAATGATAAAAAAAAAAGGAAGGATCAAGCTAAAATTGATGGTCTTATAGTACGAAAGAGTCCGTTTAAAACTTGATCAAGTTTAAATATGTTGATCAATCGGAAAAACATGTGATCAAGAGTATTTGAAAATCTAAAAAAACCATTGATGTGTTGAATATGATAATTCGAATCCAAATTCGATATGGTATATTGCATTTTAGGCCAATGTAATCCAAATCCAATTTGTTTACAATCCAAATTCGAATTAGGCCAATTGAATCCAAATTCAATTAGGCCAATTGAATCCAAATTCATGAAATCAATAGTGTTGAAACAGACAAATCTATATTATTTGTACTTAAATAATTGAATTCCTTAAATTATTTGAGATTGATAAAGACATCTATATTTTTTAGTGTTGATCATATTATCTATACCCGACTGTACGTTTCAACTCCAATTGCCTTACTGGAAAACACTTTTGGTGCGTCACAATTTAGATGTCATGCACATTGAGAAAAATGTATTTGAGAATGTGATTGGCACAATGATGAGCATTGATGGTAAAACAAAAGATTCTTTAAATGCTCGTCTTGATCTTCAAGAAATGGGTATAAGACACAGGTATCATCCAGAAGAAGGAGATAATGGTAAGCTCTATTTTATCCCAGGCGATTATACATTGTCAAATGATGATAACAAAGCTTTATGTCAATGGTTAATGGAGTTGAAAGTTCCAGATGGGTACTCTGGAAATTTATCTCGATGTGTGAATACTTCAGAGCGTAATATTTCTGGTATGAAAACTCATGATTGTCATGTGTTCTTAGAGAGATTACTTCCGTTTGTGGCGCGAGATTTATTGCCCAAAGATGTAAGTGAGCCTTTAATTGAATTATCGTACTTTTTCAAGGAATTGTGTGCTAAAGTTTTAAGAGAAGATGACTTGAATCTTCTTGACAAACAAATTGCCATAACTCTATGCAAGTTGGAAAAAATATTCCCTCCTGCTTTTTTTGACATCATGATTCACCTAACTTGCCACTTGGCATGGGAGGCAAAAGTGGCCGGTCCAGTACAATTCAGGTGGATGTATCCTGTGGAAAGGTAATCTCAATGTTTAGATATTAATTTTATTCATGATTTGTTTAACTGCTGATGTATGATTCTCTAATTTTGGTATTTATGACGTAATTAGGTATTTGCATAAGCTAAAGACTTATGTTCGTAATAAGGCTCATCCAGAAGGGTCTATTGCCGAAGGTGTCTTGGGAGATGAGTGTTTAATATTTTGCTCTCGCTATTTGCATCGAGTTGAAACTAAGTTTAATAAAAGAGATAGAAATGACGATGGAGGTCAACCGTCATATGATGCATCTCCGTTATCTATTTTCTCAACACCTGGTCGAGCTTTTGGGAAAGGTGTACTTAGAGAGATGAGCATCGAACTTCATAAGGCTGCCACTCATTATGTCCTGCAAAATTGTGATGAAGCTTTTCCATTTGTCCAGTAAGAATTCTTAAATACTATAATTTCTAAGTGTATTTAATAAGTTACTATTTATTTAGATGTAATATGTCACTGTATTAATTTGAATATAATCATTTGTTATGTATGCAGAGAACATAAGAACGTTCTAATCCAGTCTAGTGTTGATAATGTGGAGGAGTCACATAGGCTTCAATTTTCAAACTGGATTTCTAAAAGGGTATGGATAATATTGTATTCAAAAAATTATTGAATGTCATAGATGTTTATTTAAAAATATTTTTTCCTTTCTATGCAGGTCACAGAACTATACAACGATGGTAAAGTTAGTAAGCAAATGCTTTCTTTGGCTCGAGGTCCTGAAAGGCGAGTAACTTATTATCCTGGTTATTATATTAGTGGTTTTAGATTTCATACATTGCAGCGTGATGAGAATAAAAAAACACAAAATAGTGGAGTTATGGTTAAGGGGGAGAATCAGATTGACGATGTGCCTTGGTATGGAACCTTAGTAGATATTGTTGAACTCCGTTACACAGAAGGAAATAGAGTTGTATTGTTCAATTGTGATTGGTATGACATGGCACGAAAAGGAACAGGTTACAAGATAGATCGTTATGGAATAATCACTGTTAATACAACACGCAAGCTAAATACTCAAGAGCCATTCGTACTAGCAAGCCAAGCAACCCAAGTTTTTTATGTGAAGGGGGTTAGAAATAAAATTTGGAGTTTTGTCGTGGAAACAAATCCAAGAAATGCTTATGAGACGACTAATGATGAGATTGAGCCATACCAAGAAGCAGAGACTCAAATTCAAAGCATGCATGCCATCCAAAATGATGTTGAAGACAATGAAATTGATTGAAGAAGGGATCGATGTGTTCAACTTACAACTATGGGATGAGTTGTCATGTAATTGTGATTGCTTATTTTTTTTGGATTGGCTATTTTTAGTTATTTATTTTGGAGTGTGATTGGTTATTATCAATCAAATTTTTTTTATACTTATTCTAATGGGAAATTCACAGCTAGCGAGGCTCTTCTTTTTTGTGGGGGAGGGGCCAAAAAGTTGATAGGTTCAAATAAGAACTGCATATCACTACAGAGAGCTTTGGTTTGTGCATCAAATTATAATTTTCATATCATTTGATTTTTAATTTGGGTTTCATTTCATATGCAGATAATGCCTTTGTTTTGTTTTGTGTAGAGACTTGCGAATGAAACTGTACCAACCCCCCATGGAACACAGCCCCCACCAACTACCATATATATTGGCATTGGGTTTGTTGGGTCTACATGATAACCAACTTCTCTTGAAAAAAATCTGTTTTCTTCCCTAGCTAACAATATCATCAATCAAATTTTTTTTAATTTATTCTAAATGGGAAATTGACATTCAAACGTTTTTCCGAGAGGACATATTTCTCCTCGAAAGTAGTCAAACAATTCAGACGAAAGGAGAACCCCTCGGAAATGTTCAAGCAATTTCGACGGAATAAGAAGCCCCTCGGAAATAGTCAAACAGTTCCGACGGAAAGAGAAAGCCCTCGGAAATAATCATCCTATTTCCGTCAAACATACTTTTGGTCGTTAATAAAGTTGGCGCCAAGTCTTCCCACCAAATAAATTACATTTCCGACGACAATTGAGACTTTTTCCGAGGGTATTTCCTTTGTCGGAAATAAATTTCAGGCTCGTGACATATTTCCAACGGACAGTATTTTTTGGTCGGAAAAAACACTTTTACCGAGGAAATTTCAGGGCCCTCGGAGAATGTTGGTCGGTAATGACCCTTTTTTTTGTAGTGACACTTCATATCTTGACCAAATACGCTTATGACTAGTCAACTGTTAGACATGAATAACCACAACCAAGAACATACACAGAGCATACCAATATGTACCTGCAAGCGTAGAGAATTACTAGTGACAACCTAGGCACTCAGAAGGACCCGTCAATCTAGGCATTCCCTGTGCTAGCAACAACTATGGTGAAAGTGTGTGAAGACATCATAATCAAGTAAACACCAAATAGCATAAAATGATGACTAGTCAACCGCAAGAACACAAACCCAAAAATACATGAACATCATGCGAGGACTAGTCAACTATCAAGAACATAAACCCAAAAACTTACAGAGATGCAAACCAAAAATTGTTCACCCAGAAACCTACCATTAGGAAAAACTGGGGGTCATCAACTGACCAGGCAATCCACTAAGCAAAAAAAATTCTTACAAAAGAACACTAGCAAGCTCAAGAAATCCTAGGTCTATTTAGGAAAATGAGTTATACCTCTTTTGTGCAACCTTCTTCTCTAGCTTAGCAAAACCAACAACTTAGTCCTTCATGGCAATGGCAGCTCCTTCTTCAGCTCTTTCATCCCATGACACCATCCAGCTCAAACTCTGACATAACCAGAATTTGGATTCAATGAGAAAATGACCAATTTCTTCAAGAAACCATACTCTTGGAGAAATCAATCTTGAATATGACCTAGATATATATATATATATATATATAAAAGAGTGTTTGATCTAGCTAGATGCAGATTCCATATTTCAAATGCGGTTTTCAAAAAATCCATTTGGAAAACTTAAAGATGAAAATATGATGGTTTTCTCTTGAGGAAGAAGAAGAGAAGGTTTTCAAAGAAACTATCCAAAACTTACCCACAAAAGAGATGACTGCCAAATGAGGAATTCTTTGACTTTTACCCAAAAATTCCTAGGTTAGAATAGACACATGGCAGCTGAGAAATTCGCATAATATGACAAAGGCTTAAGTGCTACAGTGCCCCTTGAAACATTGGTCAATTCTCACTTTACTCCCTGAAAGTTAAAGTGACCCACTTTGCCCCATTGACCAAGGTTTGATGTTCCACATTGCCCCTACCGTTAACTCCATCCAAAAGTCCGTTAAGTTTGATGACGTGGCAGGGATATTTTAGTAATTTTGTGCACCTAGGTTTTTTAATTACTTTAAAAAATTAAAATACAAACATAAAATTGAAAATAAAATAGATTTTAGGAAAACAAAAAACAAAAAAAAACCTTCTCCCTCGCACCAAATCCATCCCTTTCTTCTCTGTCCTCCTCCCTCCCCCCAACCCACAATCCACAACCCACAACCCATTCCTCTCCCTGTGCAAAACCAGGAATGTGCAGAACCAAAAAAGCCATCGCCTTTGAGATGATGAAGCATCCCAAAACTATAATTGCAGGAACACGACAAGCTGTAATATTTCCTAAAAGAACCATTTCCCAGATCAAAATAAGTCCATATCACCTCAACTTGAAATATAAGAATGTAAACAACAATACAGGAAAGAATTAACAAATTCAAGCATACTCCATTCGTTTCTTTCAAAACTTTCAAAAGCCCAATCCGAATTTGAGATTTCTCCCCCCCTCCCTTCCCAGCAACCTAAGCTATTCCCCCCCAAAAAAAACCCGCAACCCACCCCTTCCCTACGCAAAACCCAAAAACCCATCGCCCCCTCCCCCAGCAACCCATTCTATCTGGGCAGAACCCAAAAACCTACCCCCACTGATTTCTTCACCTCCCCCATTTCCCCATCGAGACCCATCGTCCCCTTCCTATGGTTTTTTCTACCCCACTCCCACAGAACCCCAGCTCCCATACCCATTTCCCTTCTCCTCGACCCGTGCCCCTCTAGTCCATTTTCCCCATCGCAACCCACCCTGCACACAGAGAGAGAGAGAGAGAGAGAGAGAGAGAGAATTCAATTTATTCAATTTTTTAAAGTTCTAAATTTTATGTTTGTATTTTAATTTTTTAAAGTTATTAATTTTTTATCCAGGTTGGAGGTGGGGTCCACTCAAATTTGTGAATACAAAATCTAGATGTAAAAAATTACTAAAACACCCATGCCACGTCATCAAATTTAACGGATTTTTGGATGGAATTGACGGTAGAGGGCATTGTGGAACACTAAACCTTGGTCAAGGGGGCAAAGTGTGTCACTTTAACTTTAAAGGGGTAAAGTGAGAATTGACCGATGTTTCAAGGTGCACTGTAGCACTTAAGCCTATGACAAAAATGATGGTTAGGATCCAGCTGGAAATCCTACTGATGCAAAGGTTGACTAGTCATACGAAAGAAAAATGACTAGTCATAATTTTCAGAAATTTAGTGAATGCAATGTAGTGCAATGCATAATTTACCTTTGTCAAACACATTGTTGTCCATCAGAATGTAGCCAGATAAGAACACTTAGAGAAGTAATTCTTAATATAAACTTAGAGCTTGGGAAATAATTACAATGATTGTCCTATTACAAAATTGTCAAGGGAAGCCAAAAGAAAATCATAAAATGCATACACTTACAGTGTGTGAGAGAAATCCCCCTCCCATGTAGTTTAGACTATCTCTTGTGCTAAAAATAAATTAAATATTAGGGGGTGTATTGAATATAGACTTTCAAAGACTTTTATGTAATTACAAAATTTAGGGGTATTCTTTTCTTTTCTTTTTTCAAAGATAGGATGGGGGGAAACTCACACATGAGTACCATGGAGACTTGAAGCCATGACCACTTGAGAGCACCCCATTAATACAAAATTTAGGTGTATTCATCATTGTAGATTGTTAAAGAGTCTAAAGTGTTGAGGTATTCAATTAGGACTTTCCACAAAAAGCTAATGATATTCAATTAGGACTTTTAGTATTCCCTAAAGTCACGAATTTTTCAGCCGCCCTCGGTATTTGAAAGGAGTTCAGATAAAGGCAAGAAATTGCGGCTATAAAGAAGAAATTAAGAGTATTTTCTTCCTCTGTTCTCTGTTTTGCCGGCCGCCTTGCTTGTTTTGTCATCCCGAAGTAAAAAGGGTGCTGGAGTGCCAATTTCTCACGGCACTGGCTAGTGTTACTGTTTACTCCTTGACCAAAATGTAGTTAGAAATTAGGACTTTCCTAGCAACTTGGAAGGAAAGATCAAATCTTCTGAACCCTATTGTTGCAGACACAGCTCTCTAGTCGTTTTCAAATGCCAAATTTTATGAGGGGACCAATTAGCGATGAAAATAATTTATATACGAATAAGAGACGAGAGCAAATGCAAACCAAAGGAAGGAGAAGATGTTAATGATAAGGAAAATGAAGCACATCAAAGACAAAGAGAAGAAGTCATTTCTATTTTTTCTTTTATTGGTTTTTTTCTTGGCTAGGGTCTGTTCTTCATCGCCATCCCCACCCAACCCGAGCGGGAAGAAGCATTTTGTGTTGATTCATGGAGCTGGTCACGGAGCATGGTCTTGGTATAAGGTGGCAACTTTGTTGAAACATTCAGGCCATAATGTCACAGCCCTAGACTTGGGAGCATCTGGGATCAACCCAATTCAGGTGGAACAACTCCATTCGATGTCGCAATATGTTGAGCCGTTGACGAAGCTCATGGTGTCTTTGCCACCAAAGGAAAGGGTCATTCTTGTGGCTCACAGCATCACTGGGGCTGTTATATCTATTTTCATGGAGAGGTTCCCTGAGAAAATTGTTGCTGGGGTATATGCCACGGCTTTCATGTCTGGTCTTAGTTTGAGTTATTCAACTATATTTGCAGAGGTAATGAATTCACAAGCACACACCTACAATAAATATGGTATGAATAATATTCTTCTCTCTCTCAAGTCGCAGCACCATATCCATTGTTGTTAAATTCTTTCTGTGACTCCTGGCGAGTAATTAACGAACGATATGCTCAAAAAATGTACAGATTAACAAAAGATTGGACTATATGGACACTCAATATAGATATGACAATGGACCCAAAAATCCTGCAACCTCCTTTCGCTTTGGGCCCAAGGTCATGGCAACAAACTTTTATCAGCTTTCGCCACCAGAGGTGAGTTTTTTATTTATTTAATTGGGTTGCAGTTTTTATTTTATTTTATTTTTTGTTGTTGTTAACTTTTTGTTTCGTGATTTATTAATGGACAGGATTTAACACTAGGTTACTCGTTGGTAAGATTTTCTCCCGTCTTTGATTTTGATCAAATAAAGCTCACCAAGGAGAATTATGGATCGGTTCCTAGAGTATTCATTGTGGCCAAGCAAGACCATGCAATAGTGTTGGATGTGCAAAATTTTATGATCAAGAACAATCCGCCAGATGAAGTCAAAGTGATTAAGGGTTCTGATCACATGGTTATGCTCTCTAGACCAGTGGAGCTCTTCTCCGACCTCCAAGACATTGCTGAGAAATATTCTTGAAAATGATTCAGGGCATACAAGCTAGTAGTAGTCTGTCTCTGTGTGATTAGACTATATATGAAGAAATTTCAAGAAAGTAATACAACCTAATTGGTGTAAGTTGGTACAACTCGTGTTAATTTAAAAACGGAAGAAAATTAAAGAAGTTGCTATTGAGATGGAGACCATCATTAAAAAAACATTTGCCACCACCTTTTTCTAGCGTCAATTTTCAAGCCCAGCAGCTTGATGTTAAATTCATCCACACTGGATTTAACTCATAGGTTGGAGATGCTCTTATTGATGGGTTCTTCAAATTACATATACTTAACTGAGATTTTTCAAATTTAAGAAATTATTATATGGTACTAAAATACTATTACATGGTACAACTATAATTTAGAATTATAATATGAGTAGAGTGTAACACCACAAGACCGTGTTAAGGTCTAATGCAAAAATTACTCACCAACTTCTTGTATTGGAGAAAACTATTGGTGCAGCCAACCAGTTGTATACAAGGACGGATCGTGCATATGGCTGACTGTTTCTTTTTCAGCCTAACATAACATTCCCAGCCCACCACATATGCTTGGTGAAATGCTCCACGACACTGAAGGTTTGTAGAGGTCAAAGCCTTAGATGCATTTTGTAGGAAAGAGATAAGAACACACGGCACCTATTTGACTTTTAATTTAAAAGTTTTGTTGTTGTTTTTTTTAATGAAACAGTAAGTTTGGTAAGAGGGATATTTAATACACACAATGTCGTTTTGGTTAAATTTATGAAACCCAGCCCAGCAAATGCTTTCGTTCTTATTTATTAATTTCCTTCTCACTACAAACCCAAGTTCCATGAAGCAATAGCTACACACCTTTTCCAAGCTTCTAGCTTGTAATAAGCTCCCTCTTCTATTGTATTTTTAGTTATAACTAAATTACTTTATGCTTAAAAAATACTTTATTTAGCCTTATATTTTTGAACAAATATTCATGGATTGGCGAGTGCATGCACTTATATTTTTAGTAGGTTTGTACGTAAAGTAAATTTAGCTCACTCTAGTTTGAAATCCTAGATCCGTCCTTAATTGTATATGATTATATGCCTATTTTTCAAACCACATGATAAGAAAGATAAACACATAATTATACACAACTTCTAATAATGAAGTTTTTCTCCTTTATTTGATTATCGTATGCATCATATTGATGTCTAAAGCATATCAATGTTTTTTTTTGGGTTGTTGTTGATTTTGATTTTAGGCTTACTGACAGGCATCTCCTTGGTCAGTTAGGGTCCAAAATCGAATCGACCCGAACCGTATATCAGTCGTGTGTGCACGTGGGATATACTCACCGACCTAATGACGGCCAAACAGACACTTGCGGGAATCATACAAAAGCAAAATAGAAAGGACCTCACTGAGATGCTTTGAATTGACCATATATATAAGAACTCAGAATGAGACTTGTAACAGCCCAAATGGAATCTTAAAGATTTGCCTATCTTCTTTTTCTCACATAACGTACGTACGCGTTTCAATATGACTCTTCAGTTCATACCCACGCACGTCAGCAGCATGCAACTTCAAAAAACTAAAAAAAAAAAAAAAAAAAAAAAAAAAAAAAAAAAAAAAAAAAAAAAAAAGAAGATAGTCGCAGAGCAGAGGTTCCATTGAATTTGTTTTTCTCGCAACTTATGTACACACCTAGGCCTAGCGTTAAGGGGCGGATATGGGCCGGGCTAAAGCCCAACTGAGCATCCTTTTCCTAAGTAAGAAGATGGGAAACAGAAGAGAGGGGGCAGGCATTATTAGACATAGCCAACACAACATGGCTAATATATTATGTCCACCACACAGTTCTTTTCACGATAAGGTTTTCCATCACTTCATCATTCTTCTTCCGGGTGGTGGCTCCCGCCTCTGCTAGTACCACTTGTATCAAAACAACTAAAGCAGATGCAATTCCCATTTTAACTTTTCTTACCGACTTCCATAACCCTTAAATGGAAAATTTTAAGTTACTTGCCAGCTGGGGGGCGGCACCCACATGATTATAGGTATAGCTTGACACTACTCGCCAAAAAACAAAGTTGTAAAGTAGTCTCTGGCCACAAAGCCAACAGATTTATTGAAAGGTTTAAAACAAGCATTACGATATTTTCTCAGCCACTTCACATAAGCATCCACAAAGTTGTTCGGGCTTTGAGAGCATGACCATATGGCCGGCTTCTCTAATCAGTATCACTTGTGCAGTCGGACCATTCTCAATCATCCACCGTTGAAATTCTTCTTTGACAACTTCATCTCCTTCGCACACTACAAAAACCTTAGTTACTGACCCGAACTTCGGTTCTGTTAGCTGGCACTCTTTGGTCATGAAGTCTTCCAAGAACAACCCAGATGGCCTTACCAACGTTTTAGCTAATTCCAGATCCTGCATGCAAAGGCACGTAAATTCAATGCTAAAATACAACTTTGTTAATTATATAGTCATTTCATCATTATAAATTAATCAGCATAAGAAACTAGCCGCTGGTTTGCACTGCTGGAACAATTTTTCTGCCATGTATTGTGGACCCAAGACAACTGAGGTTAGTGGATTTTCCTGGTTTTGGCCAAACTTAAGCTCACAATCCAATAATGATTCAACTGGAGTCCCTTTGAAGTACTTTGTTTTCCATCACATGAAAAAAAAAACAAAGAGACTGAAATGAGCATCTGAAGCAGATTCACAATAGATAAAATAAGAAGTTTGTAAGAATGTAATTTTTTTTTTTTTTTTTTTTTTTTTTTTTTTTTTTTTCTTGTATGTATGAATCCAGGAAGAAGAAGAATGGGGGAGAATGAAGGCATAATAGGCTGTGACAAAAACAGCAGCCAAAACCTTCTGAGGGAAGCTCTCCATGGCCAGAGATATAGGAAGGCCGCCATAACTATGGCCAACCAATATGACCCTCTCCTCGTGGGAAATAGAAGCCATGAACTCCATCAATGGCTGGACATAGTCCCAAACGGAAGTGATCTCATGTAGCTGCTTGGAGTTGATCCCAGAAGCACCAAGGTCCAAGGCAGTGACACGGTGACTGGCGTGCCGGAGGAGAGTGACAAGCTTGTACCAGCACCATGCTCCATGGCAAATTCCATGAACCAAAACAAAGTGTTTCGGATTCTCCATTTACCTCTCTCTCTCTCTCTCTCTCTCTCTCTCTCTCTCTCTCTCTTTGCCTTTCTTGATCGGCAGCTTATAATAAGTAGGTATATAAGAACACTTCCACCCATTTGTCATGGCAAAAGAGAAGGGGAGACAAGGTCCATTACTGTTCACGCAAATAGTATCTGCCCTAGCAATATTTTTGTTGCTTTTTTACCCATTGCTATGGCAACCAAAGGACAATTACTATTCACATATGATTAATTTTATTTATATATATGATATTAATAATATTAAAAAATTGCTAGGTATGTATAAAAAAAAATTATTCTAAATTATTTGGTAATTTTTCAGTAATTTTTCAATTTTTTAAATTTCTTTTTGTTTCTAAAGTTAGCACTAACATCATATCCCTTAGACAACAGCTCGAGCTGTTTTTGCCTTTGGGGCTGCTAGAGCTTGTTAGAGCCCACGCCTCATCTGGACTGTTATGCACTTGTTGGAGCTGCATTTCTTGGCCTTTTGCCAGGGCAGAGCTTGCTCTAAAGCAAGAGGACAATTGAGACAAAGACATGAAGTATGGGCTGGCTTTATTTTTCCAAATTTGCCAATTGCATTGTCAACTTTTTCCGAGGGAGGGGGTGTATCCAATTCTAATTTTTATAGACTTTTTTTAAGTGAGTAATTTTCTCTGAGTTGATAGATTCTTTAATGACTTATACGTACTTTATAAAGTTAAGTGACAAACTTTCATATACTTTTGTCATAGAGTTTTATAGACTTTTAAATACTTATTTTTATATTTATTTTACGAATAGCATTTATCTTTAATATGTTGAATTAACTAGTCGGCATATATGGAACAAAAAATTAGAAGAAAAAAAAACAATTGGATACAATTACGTAAAAACAAAGAATAATTCTCCTTAACATTAGAAAATGATAAAAATGACAAATGTATAAAATGAAAAAGTACATTTGAAAATGTACCATAAGGAAATAAATTGCGTTCGTTAACTAACCAGCCAGTTTTTTTTTTTTTTTTTTTTTTTATAGGCTTAAGGCCATGATTCATTGTTTTTTAGTGAGCTTAGCCATGATTCATTTCAATGACAGTGAATAAACCATAATACAAGATGGGATACCAAAGTGGAGCCCTAACGATGAAGAAAAAATATCTCTTTGCTTGCTGGTTGATATAATGAGGGAAGAAAGAATTGGAGACGTTTTGTTTCTATCTTCCCAATACTTTCATAAAGTCATTGACATTTTGGATACCTCAAAACTTTTAAATACTATTTAAAACTCACAATTGAATACAACTAAACTTTTAAAGACTATTTAAAAGTCACAATTGAATACAATAAGACGTTTTAACTCATTAAAATTCATTAAAAGTTAGAATTAGATACACCCCTGTTAGAGTTCATGTGTGACGGGTGAAATTCAATTATTAATGGAGACGTGTCCTTTTGTTTCTCTCTGATTTGTCGATTTGTTCTGATTTGTCGAATTCAGTGCAACCACACGAAATTGAAATTCTGCCACATATGCAGTAGAAGAAAAACCTTATCTGTTTTCTCCTTTTCCTCTTCCTCTCCAACTTTCTTCTTTAACGCTCCCACTACCATCAAGCTTTTCATTGTGAATAACTCATCAAACCCCTTGCTTGGCTTTTTAATTACCTCCCTATCAAGCTTTTCATTGTGATTTAACTCCACCCACCTCCTTATTTGCTTTTTAATTACCTCATTATCAAGCTTTTAACTCCACTTCTGATTCATATTGGCAGCTTTTATTATGAGTCTGCTGGTTCGATATCCTGATTGGCCTGCTTGGATCTTTCTTTGGTTTTTCCGAATTACAAATTATATGTATTGGCTCTTGTGTATAGGGAGTTCTTTTTTTTGTTTCTTCTTCTTCTTTTTTATTTTTTAGTTTTTATTTTTAAAGCCACTATCTCTCACAGATTTAACCACAAAAAATAGATCACGTGCCAATATTATGGTAGAGGACAACTTGTGCATCATCAGTGAAGGAGCAAACCCAACCATAAAATATGTAAAAGTCGCAATGGACGTGCCAGAAAGGATAAAGATAAATGGAAACAGAATTGGAAGGGAAGAATATTTACATAAAGAAAGGGCAATCTTCCCAATTAGAATTCACTTCTTTACATACAAACAAACCTTGCTTGAAAAAGGTTACCGACTAGACACATTCATGTGCGTTTCAAGTCACTGTGAACATGAGAATCGACTTACTTTCAGAAGCAGATCAGCATAGCGGTACGTACATAGCTCACGAAACTAATCAGCTAAGCATGGTTGGATGGCCAGTCTGCAGCATCCTTTTGATCATGTCCATTCCAAATGCAGAATCCGAGGAACTGAACAGGGCATCGCAATATTAACTCAGCAGTCTAATCATATGAGATTCGGAGAAATTTTCTAAACAGTCATAACATTGACAACAACAACTACTACTACTACTACTACTACTTCTTGTTAAGAAAACAAGAGCAAGATGTTAGGTGCAGTCAGCCATATTCGTCAGTTTGCAAAGAACAAGGACTCATCTATCTGTTAACTAGACACTAGCACTCCAACCTAATGTTACAACAGCGTGCTGCTTTTGGTAGATGGAGCAGGTGTAAACTGCTATGACCAAGTCACATTATGATACGTAAGTCGTAATAAAGTAGACCTACATCAGGCTTGAAGATTCAGAACTTACAGTTTGATGACTAATCTATTACTCATTACTAAGTAACCAGTCCACAATTTTGTATTAACCTTTAAAACAAAATACTTTGCCAAATTTTGTATTAATCAATTTTCACAGAGTATCTTTTTTGGCAGTAAGGCATTTCATAGTTAAATTACTGCATTTCAATTGATCGCATCAGAGAACTACCAACCCCATTCTGCCTTAACAAATGTCTGCAAAGACAATTACATTAATTAAGGTGAAAAAATATTCTTAGTGTCAAACTGTGATTGTTTTTCCTCACTCAAAGAGAAGATGTAAGCTATGCGTGCCATGTTTGAAAAGATATACGAACAAAAGGAGAACCAACCTTGGGATAGTAATTTCATGGGGAAACCAGACTACACCCTCAAGATTCGGTATAGGGGGAACATGATCTTTCTTCTCATTCACAAATTTTATTATTTGGAACAAAACCTCATGAAGAGATGCTTCAAGCACGGCTCTGCGAGCCATTCTCTCTTCCAATGCACTCTCTGCACTCATACATCAAACAAATGCAAAGGTGAGGGTCAGCATGGCTTCCTGAAAGTGAAGCATTAGAAACTATAAATTCAGTTCACAATAGTAACTGTACCTCCTGGATCAACTACAACTTTAGAATTATGAGATTTGCCAGAATGTGCTTTGGGGTGTTGGGCCACATTCAAATTAATATACCACTGTTCCCACTGTAGCCTTTCTGTTTTATGAGTGAACCAACTTGGCTGTTTGTTTTTTACTTCAAAGAAAGACAAGATGATCTGCATCACAAATGATGGCAGTTTATTAGGAGTTCTTGCAGAAAAATACTTTGATGCCGATGAAAAGCTTTAATGGAACAGTGGGAGGATATAACTGGATAAAGTTTTGGATGAGAAATCAAAGAAGTGATCCAAAAATCTTGGTTGAAGAATTCCGTCTCCTAGCATAAATAAATTCTAACTGCAATAGTATGATTAGTTAAAGCAAATGAGAAGTACAAACCTGACTTTTCTTGTTTGGGTGTTTTTCTACCCAACTAATGAATTGCTCAATCTTCTCATCTATTTTCTTCTCAAGTTCCATATCACCACATTGAACCTATACCCACACAAAAAAAAACATGATGAAGGAACTTCATTTCCTGTTGAGGTGTCATTAAGATTGCAACAGAATTTGCAGTTGGAAAATTCATTCAAAGTTGATTTAAGTTAACTAACATGCACCTGCGAAAATGTTATACTGAATGGAAAAAAACAAACATTCAGACTTGAACTTTGTTAACTGACATGCATGATGCACCAAAGAACCAATATTTGGAGCATAAAAAACTTACATATGTAATTTCAAAAAGTTCCAAATCAACGTCTTTGGGCCGCACAAGACCTAAAGCCCGATGAAACACTATTGTGTGAAGTATGCCTGCACTCAAATTTAAACTGCTGTAAGCTCACATGAAAACAAATAAAATCATAGCGCAGTGAGTGCAGGATTATGTGTTCTACATAATTGAAGGCAAACCAGAGATAAAAAATACATTTGTTTACAAACCAGCACAAGAGTTCATAGACCAGACCCCAAAAAATGCCCTTTGTTCTGTTGATCATACTATGGTTTACCACGTATCAGGAAATGACCAACGAAATTTTTTCACATTTGCAAGCTCAATTCTTTGAAGCATTATTTTTCACTTCTCAATCCCCACGTTTGATTATAGTTTGGTGCGGAAGTCAGTAAAGTATGTAAAAAACAAAATTCAGTGTCCTTTAGTGCCATTATAAACACAGATTCTTGCAGTATAGAATTCATTGTTCAAAATCACTGTTGCTTTGCATCATAAAATGCTGACTTTTGGCTAACGGCCACTGCAAATCCAAAACAAACTGAAGGAACGCCCACGCTCCCCGTCTTAAACAAAGCTTATTCTACATAAAGACACTTCCTCGTCCCACGAAACAGATATACCTAAACACGTATCTTAGTTGAATTGCTCAAACAAGTTCAACACTCTACAACTTTTAATCTGCAGAGTTAACCATTGGCAAAACTGATTTGCATAACCATACTAATTATACACAACACATGCGCACATATAAAATACACAGATAAAGTAGGAAAGCACGTAAATTGAGTAATTTGAAATCAAATGTACAAAAAAAGAACCTGATACAGAAAAGAAAAGGACAAATTCAATTGGAAACTTACAGCGCAGAACTTCCCGTATCTCAAAGTGCTCAACTTCCTGAAGCACCAGCAAAATTTCAATTTTCAAATATAAATTAATTTCTCAAATTTCACAAATATACTAAGAGAGAGAGATGGAAAGAGAGAAGCATACCAATTCTTTGAGCTGGCAAACTTCACAGTTCATGGTTCGTTTGGCGATGAAAGTGAATTGGAGTTCAGAGTGATTACGAAACCCTAGCTTTCTGCGAGAAATTACAGTGGGCGTTTCGTGGTGTTGAGGAGAGCGATTGGGACTTTTGATCGGAGTGTGTGTTTGTTTAACTTCAAGTGATCGAAGTCTTCAACCGGAAGTCTAATCCTAATTGGCTTTTAACTTGGCGATGATGAAAGAAAGAAAGTTCTAATTTAAATTTGGGCCTCTTTGGGCCTTTTTCGAAAACATAATGGGCTTCGGCCCATGAGACTGGCCTCATGATAAAGCGGTTTAGCCCAATGTTCTTTCTTATAGATTCCATGTGAACCCACAAATTTATTAATTTATGCTCTCCAAACTGTTTTCAATTATTTTTCCTAACCCATTTTACCCATTAAGAAAACTTGTAAAACAAAAGTAAATAAATACAAAATATTGACCATTTTTAGAAAATATTCGACCAGAGAAAAGACTAGTGGTAAAACACGTGATTGTTACAGTATATTACAAGAGTTCGACTCTCGTCTTCTTCCTTTTTCTGGAGGTTGGATCTTTTGACTTGAAGACCTCATACAATGGGCTGAATACCACATGACTAAAAGTGTTATTTGATGTTGATATTTGGATTCATATTGCCTTAACCTTACTACACTAAATATTTTTTTCAATTCTTTTTCTTACCCCATTTTACCCATTAAGAAAACTTGTAAAACAAAAGTAAATAAATAAAAAAATTTTGACCAATTTTAGAAAATATTCGATCAAAGAAAAGACCAATGGTAAAACACGTGATTGTTACAATCTATTACAAGAGTTCAACTCTCGTCTTCCTCCTTTTTCTATACGTTGGATCTTTTGACTTGAGGACCTCACACAATGGGCTAAATACCACATGACTAAAAGTGTTATTTGATGTTGATATTTGGATTCATATTGCCTTAACCTGACTACACTAATTTTTTTTTTCAATGCATGGCTAATGTGGGATTTAAAGGTACGTACAAACCTAGAAAGAAAAAATTCCCATTAGACTAAGAAAAGTCGTGTGATATAAATCATATACAGGTGAAACGCATGTTGAGAGACTAATATTTATTTATTGAAAATATGCCAAACCGGTTGGTTCTTATCTTTGTCGTTGACAAGAGAGAATTTTAAAAAGTAACGTCAGCATCATAATATAAAGTTAGAAAACAATTATAATAAAAAGACAGAAGTAGAGGAAGAAAACCAACCATATATTTGTATGTGTGCTTCAAATTCATGATTGTAATTAGTTGAAAGTGATATATAAATCCCCAATTTTGAATTGTTAACTGAATATTGCTTGCCTCCTTCTTGGTAAGGAGATAAGGAGATACTCATCTTTCCAGCAAACACAATATATCACATTGTTGTTAGCAAGCATGAATGTATGTAAGAGTTCCTACTTACATGGTAAGGAGAGAAATAGTTTCGTTGTTAATCCGTAAAGTCTTCCAAGAGTGAAATATAAGATAGAATAAATTAATTAATTAATTTAGTCTAGTGGAAAAGATAGATGTAGCAATATTGCAGACAACTACTCGCACCTTATAATTAATCAGACAAATAGACTTTGGAATCTTTAAAAATAATTGTATGAAGAAGCTAGGGCGGCTTGCCTAGCTAGATTTTGACAGTCTTGACCTGATCTACAGTGGCTGGCTGGCTGCCGACTTGTTTATTTACCCACACAAAAACGTACGGGGCAGTTGAAGATATTGCAATCTACGGTAACTATATGGTGTTGGGCAGTTGGGGGTATTCTCAAACGACGTACGATCTTGTCCTGATTAGATAATACATTTATTTATTTATGCATTAATTAATAAATATATTTATTTATATGTATATATAATATCAGTGGTGGTGTCTGCCGGCGTGATTTGGACCTACCTAAAACCTATTACTTTATTTTGCCACAGGTCTTAGTCTTGCATTAGGTGAGTATAAATTAGTATTGATTGAGAATGATAGTGATTATATTTTATGCTTTTCGCAACGATGTGAAACAAACCGAAAATATATACTAGTGTAATTAATTTAATGACAGGAGTGTCACCCTAGAAGGATAAGAATGTTGATAATATGGATTTCTAAATGCAATTATCCGCACCGAAGAACGATAACAGTAAAAAATTTAAAATAAAAAAATACTTGGTTCCTTACATGTTATCAGTCATTTTCTTTACGAACAAATCACAGTCGATATGTGTAGAATTTTTTTTCTTTTTGTAATTTTAATAAGTTATTTTAATATATGTGTATTAGTACCTTATCAGTTGTGGTATCCAACAACTTGAGGCTCAAGTTTCAAGGTGGGTGGCGCTAGCTTTCTTTTATCAGTATATCATACCAAATGTTATCTGAGTAGCAACAAGTTGCATATATGCTACGATTGCTTTATTTTCTCAAAGTGGTTTTGGAATATTATTTGAGAGCTTCGAGATGTATATCTTCTCGCTAGGGTGGGAGCTGTTGGGGTGTATTCATCAATTATAAGTTAATCACGCAATCACAGTTTTAGGGTTTTGTATTTATTTGTGGTGTGATTGGAAATCAGTCCAATTTATGGGATTCAGCCAATCTGGAGTTCCATAAAAAATGAACTGTGGGGTCCATCTGTCAATTTCAGTAGAGAATAATTCAAGCCCTACCCCCCATATGGTCCATACCACGGCACTTATCAGCAACACAACATTTGGCACTAATCATTTTCAAACTAAGAAATCTGCGTCCTAATAATTCAAGACTCTCGTTGAAACTTACATATCATGGTTGAACCTTGTCGGTACTATGCATCGCTATCTATTTTCGTTGTTCAACTCTTATATCAATTCGAAAGTAATTGCTATTGAACTTGACAACATGAAAAATCGAATATGCAGGTTTTTTTAAATTAAATTTGTTTTATTATTCTCGATCATTGAAAGTAATCTTCATTGGCACAAGGATCTCCTCACAACAACATTATGTGTACACTTTGTTCATATTATAATATGTATAATTATCATGTCACGTGATGTTACGAATTATAATTTTAGAGGGGGGATAAAACAGATGAGAAGAGAGATTACTTACTAGAGTTTGCCTGCCTACCTATCTGCTCCGATCACAAACTCCTATACACAGAAAACCAATCCGAGTCTTGGTAAGAGAAATAATAAGGATTTAGGACCCTGGTCGAGGACCTGGCGGTATGAAATAAAGTATAGGGATCCAATTATCCTATAGGGCTGTATCTCACTGTCAGTGACAAATTCTCTCCGTTTGTCTACCTCTAAGCTAATTATCACTCATACTGTTATAAGTTCCTCTGCTAACTAGCTATATCCAATGAGCACCAGGCCACATGCATGCAAAAGCTTTGCCAAGCGACATGATCTATGCAACTTCTGCATCAAGGATTTTGTCCATTCTAGCTTTTGTCAGATTTGAAACCCTAGCTACCTACTTTGCTAGCCTCCCTCGGGTTTTGCTGAGCATACATATATGACCTATATATTTCATTTCATTTTGGTTGCATTTCAATGGTGGTGGAGCCCATAGGGGAATGTTAGGATTAAGAACCATCCATTTTTCTCCTTTCAATGAATTTCGTGTCAACCTTTTCTCAGTAGGAGTAGGCCTAAGCTAGAATTCTATGATATGCGTATCCTTGCGAATTGCAAAATGTTGTTTGGATTCAACAGCATGGAAACAGAGAGATGTATGAGGATCCCAAGAGAGTTTGCAAAGGGACAACCCTAATGACAAGCTATTCTTTAAGTGACGTTGTGTTAGATTGTGAATAATCCAAAGAGAAATATTTCTGTGTGTTGTACGAATTTGGGCCATCAATGGCCCTAGGGTATACATAGGAAGAGGTTGATTTATAAAGTTGAGTGCAATCCAGTTGCAATGCATCGGGCCCCTCTATATGACCAAAGAATATTTGAAGTTTCTGTTTGTAAGAATAATGTATAAGTTGTTAAAATATGTCATATGATAGTCAAAATGATCAATAATTTATATTTATGTTCATACGATATTCAACATGATCAATAGTTCAGATTTATAGTCAAACTCATATCATCGCTTAAGTTGATAAGAAATGAGATTTCTCCAAAGAAATTACATGACTAAGAATCCAAGTATTTCATTGGCAAACATCGATCATTAACTTGGACTTATTTGGGTTGGATCTTACTCTTTTTTTTCTTTCTATGTGTTGGATTTTATTTGTGTTGCATAACAAACATCAATAATTTATTAAGTACTATATACCTGTATCCTTTATATTATGGTTTTATGAGCGCAAAGGAAATGAGAGAGAGAGAGAGAGAGAGAGAGAGAGAGAGAGAGAGAATTATTGACCACTTTAATGAAAAGAAAAGAGGAGGAAAGGTGAGGAGCCCTAGAAAAGCTGTATTGCCTCATAAGGAGAGGACACAGTAGTCTATTTAGAATGTGGAATTTTATCACATCCCATATTCCCATCTCCCCATATGCATATTCTCATGTCGTATCCACTCCCTACACTACACTACTCACAAATTCTCATAATTCTCCGGACACTAATACAACATAATTATGTTGTCTGTACTATTCTTGAAATATATGAAAGCATGTGATTTCATCTCTAATGAAGAAATTTAAATTCATAACATTACATTGTATCGTATATTTATTATTGACAATTATAATTATTTAGTATGAAGTCGAGTAATTATATTAATCATCGATACTCGTATTTGACCTATCAAATGATATGACTTAAAAGTGAATCATCATAACTTAAAATTAGAATTCTTAATTTCGTATTCATCTCTTAAAATGTCAAATTCATCACTTATCATAAAATCCATACGTATTTGATGATTTCATCATGCTTGTTTGTTGGTTGTCTAAATTTTACATGTATATGGTCCATATAATTTATTATAATTGTAATAATAATGATAATCATATTAATAATTAAACATGGGTTT